GTTAATTCACATATATGTAGATACACATACTTTATATGAATATATATATCTATGTCTATAATATATGTATATCTATGCAAATGTGGGTATATTTGTAAGCCCGAACGTTTGTACGTATATACACAATTTACATATGTTCAATATATGTACAGTCTGCAAAAAAAAAAAAAACGAATCACCCTGAATAACTTGAGTTCTAATGATCGGATTTTCACGAACTAAGTGTCAATCTTAATGGTTCCTAGGGGTGACCTCANCGATCATTAGAACGAAAGTTATTCAGGGTGATTCGTTTTTTTTTTTGCGGACTGTACATACTACTACTCGATCTCATTGGTTTGAATGTCTAACTTTATGAGGGATTCCGTTCCTAGACCCTTAATACAGGAGAAGCACCTGCCATCTGCAAAATATGGTATCAATAGTTTATAAAGGAGAGCGGTAGAAAGTTTGAATCACTTAATGTTAAAATTCCTTTTTGCAAATTTCGCCTTGTATAACTTTTAAAGCAAATCAAAAATTAAAATTTGAATGAAATCAATCGAAGAATCGAATTTTAAATAAATAACTTTTTTTTAGAATTGGACTACCTATAAACTATTAGTCCGATTTTATTCAAATTTCTCATTTTGCCTTTAAAAGTACTTTCTTAAAAATTATGAAAAGAAAAATTCTATATTTTGCAATGCAAAGTGTTTTCGACAATTGGTAAATAAAATAAGAAATAATATTTATTTAAAGTTATTTTTTGCAGAGAATTATCTTTGGATAAACGAATCTTATAATAGTATGAAAAAACTTCATGATTCGCTTATAAAAGCTCTTCAAATGTAGCGAAATACTCAAAAAGCTTTGTTAACATTAAGAGATCCAAACATTTAATCGCTCTCCTGCCTAAATAACTTTGGCAATATTTTCAGGCTGGAAAACTTAAAATATTGACTACCTTCCACATTTTGAGGATCAAAAATTCAAAATCATCGGAGAAAAAAAATTAAGTTTTTTTTTCTGGTTTTGTAACTTAAAATATCGTTCGTATAAATTAATTAGCATGTACAAGATAATGTTCAGGAACAAAAAAAAAAAAAATTAAGACTCAAGACGTAAACCATTTACGTATTAGATTGAAAGTTATTTAAGAGGAGTAATTTTGTTTCACACTATACATAAATATGAAGTCGAATCAACAGATAAACTACATTCACGTACCGAAAATTTTGTGGTAGAAGCTATCCATCAATTAGCACCCAATAGCCGCTACAATCGATCACGTTATCTTCCATGTTCAACCCGGACTATCGCCTAAAACAAGGGTGTCTTAGTACTGGTCACAAAAATTTTCATGGCCATTATTCGAAACTTGACAGTATTCGACGATTTTTTTATCAATTATAGAGATCAAATTTCTCAAATGAATTCTAATTTTAAAATGAATCACAATTATTCCTATAAGCAATAAATTCTACTTATGGTGATTAGAAAACGAATAAAACATATATTATCCTGTCTTGAAATTAAAAGTGCTTAAGATAGTCGGAAAGTTACCGAAATTACAAGTACAATCTTCCAGCCATGGATACACTCGAAAGTGGGATAAGAAAATATTATAAATGCTACGTTTGGCAAAAATCAGATTCAAATTATAGTAATACACAGTTTCTATTTTAAAATCCTGATAAGTAGTCTTGAGCCTCATAAAACTTTTTAATATGGATAAATCTTCAATTTCTGAAATATCATTTTTATTTGTTGAGCTATATTTTGGTATTGATGTAATCTAACAAACGTTAGTGCTATTTTCCATTTTTTATGATAACTATAAATGTATTGTAAATGCTATTTACTTGAAACTTACTGAAATTAAGAAGGGAGCATAATAACCATTTAATGTCCTTTGGGTAAGGCCGTTCCGAGCTTAAATTTAAGTTTTAAATTCTTAAGTTAATGTTAATTGATAATCTTAAAAAAGCAAATAACAATGCGTAAATTAAATACTTAATTAGCAAATGAAATGCAATTAAACCGTGTACCTACTTTTTACATCAACGAAAGGGACTTGGAACAATAAAACAGAATATCATTAAGAAACTTCAATTTTAAACTTTTATCTAGCAAGTAAACTCCAAGAGTGTAAATGATCAGTAGCCGTAATATTAGTGCAAAGTTGCGCATGACGTAAGCAGCAGTTTTTAAGACAGTATTTTGAGAGGAGGAGAATCAGGGGTTTACAATAATTTTCAAAAGTAAAATTTAGTGAGATTATTTTTTTTTATTTTTAATTGAATAATAATATTGAAGTTTGAACATTAAGCATTGCCTCAAAGTTTCGGTACAATAAAGCTAACAGAAGTTTTTCTAGTTTTTAAAAGAACTTAGTTTAAAATTTTATTTATTGCTTTTCCATTTTAATTTTATGTATTTTAGACGTATGTTTGTTTGATATTTCAAATAGGACGTTAAAAGAAAGAGAACAGATTTAAAATACTATTTTCCGATTTTTTGAACGACTTAATTAAAATTTAATTAAACAGACTTTTAGCCTCCCCAAAACTTGTTTTTCTTTATATTAGTTCCTTTTAATTTTTTTTTTATTTTAAATTTTTATTTTCAAGTGTTTTGCCGATAATGTATAGAAAAAATTCTTGACACGAAAAAACTGTTGCAGAATTTCAGGAATGTAGCATCGGCAATAGTTTTCTATTTCACGATAGAAATTGAAATATTTCTGATGCTGCTTTCTATATTGAAATATCTCATACTTTCGGTGGTTTGTGTGATTCTGCCGATGAGATTTTAAATTATTATTAAAATTTAATATATAAAGAACTTTAACAAAACCGTGGACATCTCTTGAAAAGGGTTAAAACTGAAATCGAGTATTTAAAAGCCGAGATAGACGGAGAACAAAAATTGGTTAACATAGTGTTTAGAACTAATTAAGTTGGTGGAGGGGTTGAAGAACTGTAATCTTTAAATGTTGTACAAGATAATTTTGAAAGGTGACCAAGCTGGCCGTTAAGACTACTAATATATCACAAAAACGGCTACTTCTTCGGATTACGGTATGTGAAATATGCTAAAAATGAAAAAAAAACTTAACCTAGTTGATTCTGCAGCTAATTTTTATCGAGAGAAACTGAATTCTCTCAAATTGAGAATTTATACCGATTATTGCAAAACCGATAAAGTAATTTAAATTGCACATCGTAAATGAACCTTTAAGAGAATTTTTTAAATTTCTCTAAATTAATCTGCATCGATCTTGTTAAAATAATCCAAAATAAATTCTTAGAATAAAAGTAGACCATGCCTTACAAAAAAAAAAAAAAATTATAATAACTCCAAAATTTAAGAGGACATAAATCAAAGTAACATGCACTACTCAGAGAATAGAGTTCCCCCCGACTTATAGTTTTTTTTTTTTTTGCTTATCTAAATTACGTGGCTTAAAAAACTTATATCCGCATTAATATTTCCGTACTAAAAATGTTTCCTAAATATTTTATTAAAAAAATGCAACATTTTATATAGCTTCAGCGTTGAATTTTGTGAACGGAGAATATTTTTCGAAACAGTAGTGACTGTGTCGATTTTCTAATGTGACAGAATTGTTGCCTCTTTATTTTATTAACAACTTCAGCTTGTTAAATGATTTCCTTTTATGCAGCGAACTCAAAACGATTTCTAATGGACTTAGTTAGCAGTGACACAGTGTCAAATGAAGCACTACTTGAAATGTGCGTCATATACTTTCTTCCAAGAGATCCTTATTAAATTCCACAATCCTTATTAAATTGTTATGCCGAAATCAAAATTATATTGGCTTACTCTTTCTTAGCATGTAATAGTTGGTAGTTAAAAAAGAATGCTTTTTTTTCATTTCATAATTCTTAAATACAACATACAAGCAAATTTTTTTTAAACTAAATTGATTTTTTGAGGGGTGACTTCAGAATTTTTATGTGTTTATTCATAAATAACTCAATAAAAATATTAGAATATTGGTATCATCATATCATTTTGGTTTTAAATTCTAGTTGGGTCACATGTCTGATACAAAGTTCAAAAGAAATTTTGCATTGAAATATTATGTGGATTCCAAATATCAATCATTTTGCAAGAGGGAAGCAAAGTTGCACTTGCTTACATGTAGACACTGCTCTCCTGTTAGTAAATTTAAGGTCTCGTTTCCAACTGTTATTTAAATTGTAACATGGTTTCAGACTGATTAATTATATGCAGTTTTATAAAAATATATTTAAAATAAACTTAATGTGAATAATAGTATTAACACTAAAATTTAAATTTTTTTTTGCTTATAAAAATTGGCAGACCAATTATTTTATCAACAAATACTCCGCAATTGTATTGTTTAGTATGATTTTCAAGATGATGTTTTAGGTACTTTCAGCATCAAAACCCTCGTAAACCGCACCTCACCTAAAACGAAAGTCTTTATTTGAACCCATTTCACATTCATTATGATGTACGACTTATTTTTTATTTGCCAAGTAAAGCAATTTTGTGACAACCAAGCCAGAGCATCAGACTTGATGAATTTCAGCAATACAACGCTTTTTCAATTCCAACATCAGCTTTTTGACAAAATTAAATGTTAAATCTGTTTTAATCCAGCATCAATCTTCTCTATCCCTCAAACCAATTGTGTATCATTTTTGATGAGCTACGACATTAAAGCTTTTTGTACCATTTTATTGTTGCTTTCAGTCATGTCTTTTCTGTAGTTTTTTCTTCCTAGGTAAATCTTGTGAATGTAAAGCAATAAGTTCTTTGCTTAGACTTTTTAACATAGGCTAAAAAATCTAAAAATGAAGTTTTCTTCTGCATAGATAGGTCAGAGTTTATTTCCACTATTGTGTTGCATTTCACTCAAACTAATGATTACTGAGAGGCATTAAGGAACTCATATCATAGCTATTTTAGCCATACTGTATGAATAAAGATATGTTAACATTTACACTAAATTAAAAAATAGACAATGATTTTCATAAATTTTTATTTAAAAAATGAAATAGAAATTAAATTTAGTGACAGGCATGCAATGCATATTTAATTGATTTCGTAGCATTATGCATAATGCTCAATTTTACAACTTAAAAAAAAAGGATAAAATTTTGGGCAAAGCTGGTGCAGCTTTAAAAATGGATTTATTTAATACTGTATAAAACATCCCTTGATGTGAATATGTGCTTATCAAAGAAAGTACATCACCAGTAGCAAATAATGGTTTGATATTCTGCACATTTTTTTTTTATTCGGTGCATTTTTTTGCATAGTAATTGTTTTGCATGGGAATTAACTTTGAATTATTACAGCTGTTATTGGCATAAATACAAAGTTCTTTTTTTTTTTCTGTTATTGTGAAGAAGCCTGAAGAAATACAACTTTCAGTCAGTGTGAAAGCCTGTTGTAATTTACATGAGCACTTCAGTTGAGGCACCAATAAGGACACAGAAACACATTTTACAGACTACATACATATTTTATGAATGCACTTACATGTTGGCAAATACTTACAGAAGCATGGGGAGTATTTTTATACAGTGCATTCTATTACAGCAATGCATTTTTTAAGAATGGGCAAGTTGTTTCAGGTAAACTGCAAATAAGGCACAGGATAATATGGATACCTCTTCGTTTTCTGTCAAGAAATAGCAGCTCAACAGTAGTGAACAAACACCTCATATAAAATTTGCATAGATTTTGGATGTCACTCTGCATCAATACCACATACAAATTTATTAAAAAAAAATACTAAAAGAATTCACATAAATAGACATTCTGTTCTCAAAGGAACACCAATTCAAAAAACCTAAATGTTTTTTACTAACCAATCTAAAATTTGAACTGAATAAATAGAATATCAACAAAAAGGTAAAATGTATCAATAATTCTTCACATTATTAATGATGTCAACCATAATAGATTTTTTTTCTTAAATTATAGAGGAATTCATATTATTACAAAGGTGTAAAACCAATTAAGTTCTCTTATGATTAATAAAAGTTCCTTTCGACCCCTTTACTAAACTATTAACATATTTCAATGAGAACAAATATATTCACGCTAGTTTATGTTTTAAGTCATTTACCCTGAGGATGTGTTCAAACTATATTCAATTAATTTTTCTTTATTGCTTTGGAAGAATTTTATTCACAGAAATGTCCTATTCCCTTTTGTTCTGATTTTGGTGGATTCGTATGTATGGTTAAATGCATAATATCAGAGGCCATAACTAATTATGGGATGGAAGCTCGACCTGCAAATTCAGGTTAAATAATCATTCTAATAATTCCATACTTTTTTTATACAATAACATTTAAACTTATAAAACTATTTATTCAGTTTTTTGAACAATAAATAAGTAAATTGAAACTCGTGTGAAAACAAATAGATTAAGATAATTATTAAGCATATTGCTGTTTCTAACTCCTATTTACGCTTACTTATATTTTAAAATTGCAAGATTAAGAACAGAATTCTTTACAGTCGACATAGAACTACTATGATTATTGGTTTAACTCCATGATAATTGCAACAACAACAACAAAATCTGTAGTAGTTGACATCTCGAGATACAAAACAAATCAACATGCAAGAAAATATAGTTTGAACCCTATTTGGAAAGCCTATGGGGAAAATGCCGGACATTTAAAGGGAATCTGAAAAGGCTTAGGCATTCTGAGAAGCAGCCTGAATACGAACACATTTATTTGTATTCAAAGAGTCATATAAAATACAAGAATAAATAATTTAAATTTGAACATTGGAATGGATGAACATAAAGATTACAGTAAATAAAAGTACTGATATTTTTCCTCCAGCAAAATTTATTAAATGCATGAAAAATAAAAATAAAAAAGCTCAAACAACCTGAGCTGAGCAGCTCTGCTATTTAGTGATTGCAGCTTCTTTCAAAAGAAAACAACAAAAAAAAGGAGCTCCCCATGCTTTGTGAGAATATCTCGATGAACAAGGTTTTAGAAAACACTTTCTCTCATCATAAAAAATAAGTATAGAAATGTATATACTTCTTTAAATATAAAAGAAAACAAATGACAAAAACATATATCATTTTCACTCGGAAAATTTTTGTAATTACAAGTGATTCACTTTACAATCTTTTTTTTTTTTTTCATTTCGTATCCACATGATATGTGACTATTTACAATGCTAGTGAAAGTAAACAAAAAAAAATCTACAATGCACAAACTTATATACCTGATTTCTCCACGTAGAACTCTGCTCACCTCGTTGATCGCCAACTACAACAACATAAACAGTAACAGTATAAAGATATATATATATAAAAGAGGACGATCGAGAGAATGCGGCACGGAGTCCTGTCTAGTGGGACACACTCTTGGCAGTCATGTTGGCAAAAATAGGTAATCCACTAAAGTCTTGGGTTGTGCCAAATCGGCACAATGACCAAGTGGCACAGACCTTGTGGGTCTTGATTGTGACTAGATACCATATGTGATGGGCTGAGCTGGACAGTCTTTCTCAAAGAGAAACCTTCCACGTATGAACAGAGCAATCGATATCAGAAAGACATCTAGCTCGGAGCACTGAAACTTTTATTTATTTATTTAGTTCACCATTAACGTATGAGATTCCATAGGTGCTGCAGAGTCATACAGTGTATCAGTGTCTTGTGTTGGTTCCCCTTGAAGTTGGCATTGATTACTCAGTGTACCGGCCCCACAGTCGCAAAAAAATCTACAACACAACAAAGTATAATTTTAGACTCGAATCTAATTATTGAAACATTAGTAGGTAAAAATTACAATATACTAAATAAAAGAGGTTGTATTTATAAAGCTAATATTGTAATGTTATTCTTTAGCCTGTTGCAAAACACCTTTCTTGTAGTAATTTGCTATTTGAAAACTAAGTTTAAATTGCTAACTAAATAGAAATTTTTTTCAAATTTTTCTAACCTGCTAGATTATTGATCTGAGAAGAATATGATAAAATTCCTCAATTTTTCCAGTCAATATCATATGTTTCCTCATGATTAAGCAAAGAATTTCCAGAGTAAAAGTTTTTCTTTAATGCTATTGGTGATGAGAATAGGGGGCACATAGAACTCATTATAATAACACTTTAAATGCTTTGTCATAGGTTTGAAAATTAAAACTGCATTAATCTTAGTTTTTAAAGTAAGCATCATTACAATTTTTAAAAAAATTGACATTTAAAAATAAAAGTTTTATGAAAAGGAAAAACACTTTAATAAATTCATGTTAGAAATGTACAGGGTTTTAAAATTTTACATGGTCTGGTTTATTTTTTACACATACCATTGCACTTAAATTACTTTTATAATTATTGTATCTTAGTGCAATCTCTTAAACTTTCTGTTACACGGTGAAAAGATTTCTTTTTACCAATGTTGAACAGAAGATTAATAAAGCAGATTCATTATCTTTAATGTTGCCATGCAATATCTGTATCCTAGTAAATTTAAACTGTCTACAGACAAAAGGGGACAGCAACAAAAAAGGGGCAAATTTGCTTTCACGGAAAACTTAATATAAGAAACTATCGCATATCTGCATTAGTGCTTATTTATGGAGAAAAAACTTTCCATCGTTAACCTGACAATAAGAGAACTTCTATGAACAATAAAGAAAATTGTTTTCTAGTAAAAATTTAGTTTAAAGTTATCGATGGTCAATTTCATTTATAGTACCTTCTTTTCAACATTAAATTTAAATCAACACATTCTGAAAATGTAATAAATGTTTCCAAGTAAGTTTTTTGTTTTGCTTAGTTATGTAAGAATTTTTTTTTTTTTGTGCTTTAAATAAATAAAATAAAAATAAAAAAAACCTTTATAAAACTTGCTTACCTATTTTTATTAAAACAATTGTCTCGGTTTTAACATGTGCTTTTATTTACTGGTAAATTAATCATCCATAATGTTAAACTTAATAATAGCTTTAGAATAATTAAAGTGTTAATAGCAACTGTTGTCTACTTCTATAAAATTCTAAGTCTACAAATCCAATTAATAAAAACACATTGCTATTTATTTATGTTCTAAAGGCAAATTTAGTACAAGAGTAATACACAAACATCGCATTTTCTACATTTATCTCTGCATTTTAATCACTAAGATTTTATTAACTTTTAAAAAAAATAGCAACGTAATTTTGTATATATTTAACTACCATACAAATTTAGACAAAATAGTTTAGATTCCTTAGTTATTATGTCTTTTCCTAAGCGGATACATCTTTTTAACAAACATATTTCTCAGTCCTAAAGGTGTATATTTTAATGAGGTTATCCTGAATTAAAGTTCTGCACAAAAGTAAAGTTTGTTGGGCCTTAACAGTTATTCCTAGATTACAATAAATGGATTTACAAGTAGGAATAATTTTAAGGTTACTATAGGGTCATGTCTAATAATGAGTGTTAACCGGCGCTGGTTACCTTACACCACACCTGGAGTTTAAAAACTGGGTCTAAGTACCCGGTGCAATTATTTTGCCAGGTAACTGCAGGGTACCTAGTAATCTTTAATTCACATATATTGGAGCAGAGGAAGAAAAATTAAGCTGAAATCTCTAGACAGCTAGGAACTGATGCTTGTCCTAAATGACGTATTCGAGCAATGCTATCAGGAATAGGTGGTATAGTATATTATTGGAGTTTGACAGAGTACAAATAAGTGGATCCTTAGAAACGGGACAGAAGTCACGAATTTAGAGCTACGCAAGAATAAAAATGTACAGGATGTTCCAACAAGATGGAATTTTTTTTTTAATTGTAGACTGCACACTTTGAAATTCCATATGAAATAATATTCTCATAAAAGCCCCTTTCTTGGCTCTGTTGGCATATTTGCAATTTGCTGATAAAATTGTCAATCATAATTTTCACAATTGTGGCTGTCATGCCACCAACAAGTTATGGTAACGTAATGTACAAGTATAGAGGTAGTTTTTTTTTAAAAAAAATTGAAAGAAGTGAGTGTTTAGCCTTGGAGAAGGCAAGACTTTCATTTTGTAGGAGTACGGGACTCCAGCGTATTAAGTGAGACATCAGAATGGCGGTATCTCAGTGATACAACCATTATCTTACTGTCTAATTTTTTTCATTAAGTCTTAGATGGTCATGAGGAAGTTTAAATTCCACAACTTCAATTTTTGATCGATTTTTTACAATCAATTTTTGCTGCACCCGCAGAAGATTTAAGTGCAATTGAAGAAAAGTGATTCAATGATGCATTCAGCTCAAAATCTATCCCAAAAAAGAAGAAAACTTATTTACTAAATGTGTTTAAAAAAACTTTTCAACCTGCCTACTCAATGATTATATAGAAGTTTGGTGTATAATTTAAAAAAGAAAAAAAAAAGAACTAATTCAGTCAGAGTTTATATTTTCCAGGATAAATAAACTTGATATGTTTAATGATTATAATTAGTTGCTTATTATAATTGTAATTGTCCATAAATTTGATGAAGTACAGGTAAGTAGCAAACACTTTCCATTTAAGAAACTTTTGAGTTTATTTCGAATGAACTGCCATAAAAATTAAAGAGGACAATTAAAATAATGAGTAAGTTTTATAAAGTATGTAATTTAAGACAAGTGCAAAATTTTGACCAAAACTTATTTCTATCTTGTTTTTATCCACATGCTAGAACCTTATTTGAAGAAAATTTTATAATATTTTTTTTCCTTCTGTTACAAGACAACATTATAAAGCTTGATTAAATGTCTCAATTTTCATGATGATACTAGTTCCTTCACATTTGCTAAACAAATATTGCAAGCATTCCTTGTTAAAATATTACAAATGTAATTAGAAAGACGTTAAACATTCAGAAAATATTAAAAAAGAAAAAAAATGTTATGGCAAAACAGATTATTGTCTTTTTAAAACTACTAATAAGCTGCATTATATAATCAAAATGAAAAGATAAAGGCCAAATCACCCCTGCAAAGACAGAAGGGAAAAAAAGAAATAAAAACACATTAGACATTCAATTAAAAACTGGTAATAATGTTTGATCAATCAAATGGTAAATATTTATATTCAAAATTTTTAGCAAGATAGAGAATCTAGATGACGCATGAAAAACTTGAGCAAACATGCAAATATTTACAAATTATAATAATCTATAAAAAATGAAATACTAAATAATTTTATGATGCATCTAGATCATGAAAATAAAATATAAAATTTATATTACCTGTCATGTCTAATAAATTCTACATCATGACCTGCATGGCAAGTTTTTATACAATTTACACAAATAGCATTTCGATCTGTCGTGTTACATGTTCTACACCTACAAAATAGATTTAAAATTATCAATGAACAAGAATAACAAAAAAATGCACTAATTAGCCTTTAATTATTGTAAACAAAGTGTGTTCTATACTTAATGCTGGGTCGGCAAGTTTTTACAAGGGTCAGTTTCTTATGGTTTTATCTGTTGATAAAATGTCATATTTATATATAAATGCTTCTATACCAATACTTTGTCCCTATTTAATAATTTAAATGAAAAAAAAATTTAGCCATCCAGAATTTACCCCTCCCTCGAAAAATAAGGTAATTAGAAAAATTGTGATTAAGTATCCAGAACTTGCATTCTTGCACATTATGGATTGTTGAGTTCTTACTGTACAATGAAATTCATAAGCATAATAGTTTCATAAATATCATTTAAGTTTTTGAATGTTTTAACCAGTTTGTAACATCAAAAACCTAAATCACTACCTTCTTATATTAGGTTTTGAGGTTACAGAATTAACCAACAGTTCTCAGCACTCCATTTAATTTCTGAAATAAAATTTCTTTGACTTTTGCAAGAAAATTTTAGACCCTATTTTATCCAAACATTACAATGTTTCATTAAATAAATACTATTTCGTTATTTAATAATGCCACATATAGAAATATATTTATGAAAAACAAAATATAGCAAAATTCATTTATGAAGCAGGCAAAGGAACCGCATCGTTTGCTCGTTATCATTGAGCACTCATAAAAAACCAGGTTTGTAAAAAATCATGACATTTCATACATTGTTAATTATAAATATAGTATTTACTCAATTTTATTTATTTCTGAACAGTCAATACAAAAGCTAGTTAATGTTCTGATAAACTCACAGCCAAAAAAAAAAGCATTGTCGAAAATGGGAAGAAGAAAAAACTTTTGGCACCAAAAAGAAACTCAGTGATCTGAAAAACATTGTAAAGTAAATTTTCAAAAAAGGGATTAGCTGAGCTGGGAAATTTATTTTGAATTAATGAATGACAAAATATTGCTTGCTAAAACTGAATTTGCGCATTAAAAGAGTTTGTCCTGATACTCATAAAAGAAAGCAAGTTGCCCCTTTCTCATTCAATGACTAAAGATATGCTTTATCAATAAGGAGAGAATTTTAAAAAGGAGTAAGAAAATCTCAATTCGTTAGTAGTTGGAAAAGCATTTGGTATTCTTAAGCTTTAAAAAATAAGTAATTTTAATAGAAAAAAATTCAATTTATTGAAAGTAAACTTTGAGTAACCGAGAAAAATTAACACAAAATTAAAAATATAGAGTTAAAGAAACATTAGAGTTATTGTATATCGAGTTGCCACAAATTGAATGTAAAATCTACTTTTTTTTTAAAAAAAAAGATAAAGATAAAATCAAGGAACTAAAATTTTTTTATTTTAATATGTTTTCATTTCTGCTAATATAAAGTTCCTTTGCCCCAATAAGTAATATTTTGCAGAAAATAAAATAGCAATAATAATGAATATTAAATAGTAGTATATGAATTAAAATCTTTACACAAAAGATAATTTAAGTGTTGAGAGTCAAAAACAATTTCTTTCTTCTATTTATTTTGTGTGTGTGTGCACTCTGCAATCTCATGCTCGTTTGTTTTTTAAATTTAATGTAGTTATCTTTAATCTAATTTATTTTCAATATTTTTGGATAGTTTTAGTTTTTACATCTTAATTAATTTTTATGAACAATATTTCATTTTTGTTTTCTTATCAGAGATTTTTATTATGATTAACTGAGATTCTCAGCATTCTACGCAGAATTTTCAACAATCCAGGATTTGCTGATTCTCTTATAGGATTCATATTACAAAAACACTATATAAAGCTTTTGCTGAAGTGGTTTAAAATTTTGCAATGTGATTTTTTTCTTCTTTTTAACAGATTTATGCAAAAGAAGCTAAGAGAATATATTCAAACATTGTCAAGACAACCAAATTCCCAATTTTCTGGATATTTGAGAAGGAAATTTGCATTTTTCATAATAAATTGTAGGGTCAGTAGCAGCAAAATCAGTATAAATTCTCATAGAACCAAATAATAATTTGAAGTTGAATTAAATATATTCATCAAGTTTAGTAAGTTAACTTAGAACTCTGGTTTTACCTTAAAAATATTAATGCAATAAAATCAAAAGCAAACAAGATTAAGAAGTGACTTCAAAAAAACTTGTTCTATAGAACTTAATTTATCTTCATCTATTATAAATAAACATCAGGATAATTGTTTTTATTTATTTTTTTAACATGAAGTTGAATTTAATTTAAAGATTTATCTTCATCTATTATAAATAAACATCTAGATAATTGTTTTTATTTATTTTTTTAACATGAAGTTGAATTTAATTTAAAGTTAAAGTGTTTGTTATATGAGTTTACAAATATTAATTTTATTGTCTATGCTTAGTTAAAAATAACAAAAAATTTGCAACAAAATATTTTTGTTCACATAAAACTACAATATTTACAATTCCCAGACATGTAAAGATACACACAGTGGCAAAATGAGCCCAAAAGTAATTATAAATAACCAAAGTAGATTAAATAAAAGGATAAAAATTATGCAGAAATTACTTACCTGTAGAAGTCATGCATTGGAAAACTTGTATAACTAGAAATTTTGTACAAACACTGACCAGTACTAACAGCTTTTTCAACTGCATTGTGGTTTTCAAATATTCTGTTACCTTTATGTTTAATAGAAAAAAAGAACCAATTTTAAATGCAACAAGTAACTAATTGCATGACATAAATACTACCTTTACGAATAGGTTAAGAAACCTTTAAGTAACTTATATGAACTAACTTTAATTAATTTATAATAACGTACCTTTAAGAATAGGATTTACACCACTTGCTAAACATAATCCACCAAACCTGTTGTTGAAAATTTGGTTGTACTCTAGTGTTGCAGTGGCATTGTTTGTTATTTCCACACCAGCTGCAAGACCATCAAATATTCTGTTTCGTTTTAGAACTGGGTGACTTTGTGTACTAATCAATACACCAGCTTGAGCATTGCGAAAAATATCATTTTCTTCTAATATTCCTGGTTGGCAGAAAAGATGGTTCAATAATGATTCAAATAAGTATTTAATAGTTATATTTTTTAAGAAAAAAGTGTTAATATAAAATATATGTTTATGCTTAAGTGCAAAAAGTTATTCAGCAGTTCAGTATTCTGTTTATTGCTCAGTTAGTCAGCAGAATATCAAGGTAATGGGCAAATTAACTAGCGGGATTCGATAAAGTGCTAAAAATTGTTTCATTACTCATATGATCTAAGTAATCTGCACATTACTTACTAGGCACTCGTTAAAGTGAAAATAAGATATTTTCTGGAATAGCAGCAATGTTTCTGCTCACTTCTCTTAACATAATGTAATCTATTTATATCAATTAAATTCAAGTAAATACAATCAAACAATGAACAAATTAGTTAATAGAATAAATCAGATAAATAACTATAACATAAATAGTCAAATTATTTGAAATATTATTCATCAGAATATTATTACAAGATAGTGAGAAAAATGCAGAAAGCACTCAATTCTGCACTTTAATGAAGAAGCAATTGTAGCAATGTGCACATTGACCGCTTTTGAGCTTCAGCACATACAATGATGATATTAAGGTTTTATCATTCAAACAGCATTTATCATACATACAGCATTTTTTTTTTTATCATACAAACAAAAGTGGAATTCTATAGTATATTAAAATTTTAAGAAAATATATGAAAATCATCATAAAAAAAAAAGATTATCATATTAGTGTTTAACAGCTCCTGTATGTAAATAAATTATTATGGCCTTCATCACAAAATAAAAACACAATGATATTGGAGAGTACTAGCTAACTAGAGAATATACTAACTAATAAATCAGAACTGGATTCATTAAAATGTATTTACAGTTTTCAAAATATTAATTACTAAATTTATAGCACATCTTTTAATTACTGCAGCTATTATAAAAAGTTCCTTGATAGTTGTAATTTATTAACAAATCTATTCACAAATTTAATCAGGATATATTTTTCAGCAAAATTCTAAAATGCATTTTAGCATATTACTGAGACTACATTTGGGCCATTCTCCACTGTAAACACGCTAAACTTCAATTTTTATCTTACTTGTACATATTTTTAATTTATTCAATAATAAAGTACATAGGTTAAATCTTAAAAAAATGAGATACAATAATAGTTATATTTAAATTTTTACTATGGAATCAATTCTTAAAATTTAGCATTGTACTTTTTAAGTTTTCTTGTTATAATCAACATATTTACATTTATTTCCTTAGTTGAAAAATTATTATAGCATTTCAATTTTCTTCTTCTTTTTCATATATCTATATAATGCTCTTATTTAAAAATAAATTAAAAATTTAAAAATCATATTAAAATAATGTAAAACATAAAAATTTATTTGAGCAAAAATTGGTTGTCCCATGCATAACACGAAAACATGGTAATTTTTATTTTTCTCATTTATTTTTAGGGCAAAACAGAAACTGCTTCAATTTTACTTTCTTTCTCTTAGTACTGACTTATATTACAAAGGAAGTTCCTCTAAGTTTAATATTAGATAAAAAATTAGCACTTGTTTTCATGTCCCGTGCATAACTTAGATTTCTCTAAAAATCGGGAAAATCAAAAACTCCAAGAGCATTTATAACTGTAGGTGGCTGAGTAACTTTAACAACTTCCTCATGTTGTAAAACACTTTATCTTCTCTTTTAGGCCATTTCCAATATTTTCCAGGCTTTACCATGGCAGAAACTTCAATATCATTTCCCAGCACTTGCGTAACTTCTCCAGCTTATAAACTATTATCATATTTCACAACAACCCAATTTCCTCCAACACTTTTTGTGGTGTTAATTGCGCTGCTAGTAAGATTTCTTTTTATTGGTGCTACAGCATTTTTATAAAATTTTAAACCAGAAGGCGGAATATGTAATTCTATGCATTTTAGAAATTCCTGGTATTACTCTTGCGGTGACCCACATATTATTATCTCTGTTTATATCTTTAAAAATAGCATCACTGTAATAGGTGGCATAGCTTTTTTTACAACATTTACAAAATCTTCCGCAGACTGCACAATTGGAACTGTCTTAGCTGCCTAAAACTGTCCTAAACTGTTTTAAAGTGGCCAAAACCTTAAGCATTGGTAAAAGATAAAAATTCTATATGTGAAACTATTAAACACATAATAATTACATACATTAATAAATATTTTATATTTTTTATACAATTTACTTTAACTTATTAAAGGAAAATAATATAATAGGAAAAGATCAATAACTTTTGAAGCTGCACAATTCATTGAATAACAAAAGTGAGTACCTTATCCTTTAAATATGCTTTTAGTACTGATAAATTATGTTTTTTCATAAGGATAAATAATGCAATATTTAAAGTAATAATATTTTTTTTAATAAAACAAAAACTTGTCTTCATTTTGTTCCTTGTTCAAAAAGTAACATTTTATTTTTCACATTTTTTTAAAATTTTAATATAATTTGATCCATAGAGTTTTGGACAGGACAGTTTAAACCGTTGATTAATCCTTTGTTTTATAAACCTTGCCAACTCTGATGCTTCATTCAGATATGTCACCAAATAATGTTTACTTAATTTAATTTTCTCACCATTCTTCCAAACTGTAACTTCATCTTTACTGCTGCTAACTGCTGTAAAAAAAGATCTGGACGGAAAAAAAATTTTCGTACTAAATTAGGTGACTCTTCATCACTATTAGTATTTTTCTGACTAGCTTGCATGTTTAAGCCAAAATTTGTTGCAATTACAAAAACTACTGTTTTTTTTTGTTGGAGATTTAGGTAAAGATTTTAATGATTTTCTCATTGCTTTTCCGATAGCTTGATAAATCTTGTAGGCATTTTTAGCTTGGCTTCTTGATGGTGTATTATTCCTAAACTCCGTTTTCTTTCTTCGGCGATACAGTTGTAATTATCCTTTATAATGATTTATAAAGCTTCTAATCCAGATCACCAAACTAAATTCAGAGTATCAAAATATACATAATTAAATCAAGTGTATGCTTCCGTGTGTAATAAATTACAGACATGTCCCGTGCATAACATTAGGTATGTCCCGTGCATAACACAAATAAAATAAATTTAGAATTTTATCAAATAATGTATTTGGAAAACATCCAGCATAATTTAATAGAAGTAATATTTATCAGCTAAGAAAAAAATATAATGACAATATACAAGTTTTAAATTCACAGAGTTTATGAAAAATAGAAGCCAGGGTAGAAATTAATCTTTTTTCTGAGTCCCGTGCATAACGACTATATTAAATCCCTTTTCAAGTATTTAAACTTTAATTTTTTATTTGTTTTCTATACAGTCTTTAAGAAACAGACTTGTTTTGAATTGAATTGTAAAAAAAAATTAATTACCCCATTATTTTACTATTTTTATAAACTTCAAAGGCCTGCAAATGTCCCGTGCATAACAGGAGAATGGCCCATTTGAAGAAACGCCACATGCTCAGCCTTTACAAAAAAATAATTTCCTTGAATTTATCTTTTTTTATAACTTATTTTGATAGTTTAAGAGTCTTCACTCAATTGTTATATCGCTTTTAAAAATTAATAAAAAGAAATACAGCGGTAATTAATCAATCATTACAAAAATAAGATTTAATGCAAATCGTTTCACAAAATATTGAAGATTAACATCTTTAATTTAAAAATTATTAGACATCCACATTAAACCATTAAATATATTTAATTTTTATGAGCAGTATTTACAAACCAAAACTTCACTTATAAGGTAAAATTTTACCCAGTATAATAACTTTTTTCCACACTACGTACAATCAGCATAATGTGAATTTTTATCAAAGAAGCCTAAATCCTCGTAGCTCTAAATTTGTAAAACTTATAGCTTTGATGTAAGTAACCATGCATAATCATATAATAAATATAAATACTGAAAAAGAATAGTCATGTTTTGGACCAAAATATATATTATACACTACCCTACAATAATAGAAGAGACACTTTGAGTTTTTGACATTTTAAATTATAGAAATGCTTAAAGGATTTTTTTATCTACAAAATTAAGAAGAAATTTTTTTTTTCACATTTTCTTGGCACATGCAGAGCATAAAAGAACTACCTTAAATACTTATAGCTTGTGCAGTTTTAAATGAATTTTTTTAAATAAATTATTTTGTAAATCAATTTAAACTGCTCCAAAAATGTTGTTTGATTCCATTTATATTCACTAAGTTATAGCAAAAAAACATAAGGCAAAAAAAAAAAAATTAGATTTTTATAAAAATGACCATGTCTCAATAAACATTTTCTCTAGTATTACGAAATTTTGCGCATTTATTAAAATTAACAACTAAAGTATTTGATACCAGTCACAAGCTTATTGCTCGATTTTCTGACAAGAGGGTGTTACTTCCATAAAATACTTGTGTTCTTACGTAATTTAGTGTCGGTCTCCCACACCTCTGAAAGCTTTCATTTTTATTGCTAAGTATGAAGAATCGCATGAACTAACAATCTCTGAAGTTATAAAATAATCATTTAAATATTTCTTGAGAAATTTTATAAAAATGACAAAAAAATCAAAATGTCTCTTCTATTATTGTACAGTAGGGAACCGATTATCCGGTTTTCTGAATCGCTACAAAAAGCCTTTTTTTTATTGTTAAATCCAACTAAAAAAATTTTTTTTTTGGAAATAATCTTAAAAAGAGGAAAAAACGATGAAGTAATACACTAATGATTATTTCCAAAATGATGNATTACGAAATTTTGCGCATTTATTAAAATTAACAACTAAAGTATTCGATACCAGTCACAAGCTTATTGCTCGATTTTCTGACAGAGGGTGTTACTTCCATAAAATACTTGTTTTCTTACGTAATTTAGTGTCGGTCTCCCACACCTCTGAAAGCTTTCATTTTTATTGCTAAGTATGAAGAATCGCATGAACTAAAAATCTCTGAAGTTATAAAATAATCCTTTAAATATTTCTTGAGAAATTTTTAAAAAATGACAAAAAAATCAAAATGTCTCTTCCATTATTGCATATAGTAATCATCTATCTGGCTCGCAACTATCCTATCATTTGGTTAGAAAAAAATGAAAAACATTGGAACCAGCCATTTGTAAAACTAATCGCAAGAAGTGGAGGATGGAAAAAAAAGACGCCTAAATGGCTTAAAGCAGTATTTCTCAAGCTCCATAGTAAAAACTCCTTCTTGTTATAAATAAACAGAGAGCCTTTATCACTTTCATATTTTAAAATATGTAGCGGGTGTTTTTAATTGTATGGAAGAGCAGGGTAAGGAAGTTGTCCTATAAGAGCATTTTTGTAATTTGGCCTACACTTCCACCACAATTTGATTACTAAATGATTTCAAACAGTAAGTAATGAAATAAAGTATACAATATTATACACTGTCTGGCCAAAAGTATCCGGACACCCAGTGGAGAGCATCCTGAGGCACATAATTAATAGGATGACAACCTGTCCAGATATTTTGTGAACAGTCCTGTTTTTATAAAATTGTGAAAAAACTATTCAAAACTTGTGAATATAAAATAAGCATTAAATCACATTCTTTCAACCAGGGTCCTGCTTTTGTGCAAATAGTTACCTGTTATTGCAAAAAATGATAAAAAACCTTTTCAAGTAGTTTTTAAATTGCAAATAGATACAAGATTCTGCTCAACAATTGCTGCTACTAAATTAGAGATGCAACATACAAATAATTGGTATTTAGCCTATACTCCTCAACACAGAATATTCATTTTGGATGAATAATGGAAACGAAATCGCTCACATTTTTAATAACACAACTTAGTAATGTATCTCTTTTAATGTGTTACGCATTAAGTAAACTATATAATTAATATTATGAATAATATATTAATATTATACTAATATTATGAATAAATATAAACTGATCAATTATTTATTTACCAAAAAAATATGATTTAATATTAATAAGAACGTGCACACGATGTTTGTAAAAGTAGAAATATATTCTTAGAATACTGCATTTAGAATTTAAACTTAGTTTGTTTCGAACCGTCTTCCCCCCCCCCTTATTCGATTAACAAAACAATAATGAAGATAAACAAATTTGTGAAGGGTCCGATTAAAAGATTAATTATTTTGTGAAGGGTCCGTTTTTATGAAAAGATGTTTTGTGAAGGGTTCGTTAACGTATCCAAATTTCTTCTAAACAGACCCCTGATGTCTGTTTAAAGACTTTTCACCAGTTTTTGATAGGAATTGATTTCCATGACAGCTGATGTGAGTGCTTGCAGTGAGGAGGTTTGATTTGGCTGGTCACGTAATCTGCGCCCTAAAGGTGTTCAATGGGATCTGAGAAGGTCAGTCCAGTTTCTGAACACCCATTTCGTCAAACAACGTCTGTGCAAGCCCCTACGTGTGAATGGAGAAGAGAAATGGGTCTTCCCTGAAATATTGCCCAAGGGTTGAGAGTGCAGCATTGTCCACATACATCTCAAGAGTTCCACCATAACAATCGCGTGTCTGGATTTTTGGCCAGAGAGTGTGTGTATAAAGTAAGTCTTACCTTTTCCACCATTAAAGATGCATACCCCACCGTCACGACCATCATAAATTTTGTTTCTCCTAAGGGTTGGATTGCTGTCAGTTTTGATCCACACACCAGCCATGGCATTATCAAAAATTTCATTTTGTTCTAAAATACCTAGTCCTCCATTATATACAAGAACACCACCATTTTGGCCACCCCAAATTTTATTCCGACAAATAATAGGATTGCTACCAGTTCTGTAAGAAAAACATAATTTAAAATTGTTTATTAATAAAACAAACTTGTATTTCATTAAAATACTACTTTAATTTAAATAAATACCTTATTTGTACACCAGAATACAGATGATTAAAAATATCATTGTCTTCTAGTCGCCCATGACCATTGTCATAAAAATAGACTCCAACCTTAAAAAAAAGCAAAGTTTGAATAATTCCAACTTTTGTAATAAATAAAAATTATTAAAGTGATCAGACTAGTATTTTCAGTTATATTTTTGGCATTTCTAATAATTGGCTGCAATATTGATAACTGTAAAATTTTAATTGTCTACATTTTGTTTCAGTATTCTCTAATTATTGTTATTATGTTTGTCTAATTTTCACTAATTGTTATTAAGTTTGAATTTAACATGATTACGTATGACTTTAACATGCAGTGTCATATACATTTCTTTACCAAAACAAAACAATTTTCTTCACTCATAGATATTAATTACGTTATCAGGTTCCAAGGTTAACTTATTACTGTTTCTCAAGATATTAGTGCTACTGATAAGGAAGGTCTCCTTAAGAGCATGTTCAAAGAACTTTGAAAAAGAGGTGAATCTACTCATGCATCAAAACATAATTAAGTGATCTAAATTTTATTGAAATTCAAAGAAAAATACTTTATTTAACCTGGTGTTTAACTATAGAGCAAGATTAGCAAAAATCACAATTTAAAAAAATAAAATAGATTTGATTTATTGAATTTAAATAGGTTTTTTTTAATTATTTTACTATTCCCCTTATATTTTTTAATTATTTTCTTTATATTTTACTATTCAGGGTTCCCACTCTATAATGAGATTGAAATTCAAGGACTTTCCAGGACTTTTCAAGGACCTCAACAAAATTTTCAAGGACCTTAATCTAAGACCAATTTTAAAAATTATTCTCTTCTATTTTACTAGAAGCAACAATNGCCCATGACCATTGTCATAAAAATAGACTCCAACCTTAAAAAAAAGCAAAGTTTGAATAATTCCAACTTTTGTAATAAATAAAAATTATTAAAGTGATCAGACTAGTATTTTCAGTTATATTTTTGGCATTTCTAATAATTGGCTGCAATATTGATAACTGTAAAATTTTAATTGTCTACATTTTGTTTCAGTATTCTCTAATTATTGTTATTATGTTTGTCTAATTTTCACTAATTGTTATTAAGTTTGAATTTAACATGATTACGTATGACTTTAACATGCAGTGTCATATACATTTCTTTACCAAAACAAAACAATTTTCTTCACTCATAGATGTTAATTACGTTATCAGGTTCCAAGGTTAACTTGTCATTGTTTCTCAAGATATTAGTCCTACTGATAAGGAAGGTCTCATTAAGAGCATATTTGAAAGAATTTTGAAATATAGGGAATCTACTCATGCATTAAAACATAATTAAGTGATCTAAATTTTATTGAAATTCAAAGAAAAATACTTTATTTAACCTGCTGTTTAACTATAGAGCAAGATTAGCAAAAATCACAATTTAAAAAAATAAAATAAATTTGATTTATTGGATATAAATAGGTTTTTTTTATTTTACTATTCCCCTTATATTTTTTAATTATTTTTTTTATATTTTACTATTTTACTGTTTTTTATTATTCTACCAACCAAAGCATCTGATAAGATGTATTAATAACGCTTAATATTATTTAAAAATAATATAATAGCAAACATACTTAATATTTTTAAGTAAAATTGCTCAAATTATAACGAACTAATTACTAAATAAAATCTGTTATTTTTGTTCAAGCATATTGGCCTGTGAGAGAGCTTTTGGGAAGATGACTTCGGTCTTTTGTTACTTTCTATTTTTATTGTTCCTCGAGGTTATTGTTTGTATTCCCTGGAATTGGAAATAAATAAAAAAATTTCAAGCTCAACATTCTAATGAATTTTAAGGACAGTGAAGCAATTTGAAAATTAAATATCAAATGAAGAGCTAATTAGTTTGGATCAGGAAACGTCGAGAAAAAAAAACAATTAAGTCACTCTGAATAGAACAAACCTCTTTTGTTATTGAATAAAACCTTTCATTTTGTAAAACTTTTCCTTTTTTGTACACCTTTTCATATTCTTTTTTTAACTTTTAAACATTAACTAAATCCCATTATCCAAAATTTTGTGCAAGAAAAAGGAGATTTTTACATCAGAAAAGAATTGACAGTTCTTGTCTTCTTAAATTTGAAATAATTATAAAAATTTATTATTTGTTTCATAATACAAGTAAATATTAGGAATTCTAATAAAGATAATGAAAATCAGCAAAGCATAGCATATAAAAAAAGAATTTATATTATTTATGATTATATATACAGTGAAACCTCCTGTTATGGACACTCCTGCAAAACAGACGCCTCTCAATAAGGATATATTTTCAATTCCCGGGAATCTTCTATGAATAAACCATTATGTATATTCTCCGTAAAGCGGATACTCCCATAACCAGATGCGGACAGTCATTTTGGCCAGGAAACGCTATTTTCTATCTCTTCAAACCGGACACTACTTTTTCTAAGCTTGAAAAAAAAACTATTTCTGTTTTAAATTGCAAGGAAAAATAATGCAACTTTTCACCATTTTTAAAACATGTAACTTTTCTGCCTTATCCATAACTAAAAATGTTGTTAAGCTATTTCAATACTGAAGAATTAATATCTCTCCTGTCACCTTGCCTTATCTTTGTAAAGAAAGGAGAGAAAATGATACTGCTCTCCTGAAATAATTCGGACAGCGGCATCTTTTAATCTGGACAACACAGGTTATGAGACCCCTCAAGTTAAAATGACATCTTAAATGCTCTCAATGCTTCTTCCCCATTGAAAATTTCATTAATTTTCTAATCAATTTGAAGACTGTATTTCACACAGCTGTGGTAAAAAAGAGAACAGAAATATAATCTTTGATGTGTTCAAATAAATGAAACACCTATTCAGACACTTGATACTTGATCAATTGTGAATAATCAACTCCATAGGTCCTCATGACTTAACTGTGAATCGTGGGAGGTTTACTTTCAAGAATATGCTAATAGGATAATTATATTCATTTATCTGTAGCTACATCTAGAATTATGTATTTATATCAAACTTCCTTATATATTATTTTTTATCTTTCTTAAAGTTTAAATAAATATCCTTGTAGATAGTTATAATAATTATTTCTACATCTTTGAAAATATTCTAAAAACAATTAACAGTGTTAAACTTTGATATCAGGGTGCCCTCCCCGTAAGCGGACAACTCTCGTAAACGGACAATTTTTTCGGTCTCTTAATGTCCGCTTAACAGAGGTTTTACTGTATATAAATAACACACATACTTGTTTCCCACTATGTATCCTGTTACGTCGTAATACTGGAATACTTCCTGTTGTAATCCACACACCGGCTAAGGTATTGGCATAAACTTCATTTTCTTCTATTAGACCTTGACCTTTTTCATGCTGGAAATTTAATCTTCAGTTATTTTCAATTTTATCAGGTTTATTTTAACTTGAAAATACAAGAATGAAATGTTAAAAAAGAACTCAAAGTAACATGCACATGAAAGCACTCTCCACCACACCTTCTATATTTCAAATTTTAAGAAAGAGTTCTGTAAAAAACTCTTATTTTAAATCTGATTCTTTTTCTTATTGGGTTGCAGACAACAATGCCAGAATAAAAGTTTTAATTTAATATAGATTAGATATTTTTATTCCACTTGGTTAACAATAGCAATTCCAAAAGAAGCCAATAAGTAGGATAACACAAAATTATAACAATGCTTTTTCAGCTAAAAACTTTCAAACGACATCAATTTTGAGACACTCTTTATAAATGAGACAGGTTAAGATACCTACCTTAACTTACAACACAGTCTCTTTGCTTTGTAGGCAATAGCTCAGTATGTCTAGTATGCAATATTTGCTAGTATTAGAATCTTTCTAGATAAAAGATTTAGTTAAAGCTCCGAACTTGAACCTGTTTGTGTGGTAAGTTGCACAGTGTACATAAAAATTTAGCTCTCTGCTAATATTTTAATTAAATATTATTTAATTTAATAATGAGGAGTAAAAAAATTTATAATCACAGTGTAAACTAAATATTCATGTCAAGCACAATTTTATGAAGTAAATTAGTTAATTGGTTAAAATTTGGTTGTTTTAATTTTTTCCAAAACGTTATTCTGAAATATTTTCTGATTAATTACTTCAAAATTAGAAATTTTCTGTACCCACCTTTATACAAAAAGAAGCAAACATTAACTATTTTTTATATAAAATTATGTTTGGACAAATGAGCTTCATAATTGAGTGTAAAAATTTTGTGATTCAAGCTATTAGTTACAAAGACAGGGCAATAAATTAAAGTAGTAAAAACAGTAATAAGAGAGTCAAATTTTGAAGACTTTCTTGATTTGAGAGCTCAGATCTTTTTAGGATATTTATTTAGTGCATTTTTATGTAATTTAATTCATAATTTTTGCTTATTACAATAAAAGAAGAATCCAAGATGACTCAGGAAATAGAACACTAGCCTCCCAATGAAGTGATCCAGATACACTACCTAGAGATAATTGGTTCACTTGAATACTAGCTCATTTGAAGACCGACCACAGTGCTGATGTAAAATAGTAGAAAGTGCATATGTTAGGATTTCTTAGCCATCTGGCTAACCAAGGGAGGTTTTTGCAGTTTGTTTTTCTTTTTGTAACACAAATGGGTTAGGTCCACCGAAAAATCCCTCCTCAAAGATAAGATTGCCCTATTCTAAAAGATGCAAATCTAAAATGGGCTCTAATAGATCCACTTAAGCCATAGCTATATCTTTACCAATGATAATCTGATCATTAGATTGAAAGTTATACACAATAATTGGATTTTTATTGTGCTAATCTTTCTAATCTAATGATTTCCTGGTAGCCATACACTTATATCTTTATTATATTTCATACAATGAAGTTCTAAGAATACAGATCACAAAAAATATAATTAAATTAGAAAACAGTCAGTTATATAATTCACTATTTTAGTAAATATACAAGTAATTTTTAGTACATTTTAATAATTGATAAAATTGTCATAAATGGCACTAATATACTTACAACATAAATTCCACCGTGCTTCCCTTGATGAATTTTATTATAACGAACTATAGGATCACTATTAGTACGAATCTGGATGCCAGCTAAAGCATTACCTGAAAATGAAAAAATTTTAAAACAATTTTACTTACCACATAAATACCACCATGAAGACCATGATGAATTTTATTATATCGCACGATAGGGNCTGATGTAAAATAGTAGAAAGAGCATATGTTAGGATTTCTTAGCCATCTGGCTAACCAAGGGAGGTTCTTGCAGTTTGTTTTTCTTTTTGTAACACAAATGGGTTAGGTCCATCGAAAAATCCCTCTTCAAAGATAAGATTGCCCTATTGCTAACTGTAAGAAATTACTTATCTTCTGAGTTGGGTAAAAAATTACAAGGCTCTAAAAGATGCAAATCCAAAATGGGCTCTAATAGATCCACTTAAACCATAGCTATATCTTTACCAATAATAATCTGATCATTAGATTGAAAGTTATACACAATAATTGGATTTTTATTGTGCTAATCTTTTTAATCATGCCATCGTTTTTAAGCTTATCTTTCTAATCTAATGATTTCCTGGTAGCCATACACTTATATCTTTATTATATTTGATACAATGAAGTTCTAAGAATACAGATCACAAAAAATATAATTAAATTAGAAAACAGTCAGTTATATAATTCACTATTTTAGTAAATATACAAGTAATTTTTAGTACATTTTAATAATTGATAAAATTGTCATAAATGGCACTAATATACTTACAACATAAATTCCACCGTGCTTCCCTTGATGAATTTTATTATAACGAACTATAGGATCACTATTAGTACGAATCTGGATGCCAGCTAAAGCATTACCTGAAAATGAAAAAATTTTAAAACAATTTTACTTACCACATAAATACCACCATGAAGACCATGATGAATTTTATTATATCGCACGATAGGGTCACTATTTGTACGTATCTGGATACCAGCTAAGGCATTACCTGCAAAGATCATTTACAGTCATGTAATAAAAACGCGAAAAGAAATGAAAAATGCAGATCTAAATGCCACTTTAATAAGCCAAATTATCGATCAGGCTATGGGGATCCTGCAATCTTTTTCCTAGTAAGTAAAACTTAAAATATTGGTACTTTTCAATTACAGTCTATTTAAATGAGTAAATCTAGAAATTTTCTGACCAGTTTTAGTAGGGACTAATATATGAGTATATTTTAGAATAAGTAAACTACTACGTATCAAATATAAAAGAAATTGCATAGCTTTTCATGATGGTTTTTATTTAAAGAATTAATGTGCTATAACATAATTATTAAGTCAGCAAAAATTTTTAAAATAAAAAGAAAACATTAAAATATAATTCAGAAAATATTCCATAGGCTTCATGCATTGATTTTTACTCATTTTAAAAATGCAAAGTCATAGTTTAATATAGCTTTCAATTCTTTCGCAAAGTTAAGTGAAATCCTTCACAAAACCTTTATAGTAAAAAAATACAAATGTGACATTATTCTCAGAGGAAAGAAGAATGTTGTGCAATAAAATATGGAAATGAGACAAATATCTTACATAAAAAAAAATAGAAACAAGTAAAGTTACACCTAATTAGTTAAACATTAGGTATTTACTTAAAAATTACAACATAAGGTAGTTACCAGAGTTGGCCGTTGATTACAGTAATCGATTACAACTGTAATTGATTACANAAATTACAACATAAGGTAGTTACACCTAATGTTCTATTATTTTACCCATGTAATGAACATTAGACATACTTTAGGATATAATTTTAAAAATTTATACTTCAATATACGTTTAATCCAAATTTAAAAAGATAAACTAAGGAGAGTAGTTTGTTTTTAACCAATTGAGCAACAGAAATATGCATACATATACTTAATAAAAAATTTATTAATGTACAGAATAAATTTGCTAGTTAAAAAATCAAACAAATTAAATTTACATAATAATTAAAACTACATTAAAGTTAATTAAAACTGTGATATTTTAAAAATACTACTGTAACAGATAATAATTGCCTTCAACCTCGCAATATAAATTTTACAAAAGTAATATAAAAAAATGAAAAAACTATTTAAAAAAAATGAAATAATAATTTTAAGACAAAGGATTTTTGCATAGCATATTTGTAAAAAAAGTAATGAAAGTTACCATAAATGTTATTGTGCTCAATTAGTCCCCTTCCTTCACCAAATATATATACACCACCTTGATGACCATTATAAATTTCATTCCTCCTAAAATTGTAAAAAAAAAAAATCAGCAGTGTCTTCAGTTATGTAGAAAAATCATAGTGACAACAGCATAGTTTAAACAGTAATGTAATCATAGCGATGTATATGAAGCTATTTTTATACTTTAAATAACTTTATTTTAAAATTGCAATAAAAGAAGCTTGTGAGATAGACTTAAATAATTTGTAAATAAGTCATTAATATACTGTTTTAAGTATTAAGCATTTAAATTTTCTTAAAAATACTTAATAAGAATCGTTACTTCATCAACTATAAAATGCATGTTAAGATTACAAATTTAATTTTAAAAAGAAATATTCTGATATAAATAAAGCGAAATTATTAAATAACACTTTTTTAAGTTTAGTCAAAATTTGTTAAAATACTTATAAACATAAAATTACTTTTCATTTATTTAATTACATTTTAAATTCCATACTGCTGAGTAATCAATTCTTAACGAAAATTTCCTTATCATATAGCACTTTTTTGCATATCAAAGACAGCATTGTCAAATTACTTCATTATAAGATTTAGAAGTCGGTGATGGAACAATAGGGTGGCAACAATCAGTGAAGTGGCAACCAGACTATTTCTAAATTAATTTATTTGTAGGCAAAAAAATTCGATACTTGAACTTTCTTAGTCACAATTGTTTCGTTCAAAATAAAAAATTTATGAATAAGCATTCAGAACTAGAATTAGATACATTAGAATTAGTTTAAATGTTAAACAAAACAATAATAATAATCTATTATATTACAGACATGCCAAAGAAGTTCAGGAGAAAAGCCAAAAACTCAAACATGATTTTCAAATTACAATTTAAACTATCATAAAAATTACAATTTAACCCTTTGCTTACGGCTGGTACAATAAGTGGGCACGAATGGCTTCATCATGTTAAGTTCCGTAATCAAAAGGTTAAATGAGTTATTAAACTAAATAAAATGCAAATTAAATAAAAAAAATATTCTTTCTTATTTTCTATTTAAGTTAAAAGACTTATAATTGTTATTTTAAAATGTCATTACTTTTCATAATCTCTAATGGATTTATTTCTTACTAAGATAATCTGAAGATTAAATATTCTGTCCATAAAACTGTAAACTAATTATTATTATTTAAAGCAGCAGATTTTTAAATAAAATGTTTCACTAACTTCAAATGCAACAAATTAAAAAAAAAAGTTAATAGTTCCTCAGTTCCACATTTTAAAAATTCTGTTATTAATAAAATATTAATCAAATTAAAATAATTTTAAATGAACTGAACGAAGAGGTCAATTCAAATTTTGAAACTTATCTTCATTATACAAGATTTGAATTTATCTTTTAAAAATAATAAATAAATATATGTTCCTAATTCCCAATTATAAGATTTTGTTACAGAAAAATTTATTTGATCCTGTCTCTTTCCCTTATAATACAATTCAACAATCCTAAAAATACTGAAATAACAAATAAGTTAGAACAGATTAGATAATCAGATCACTTTCAATCCTAATTCGATCAGGCAAAAAAGAAAAAGAAGAAAAAAAAAGAAAGAAAAGAAAGAATTCTATGGATTTGCAGAACAGTAAAAGTTCTTTTTTTTCCTTGCAGCAGAAGTGGAGGCGAAAATCCTTTGATTGACCTTTAAATTAACAAAAAGAAGAAAAAAAGGGAGGGGAATTCAAATCAAAAACTGAATGTTAACATTAGTGTCGATATCATACATTTAGTTAACATTAGATAGAAAAATTTAAAATTGCACATTGACTAAATTAAATGGTACTTATTTGATATCATTAAAAAAGAATTTAAACAATGACCAAGAAAAATTCTGAAGTACATTCAATAACGAGTATCAATAATGAAATTATATTGCAAATTTAGACATTGCTTTTACCTGATTGTAGGATTACTATGTGATGTTATCCAGACACCAGCAAAGTTATTAGAATGAATTTTGTTTTCGATGAATTGGCCTCTTCCATTTTCATGCACATAAATACCCCCAGTTTGACCATTGTGAATTTCACATCGTACAACAGTAGGATTGGCACCAGCTTTCACTTCAAAACCAGCTATTCTATTATTATGAATGTCATTTGTTTCAAAATAGCCCTGAAATATTGTACATATTTTAACTATTTAACCATCAAAATTATTTTTGTATTCAATTAAGGAAAATAATTTAACTATTATAACTTTTAATATGTGATACTCAAGAATCAAGGAGTAATGTATTCAAAAAGTAAATTAAAATATTCTAAAAAAATTAATTATAATTATCATTGAATAATATAATCAAAAATATCTACAAATTTCCATAAGATAAAAATTTTTCAGATACATGGCTGAAAATATGCTTTCAAGGAATAAAAAAAAAATTTCAAATGAGAACTATTTAATACTATTTACAAAAAAACAAAAATAAAAAACATGAGGAAATTTTTATTTTTGATAAAATTCTTGTAACTAACTTCTTGAGAGGAAAAAAGAAGTAATGATTTAATTAATTACATCAAACATGTAAGAAATTGATATAAACAACACTTAAGTTTTTAAATAAATTCCAAAGCAGCATTTGTTTCATAAGTATGTTGATTAAAGAAAAAGTTCATTAATATTCATCATTTCGAAACAGCACATCCACATTTTCCCTTTATTAATTTGACTTTTTATCAAAATTTATTTAAATGAGAAAAAAGATTGATTCAATTTATTTTATTTAAAAAGAGAAAGTATTTTCTATTCAAGGGGTACAACTTGTGCACATCCACTGTACTTGGTAAATTCTAAGAATTTTGAAAAGTAAGACCTGCGCAAAACATTTACAAAGAAATAACCAATAACTAGCCAATAAATTAGATACCTGTGAGATTTTCCATTAAATGCTCTGCAGCAGAAAGTACATAAAACCTGTTTTCAACATCAGTAAAATCTCATCAGTGATATAAATAAGTTTGTATAAGTAAAGTTTGTATAAGTAAAGTGTGTAATAAAGTAGGTTTCACAATAAACACATTAGAATGGGAAAAACAACAGATTTTTTACCATTTGGAAAAGGGCACCCATTTAACAGGAGCCATGATTGTGAAAACAGCAGAACTCATTAGCTTCTCCAAAAGCCGCCATATACAAGGTTCACATAAGTTGGAAACAGAAACCACATTATTTGCCAGGAACGCAACTGTGGTTGAATAAAATTAACTAAAACTTAGATCAGAATCTTCTCTAAATAATTGTTTGGCACAAAAGGGACTCTTCTGTGTTTCAACTGACAAAAACTTCAACCAAGGTTCTTCTCAATCAACTTTAGCACAAACCAGAGAATCAGAGAGGATACATAGCCAGAAAGGAAATATCTCACTTCAGCTTAAAATTCCCGGTTCGCAGTGGTGTTGGGAAAGACGACACTGGTCATCGGAGGATAGATGAAACACTTTTTGTTCTGTACTGATGGAAGACATTGAATTTGGCAGAAACGGACCCATCCTGCCTTGTTCGCACTGTGCAAGGGTCTAGTGGTGGAAGTATCATTATGTGGGCATGAAAGTGGTACTCAGGTGCTTCTCAAGGGTGAACAAAAAGCTATGTAATAGCAGGACATATTGACAGATCAAGCACATCTTGCATTGTTACATTTATACTCCAAAAGTGAAAAAAACTTTAAGGATAATAATTCAACCATCATGCCAGAAGCATTCAAAATTGGCTCAGTGAGCATCAATCTAAGTTCCAACACCTTCCCTGGTAACCGTAAATCCCCGGATCTTAACAAAATAGAAAATGTTTGGGATATGCTTGAAAGGCATATCCGACACTGATTTCCACTTCCTACAGAGATTTAAAGCCAACATCTTTGGAAATAAATGCACTTCTAAAGTTTGTAGAATAGATGTTCTCACAAATACGACTATTATATGAGCAAAAAGAGATCCAATAAAATATTAATCTATGGTGATTGGCCAATGTGCGTATATTCATAATGAAGTGACACCAGAAATATAAATCATTTCAAGTAATTAAAAAAAATTTGATGTTTCTTGATAATGAAAATGTAATTAAACTGAGCTAAAAAGACATTTCATAATTTAAAAATAGCTTTACGAAAATTAATACTGTCAAATCCCGTTTTAGCGAAATTCAAAGTTGCGAAAATTTCAATGTAACGAGCATTTTCTGAATTCCCAAATGAATCTCCATAGTAACAATGGATTAAAAATACTGATATTACGAAATTGGTAATTCAATTTAACGAAGGCGAAAATAAGCAACAATTTTTATTTTCTCTCATGATCAAAACACTTTTTCATTTGTCAAAAGTACACAATGATCTCAGAATTCAAATATTTTTGCATCTTCAAAATAAAAAGTTTCAGGTATGAATGGGACATGTCAAAGAAGACAAATCACTTGGAAGGAACCAACCTGAAAAGACTAAACCCCAACCCATTCATGTTTGATGAAACAAAAATACATGTGGCTTTCCAAAAGAGTGATTTACAGTTCTGTTGTTTGAAAATACGCATAGTTTGAAGAAGTTTGTAATTTCTATTGGTTCTAAATGGTTTGTACAGAAAAAAATTACGGATTACGTCATTTCTGATACGCAAGTGATAATAAATCCATTCTTCCCTTTAATTTAACTGTTTTCGTGAGCTTTTAAAATATTGATTTGATATTTTCTACATGCAGATCAAAGCTGTAATTAAATGTAATATTTATTATTTTTACATGTGAAAAATTGCAATGGAACAAAATAATTTTGGTTAATTTTGAAATTCGTAACGAGATTCGACTGCAGAGCATTTTGGCAGTGAATGAGCCTGGTCTTCATTTACATATATTATTGTCAATTTTCAAACGCATCTCAGTTTAATTCATAAAAATTCTTTCAAATGAATTAAATTAAAAATCAAAGTAAAACTCACTAGACCATTGTCGAATGTAAATACCCCAACATCACGACCATGATGAATATGGTTCCGCCTCATAATAGGATTAGCTTGATTTTTTACCCAAACACCAGCTAAAGCATTTCTACTGATTTCATTTTCTTCATATATGCCCTAAAACCATAAGAAACATTATAGGTAAATTTTTTACATAAAAAAAAGATCAAATAAGTTAATGATTTTGAAGAATCTTAATTAAATACAATTTTGTACTTAATCTATCTATATATCAGAATTTAAATATGATTTTCAAGATAGATGATACAGATTTTCAAAAACTCAAACTATCAAAATCACATTTAAGTACAGTACCCACTTTTGTACTAACATAAAAAAAGTTTTATCAATTGGTTATTATATTATGATAAATATTATTGCAAGGTATTATAATTTTTTTAAAAGGTCCATAGAAGATAGATTGATTGATTCCAAAATAGTGAAGATATGATTATACTAATAAAGTTGAATTCCACAAATAATCTAATTCAATACAATGTAAGCAAAATAATGAAATTTCCTGTAATTTTATGGGCTTTAATAAAAATTTCTGAAAAAACAAATGTAATAAAATAATCTTTTTATAAGGTCCATACAAGATTGATTGATTCAAAAGTAATGATGGCATGATTAAGGTAATAAAGTTGAATTGGACAAATATTCCAATTCAGCACAATGTAAGCAAAAGTAGGAAGCTTCCTGGAATTTTTCTGATTGACAAGAGTAATACATTTTTAGAAAGAAAAAAAAAACAAATATTCTGTCAGTTCTAGACATAAGACAAGCAACTTTACAATTGAATAAAAATGATATTGATACCACAGCCTTTTAATAATTAAAAATCTAAATTTAATCTAACCTTATAAAAAAAAAATTTTAATTACGAATCAATAGTATTTCAAATTTCAGTTTGGTACATTACCTGAGCATGATCAGTAATATACAATCCAACATTTTCACAATCACTTATATCACAATGTTTGATGTTTGGTTCTGCTTGTTTCCCACTGACACATACAGCTGCACCAACTGTTAACAGAAAACAAAAACAAATTATAATAGGCAAAAAAAAATTAGAAATTTTTTAAAAAGAAGACCTGCTCTTGAGCCTTTTCAACTCATTTGTTAACTACTTCATTACTTAATTCAAGATTATTCAATTTCTCTGACAAAAAAATAATAATCGTCATTTAGAAATCTATTTGCAATTTTCATATTATCCTCTCAGATTAACTGATTTGAAATTAAAACTAAATGAACATTTAGTAAACTGTTTTCTACTTGGGATACTGATTTAAAATGCAATTTATTTTGTGTGAGAAAAAAGTGAAGTTAATTTTAAAACTCTTTCAAATTAATGGAAAATACCATGTTATAAAAGTCCTACAACCATTTGTTTTATTTTATTTAATAATCAGTGTTGAACAGGACCCAAACTCTGAGTTTACGACTAATTCCACAGCATTGCAATTTTGAGCCTAACCCGGAAGATAAGGGAACCCCTGGATCCAGTATTGGGACAAACTAGCCTTTGTGAAGAGCTTTGTAAACTAACTAACCCACAATTTCATTACACGATCGATAAGGAAAAACCCTAAAACCTCCCACGGTTAATCCAACAGCAAGGAGAATCTAACACATGATTCATCTACCAACTCAACCATTTGTTTGGGCTAATCTTAGACAAGCTTAGAGACATCAAAAATAGCATCTAAAATATATATATAGAGAGAGATATACGTTTTATACCAGAAAAGAGCCCCAACTTGATCAAACGTCCTCAGTAATTTTAAACAAATCTGGACAAGTAATCAACGCAGAGTAAGCACACCTTCCACAATTGGCTCTTACCAACAGTTTTTAATCAAAGTTGTGTGAAAAAACACCAATTGCATAACAGGAAAAGACAAAACAGAGTTCCAGGAGGGAAAAGGGTAGGTAAATGAATAGTGAAAAGAAAAAGAAATTTAATTTCTTAGAATTCTTCAAGAGTATGAGGATAAAACAGTTCAAAGTGAAAGTGAGTAGTTTTGCTCTCATTTGTCAAGACGCAAAAATGATCTGTTGAGTGTTTAGACATTATTTTTGATAATGATTGCATTTCTTCAGTTTATTATTTTGATGGTATTTAAGATTTTGACAAAAATTTCCTTGCAATTTGTAAAAAATATGTTTAATTGTACAGTAGAGAACCAATTATCCGGGATGCTCGGGACCATCGCCATCCCGGATATCTGAATTTCCCGGTTTTCTGGATCGATCAAAAAGTGTCGATAATCGATGTTTTATTGAACCCGAAGTACAAGGAAAAAGTGTAATGCATAAAGTAAGAGAAAAAAGAAAAGTACTCCTAACTTTAAAAGAAAAAAAAATGGTAGATATATAACATTTAAAAGAATAAAAAAATTTGCAAGTTTAGACAATAAATAAAGTTTAAAAAATACAAAATTCGCATATTTATTTTTTTAAAATAATTACAATTCCTAAATTAAATAATATAAACAAAACCAATGATAAAACACTTGAAAATTATCGAACCGAAACGATTGTTAAAAAAAGCACTAGCATAAATATTAAAACCCGGAACAAGGCAAGATCAACGGAATTAAAAAAAAAAAAAAAAAAAAACCCCACTCAAATTTCAATTTATTTCAAATTACATAAAACTTAATTCCATAGAAAGTTTTATTTAAATTCAGCATGTATCCAAAATATCCTTAACAGCAGTGGGATTTATTTTAATTTTTTTTTTTAATACTTGTGATAGATTACTTTGCAGAGCTGAATAACTAACAAAAACTAGGAGTGTTCTTGAAANTTCAAGGTCACGGAGGAAATGACGTTTCTCTGGGTAAACGGGGAAAAAAATTTCCCCTTCCTTACATTTTCTACTTAACTTCAAGGATGAGTCTAATTTCCGCTTTTTTCGTTCTAGTTTAAAATGGCGGGAAAATCGAGCAAAATTTTTCCCGGTTTTCTGGTTTCCCGGTTATCTGGATACCGGATAAATGGTTCTCTACTGTATATTTATTATTTTTTCAAAATTTATTTATTTATCATTCATTAATTGCACCTGTTATAGTGCTAATATTTTTCAGAAGAAAAACAAAAGATAAAAAATACGGTTATTAAAAGTTATCAAAAGTAAAATATTTTAAATATATATTATTTAATTATATTTCTAAACTCTATTAAATTAAATTATTTGGTTTTATACTTGGTTTACATTCCCAAAATTACGACCATTAATTTTTTCAAGTTACTTTATATCAAGCATACTGATTTTGTAATTTTAGCAATTGTAATCAGCATTTTGCAATTGGTACAGTTTAAACGGCTCCCTACAAAAACTCACTGTTTTTCATAAAAATAAAAATTGAGAGGGGGTGTTTAATTGATATCTTACAGTCAAATGTTCTTAGAAAAAATGAAGGTTTGATTTTTTTTTAAAAAATTTTTTTTTGAAAACAAATATATTTAATTTTTATACAAACATAGGAAATATATCAAGATTTATATAAAATTTAATGAAGACTTTTTAATAAAAAATAAATTCGAAATAAACTTTCTCAGGTTTTATTTTATTGGTATCATTTTGGATGCATGGTTTTAAAGGTAAATTAGTAATTAGTTAAAAATATCCCAATTAACATTAAATTAGCACATTTGTTACATGACAATATGCATGACTTTTGTAAATGTTTTGGAATCCATAAATCCACTTACCAACAGAGGCACTCCTAATAATGCAATGGTCTATCGTGGGTGAGCAATTTTCGGTAACTTCTAAACAATAATGTTTATGATGAGGAACAGAAGAGGAAACATCTGGTGTGAACTGAAAAGTAAAACTGACAGTTAAATTATTTATCCCCACATTTATTTATCAAATTAAATCAATATTTCACAGCGACTCAAAATAAGCATTTCCAAGAACAGTGTTAATTTAGAGTTTTGAATATACATACGAATTTGTTTTAAATTATTGAATATACATAGATTATTTGTTTTAAATTATTTTCCTTAAAATTTTAAAAAAAAATTAACAAGATACTAAATGACATTACCATGGTTCTCAAAGTTAAGAAACTTCTATCATTATGGTTTATTATTTTGTCAAAATAGAAGTTGCAATATGCAACACATAAATTGCAAGAAGAGAACACTCACTTTAAGAGTAACATATCCAAGATAAGAATCTCTAGCTCCTTCCACAAAAGTAATAGTAGATTCAGTATCTCTTTCTAAAACAACATTTTCAGCTACATTTCCAGCAGCTAAAACAAATGAATTAGTTTGAATTAAGAGTTATGTTAAACTATTAGGTAGGCAAAACATATGAGAACACATTTCCTAACTCCCAAAGGGAAAACTTAAGAAAAAATAAATTGACATTTTTTAAACATTTTTTTTCCTCAATATTCTGAAGTTTTAAAAACTAAGAGATAAATATACTTTTCATTTAAAAAAAAAAAGATTATGAATGAAAGTTATAAAGCTAAGCTTACCTGCACCAACCATAGCAACATTTGTGTCGATAATAAGAAATTCTCCTTTATATACTCCAGCATGTATAAATATTAATGGATTTTCTATCTCCTCTGAATAATTAAATGCAGACTCAATTGTGTCAAAATACTAAAATAAAAAGTAAATTTATCATATATAAAAGTAATTTACTTCTTGTAATATGCTACAGTTAAAAAATATTGACTATTCACTAAAATAACATTTTAAAATAATAACAAAGCATTGAACTATAAAATATTTTCAATGCATAAAACTGATTATTCGGTACTGTAAGCAAGTATCACACATTCATTTTCACACTAAGTAAAACTTTTCTTTTATGTTGTATACTAACTCTAGTAAAATAACCTTTTTTAACCATACATTTTATAATAGTTATGAGAATAAAATATTGATATTAAAGTAAATATGATCTAAACAAAAAATTTGTGAATTTTTCTTTCAATTTAATATTGTTGCTAATTATCATAATTTGAGATGTAAAATTTTCAGCAAGAATCTTTGAAAAAAAAATTCTTGTGAATATTCGTTGCAGAAAAAATATTCGAGAAGAACAACAACAGAAAACAGAAAAGAAAATGTAACCGAAAGTTTAATGCTCACAGTTATATTTCTTCCTCGATAGTGGTCAGGGTTGTTGTCATATTGCTCTTGATATCCAGGGCGCACATGAAGGCCACGATACTGAAAATGTGGTTTAAAAAAAAGTTAAAGACTTTAAAATGTTTAAGATTAAATTTAGTAAAATATTAGAAAATAAGAATACTTACCAGTTGTTGAAAGCTTTCTTTCCAAGGATTTTCATATTTACATTCTTCAAGTTGGATAAATTCAAATTTGTTGGGAGCAGGGTTAAACAATGGAAGATCATATTCATATACAGATTGGTATAGAGTTTTCCTACAAAAAAATTTTTTTAATAATAATAAATTAAAAATCAATAAAAGAAAATTGAATATATTACATATTTTTAATTATTAAGTCAAGAAAATTAAAATTCTATAAAATAATAACAAAAATAATTTAATTTATCTATGCAACATAAGGAAAAAGAAAACTGAGTATTTCACAAAATAAGAACATTTACATTTGCGTTTTGAGGACATATAATTCACAAAATCCCATAATAGGAATAAGTTTTAGTGTTAAAAAAAAAAAGAAACTAAACTTCACTTCGATAGACATGAAATAAAACTCACTAAAATTTGTTTCGAAGAACATAAACTGAAGTAAGTAGCAATCTAAACAAATTTGTGAACTTCGTAACTAAACCTCATAAAACAAATCCTAACATAACCCAGTTTTTAGTCTTGATCTGATCTATCCATTAAATTTTAATTTATTTGAAGCGGATGTCAGGATGTGCACAAGCAACTGGTCCGAACAACAACCAATGGTTTTAAGAAGTACGGTATTTGCGACTAATGTCACACTGGGCAAAATCTATAGACACTACTTTCTAGTCTATGGCCACTACTTTCTAGTCTATAGACAATGCTTTCTAGATCTTTAAATAAATAGTGAGAAATAACATTAACTCTTAATTTATTGACTGTACCTAATGGTTTCATACATTGTTTTGATGATATATTTGATGTATAAAAAGCATACTCTTATGGTCAAACAATGTGATTTTTAAATTAAATATTGAAAAAAATGCATAGTTACCATAACTCTGTATCACTACTAATGATATGGAAGCGCTTGCAAACTTGAGCAACACGACACAAGTCTTGCTCCAGCAAATAAGAGAAAATTGTTAATAGAACTTCATCTGGAAGCTCATATAGAAGGTAATGGGCTGCTTCTCCTGTGTCTAAGAGAGAGAAAAAAGAATTTAATTTACAATGGAAGGCATGCAAAATTTTATTATTGAATTGTCATTTTTTCACAAAGTTTTTATAAAGTGAAATAACCAGGGAAAATAAGACTTTGTAATAAGTTGAAATTAATGGTGCAAGAAGCAGAATAGGTCTAATTGCACCAAATGCAAAATACATTTTATACAACCGTATAAGTATGCAATGTTGCAAAAAAATTAGATTGTTTGGATGCCTTAGGACCGGTGTTCACCTAATTTAAGCAAACCTAAAAGGCATTAAATTCCTGTCATTAGTAATATACATATCTTTATATAAAAGAGAATGGAATGATTAATAACGGACAAAACAGCCAATCAAAATTGAGAATGCATGTGTGTGAAAAGGTAATAATTTTTAATAATGCTGCCTGCAGAAATGTTACAATTAAACTTACCAGCTAAATCTTGTTGCGATTTTTATTTTGTATTTAATGCGTGAAATATATTGAACAGAGTTTAGTAGGTATAAAATACTTATATCTTTTATGAAAAATGGATTGCCGTGAATATCTTAGGCAATATCAACGACATACAGCAGCATAAAAGAACATAATTTAGCAGCACAAAATTACCGGGAAAATAATCGTAGTGCTATCAATACGTGACATCAGAATGCGCAGCGAAGAAACGTTGAAGACTCAAGACGTTTAAATGAAAACGAATAATATGGGAAAGAAATTGATAAAAAATGTTGCATATAAGGAGGTTTTGTAAATAATTTTTAATTTTATCATTGTTTTTCCTTACTTTTAATTGTTTTTTACTTACTTTCAAAAAATCGGTCAGCCAGAAATATTAATTTGAGTATTTTTTGAGATATTTCTTAAATAATGCATAAAAGTGCAAATCATTGGTACACAAAATGATGTGAAAAGAAAAATCAATGAAAAATGTACATAGTTAGGTTTTGTGAACATTCAGAGATCTAATGTAAATAATTTTTAATTTTATTGTTTTCACCTTATTTTTTTATAACAATTCAGACAAAAATGTTTATTGATCATCGATAACATAATTATTTCATTTTACATTTGTTTTTTTTATTAGTATTCAATATGACAAAAAAATTTAATTGCTTATTTTCATTTGTCGAATTTCAGTTACATATGCTTTTATTATATAATTTGCTTTTTATCTGATTGAAACTAAAATATTTTGTTGGTTGACAGTATTGAAGTTAATTGGGCAATCACTTGCAATGGTTTTTGCTTTTGAAATATTACTCAATATTACTACATGTTTTAATTTGTTTGCCATATTTTAAAGACTTTTTTCATTAGGTTCTAATTTTTTCAGTATAAAATTTAAATTACTAGGTAGGGGGAGATGAAGCACCTTAAGGAAGTGTCTGGAATCCTATAAGATCAACAATGATTTGAGTTAGGGGTAAAAATATACTTGAGGGTGCCCCTTGGCGAAATTTTGGTTTTTGGTTTGTTTTTGGCCAGCTTCTTTGTCGCAAAATGACATTGAGTCTTGCACATTCTCTATATTGTAAATTTTTCAATTACTTTAACTATAAACTTTTTTTTCTTTTTCACAAAGAATCTAATGGACATAACTAAACAAACCAGTGAAAATGTAAACAGGATATTATCTTTAGTTACTGGTTACTTTAGATTAGTGATAAGTTCCTCAATTTCTACTCCTAAAACTTGTCCATATAGTGTTCTTAACTTACATTTCCAAATCTCAAATGCTCGAAGAAATGAAAATTAGGGTCATTAGGTTAGGTATAGCCAAATTAATAAAAAATCAAAGCTTTTGCAATGCAATTGAAAAATTCTACATGTATTCTTGTAGACTGCATAATACAATTTGGTGATGTTTGCAACAAATAAAAAGTGGAAGATGAGATAAAATTGATTAACATACCTTCTGCAGTAGAGTGTGAGGAGGAGAAAACACGCCTTTGGCGTTTACGTGTGAGTAAATTATGACTACAAAAAGTCTCTGAACTATCAACACCACTATTGGTAGAGCCTGGGCTCCTGGGTTCTTGCAATGAAAGCTTCCGCCTTAAGGCATAAGGTGACTGATGTGGTGAACTTACTCCACTGGTGCTAGGACCAGCTGGTGAAGGACCAGCAGGAGAGTAGATGATATGGGCTTCTAAGTCTCGCACTGTAAAGGAATAGAAAAAATATATACATACATAAAAGTGCTATGTATTTTAAACAGCTTATCACATCAGAATTAAATAGAACAACAACAAAAAAATACTTTTTTTTAAAAATTGAAGAATGTTTCGCTTACTTTAGTATTGCACCGCTCCTTGATAAAATTAGGCAGCAGCCAACTTAGCTTTAGTAATTTATAATTTATTATTGAAATAAATTTTGATAAATAAAAATAATTGTATTACATATTACTACATAGTATACATTAATATGTTGTTATTGCTATTTATCTCATCCTTGTTCTTATTCCATAAGTAATTTTTACTGTTTTAATTTAAATATAATTTGTAATCTATGATTATAATAAATTTTGTTGACAGATAAAAACAATTGCATTGATAGACATTAATTTATTACTACAGTTACATTACTTCAGTTCTCATTATTATTCTTATTCAGATTACATTCTTATATTCAGTTCAGAGTTCTTATATTAAAAAAAAACTTTTAATTTAATCAATTAATTTAATTTAATCAATTAATTAACTAATTAATAGGCTTAACATATAATAAATACAACATTATCCTATTTAACAAATAAGTTACAAAGATCGATTAATCACAAAAATAAATTATAAAGATCGATAATTACAGATTCTATTTTTTTCTGTAAACAAATTTGGTGATTGAATTTTGATACTGATAATTACAACTTTTGCAATGTTACATTTTATTATAATTAACTCAAAATAACTAAACATTCATCAAATTGACTCGGGTTTTTTGCCAGTTATACAAAATCTTGAAATAACTGAAACACTGACATCCCTTAAAGATTTAATGTTGAATTTTATCATATCTTTATATTTTAATAAAAATTAAAGAGTATTTCCATTAAGAAAGTAATTATTAATGTTAAAAAAAAGTAGCTTGCTTTTAAAAAATTTAAATTAAGATAAAAATTTGCATAAATTATTTTAAAAATCAATTATTATCAATAATTAACACTTAAAAGAAAAGTGAAAAGGTAACAATTTTTAAAGTTAATTCAATCAAAAGCAAAGGCTTACTTACATATGCACCTAATAAATAAAAGCTTGAAAAAAAAATTCGAAATTTCAATAAATAAAATTACAAATTTGAATGCTTGTTTAAAATTACTTGAATTGAAAACTATATGAAATGATACAGGACATTATAATGAACAAGAAAAACAAAGCAGTAAGGCTTAATTTTAAAAAAAAATACTCAAACTTTTATAAGTTTTCATTAAAGTGAGCAAATGATAACATAGTGTGGGAATATTAATTATAAACATGCTTAAAATAATTACTGCACTGAATATATGTCATGATGACAGTCCTTATCTAATTTTTAAAAAAAATGCAAAGTGAAATAATATCTTTTTTAACTAGTCTTTAAAAACTTTAGAATCAATCCCTCACACATTGTGGGAAAATCTCCTTATCGTGATCTGTGCCAGAACAATCACCAAATATTGGCAGCTTATGAGCAAAGGCCCACGAGAAACTAGAAAAGCATCACAGAAAGGGACCAATTCGAACAATAAAACTCATAGCCATCCCAACAGAACCTCTAAAAAAATTTATTTTTTTAAATTTTTCCTGCTTAAAATCAATTTGACGCTTTGGTGATTGTAGTTGATGTGGCAGATCATGAAACGGAAATATTCACTTCATTTTCATGAAGTGTGAGAATGACAATTGAAAGGAAATGAGAAAATAAACATTGTTTCTCAGTTTTTATCCATAAATAAAGCAACCCATAAAACAATATCTATTCTTAAACTATTCTATAAAAGAAAATTAGAGCATTTATTAATACCCTTATAGAAAATAAATTAACTTCATAAATAACAAGTGCCTTTTTCCTAGTAAAAGAATGATGAAGGGATTTAAATTTATTAAAAATTAGCAAAAATAAAAAGACCTGTTTAAAATATAGTTATTTTATTAAAACCTTTATATATTTATTAAGAACAAAGAATTTTATAATATTAATGAAATAAATAAAATTTATCAATAGCATTACACACTATGTAAAAAAAAAAATTTCCATAAAATCTTTAAGATTAATAAATTATATTCCTTCTAGTTTTTTAGACATTGATTAAAAATTCAAGTTCAAGTGCAAAACTCTAAGCTAGGGGTGCACAACCTTTTTGAGTGAAGGGCCACTTGCACAGCTGGTTGGCTAACGAAGGGCCGCACATGTATTTAGACATGTTAATGACAAATGTAGTAATGTTTATTTAAACATTAGCGTTCCATTTTTTTTATCAATAAACTTAGTAGTGTTCCATTATTAGAATTCATTCAAAAATAAAAAAACTTATACTTTTTTTTTTACAAAAAAAAACTTNACTCTAAGCAAATAAAATCTACAAAGTGAAAGTATGACATAATCATTGAGCATAAGCATAAGAGCATTTTCATAATAAGGACAAATAGTTTTTTCAAAAATAGGCATTTCAAAAATGTTATAAAATAAATAGTTCTGAATACCAAAAAAATAATAAATAAATAAAAACTTAATAATTTATAAGAAATTTACTTTAATACTTAAATATAGAAAATGACATTGACAAGTTTAGTTACTATCAAGGTCACATTTAAATTTTTTTCACAACAGTCAGAGGTAGTTTATAAAATATTATTTACAGGGGTCTGTCTAGGTTTTTTTTGAGAGGTACCTGTTTTGTGAAAATTTAGACATAATTTATGAAAGTTAAAAACTATATTAAAAAATCAACACAAAAATATAGTAAAAAATATGGATATATCGTTTTTTACGAGACACAAAAATAAAACTTTAAGAAAAAGTATTTTGTGAAACTACCATTTTTCTTTAAGTTCAATTTGTAAAGGTGTCGCTAAACGGTAGTAAATTTGGCTTGGGCAGACCCCTGATATATGAAGTTACATACATAAGCTTGACCTTATTATGGGATTTTTAATAATCAACATGTAACTTTTCACATTGTGCTTTATTTAAATTATAAATAAATCATTAAAAAATATGACAATTAGATAGGGATTTAATTAAAAGTCCATTATTATATTGCAATTTTGTATAAATACTAGTTTGAATTTTTCAGAATTGTAATAAAATAAAGCAATTAATCGGTTAGTGAAATAATGTAGTCAATGGTGATGAATATGATTAAGTTTATTATAAAATGAACAAATTTTTTCTTACTAAATTACATCCAGTTTGTCTGTTTACAAGAAATTTACTTTCATAGATAAAAATGACAGTTTTTACCAAGGTCAGACTTATTAATTATTTTTAATAAAACTAGAACGTAATCTAGAGAATATAATTCATATACACTAGCACTGAAATGTAATTTGTAATAACCAACAACCAATGCTAATTTTCATTACATTTTGTTAAAATTTTGACTTAACAGTATGACAACTACATGAAATAATAGGAAAAAGGTTACAAAATTCAGATCAAATGTCAAGAATTATAAACGACCCATAAACACTGGCTATTTTAAGAACAAAGAATTGCACAATTACAATTAGATGATCAGTAATCTTGAATATTGTGATTAATCAATGCCATCGTCGATTGTTTATATTAATTATACATATTTATTCGACCATAAATGAGGATAAAACCTTCCTATTTTTTCAAATTTTAATGTACTTTAATCCGATAAAACAAAGTTTTCGAGAATTAAAAACATAATCACACAAATCGAGACTCACTCCGTTAATTTAAATATGTAGCGTGAACTAATTACAGTTCTTTCATGAAATATTAAACAATTTCACCTAATATTTTAGAGACGAGAGAACACTTGATTTAGCTATTTAGTTTAATAAAAGAGTTTACAATTTTGACACTAAGTGCAAACTCATTATGCATTGTAGTGAGTATTTCACAATGTAAACATTAGGTCAACTGGCTCACTGCCCGATAGAGCAGCAATATAAATTTCATGTAATTTAGAAATAATAAGAAAAAGAAAGAATAATAGCAGTCTGCATAAAATCAAAGAACTCTCAAATCAATCTTTATATACAACAAATAACATTTATTTTCGCATTTGTGTAATACCCTTAGGACTACCATAAAAAATAGTTTTTTTTTATTAGTTTACAGCTACAACAACATACCTGAATTATTAGATCGTAAGAATACTGGCTTTTTAATATTCTTTTTTCTGGTTTTCCTAACATTCTGTCTAGTTAGCCTAGCTGAAGACGTTGACATGTTAGGAAAAGTCAGATTTAATAAATCTCAAAGGATCCGTGATTTAAACAAAGAACTGTCATTAATTCCTTGAGAGCATCTCAGTCAGTCGCCATTCTTTTCACAACTCTCATAGCCTTTAGACGGAAACATGTCAAGAGCCAATCAAATAATCCGTTTTGCGTCACATGACTATAAGGCTTGCGGCATGTTTTTGATATGGGATTATTGTATATCTCCCCCCACATATTTGATATCCCCCTTAAAAATTCTTTTATTTGTTTAACTCATATAAAGCTAAAACACGATTTAACCAACCAAAATCATAAAAAGTTTATTATTTTACCAATCTTAAAGTCATTATAAACTGTAATCAATCTCTGAAACTCAAATTTATTAATAAATACAAAAAATTTGTTGAGACATTTTATTGTTCCTTGAATAATGATAAAAAAATTATTCAAAGCTACGATTGTTAAAGTCTCTAGGCACTTAACAGTTGCTTAATTCACTAAATCATAATTTATTTATTTTATTGCACAAATTTAATTTCTTGATGATAAAATAACTGTAACTGTTTGACTCAAAATGAAAAAAACAAATAAATCTGATTTCTTCAGTCTGCTAAATTATTGAATTTGAGTCGAAACGAAAGATAGTTTTTATTAAATTACTTTTGAAGTATAAAGATGTCTGTAATTACGAAAACTTGGGTATCATCGTTTTCTAAATTTCTGGTAAGTATTTTATCAGTAAAAGTGCTCGGTGGTCAAATTACTTTCAGAAAGTTGATGCTAAAATTTGACCTTCATCAGCAGTATCCAAAAAAATCATTTCATTAATTTCTTAATCTATTAAAATATTTTTGAATTGTAATAAAAGGATTTCACGATTCTGTGTTGTTGTTTTTTCATTATTTACAAACTTTAAACTTACATCCATTTCAATAGTTTAATTTCCAAGAAGCTGTGTCAATCTTAAAAATATATTAATTGTAACTAATTTTTCTCTTTTTTTTTTTTTTACCAGGATCCGAAAACTTTAACACCGTTTTGAAAATATCGAAAGTGAGAGACATCTTGATCATTTCAACAGATTATTACTACAATAAAACTGTGAATGAGAAACATAAATCTAAAAAAGAACTTTAAATTATACATGTTGTCATATACACTACAGAACCCGTTATCCGGAAATCAGAAAACCGGAAAATCAAAAAACCGGAACGAAATTCGATAAATTTTCCCGCTATTTAAAAAAAAAAAATTTTTTTCCTCATAAGATTTTAGGATTTTTCTTTCTTTTTTGAAAGATGTTTACCTTACCATCATTTTAGAAATAATCATTAGTGTATTACTCCATCGTTTTTTCTTCTTTTTAAGATTATTTCCCCAAAAAAGTTTTTTTAGTTGGGTTTAACAATAAAAAAAAAACGGCTTTTTGTAGCGATTCAGAAAACCGGAAAAATCAGTTATCCGGAATGGCGATGGCCCCGATTGTTCCGGATAATCGGTTCCCTACTGTATTACGAATATCGTTATTTTCGTACTATGCAGTGCTGGGAGAGCTCAGCATAGAAAAATAATTCGATTTGAACTCTAGGTGGAATTTTCATTTCATTAAGTTTTCGTAGATATTGATTCTTTATCCTCTATAATTTACTTTATTCTAGTATATTTGGAAGTCAAGCACGTAGACCAAAATATGTAAGCAATCAGTGTGTAAACTATTCAAAAATTAATACTTATTATTTTAAGTGTAAAAGTTAAACCTATCCAAAAACTGTTTCTCGTCGAATATTGCATGTTATATCTACAAAGTGTTAACAGTTTTATTAACTTTGATCTGATCTGCCAACTGACTTAATTTGTGCTTTTTAAAAATTTTTGCACAGGGTATCCGCGCACCTGGAAAGTCATGAATTTCAGTATAGAACAAAATTTGTCATGATTTTAACTATTTCTTTAAAAAAAGCATGAAAAGTAATGGATTTAGGTCGCCGAAAGATCGTCTTTTTGAAATGGAATGTACCCCCCTCCCCCCAATTTCATGGTGTTCCGAATATCTGAATTTGTAACAAAATCCCCACTCACAGTCATATTTGATTAAAATATAAAATGTTTTATCGTGCTCTTTAAAAATTAAGGTGTTCTTTCAAAAAATGAAGGAAAAAACATTTCTAGAGCGAATTAACTTTTAAACTTCTGTGATTTCAGAATTTTTTTTATTATTATTATTTTTTTTTTTTTTTATCAATTTAAAATTTTAGCTGAAGCAAGCCAGTCATTGGCAAATTTTTTTATTGCGAAATGAGAACAGAAAAATCAGGAGTATTTCATTCCTTTCCGATGAACAAGAAAGGTATCTTTAGAATGTAATTCTGCCGAAAAAAAATTATTTGCTTCTGTTTTTTTTTCAGCTATTTTATTGCTTCAACTCTTTCTTTGTACTCTGTTTTTTAAATTTAAAATCTATATATATGAAGATGCAGAGCATAACAGTTTAGGTTATACCTATCATTTCAATGAATGTTATTATAATGCTTTTTTAAATTCATTGTTGTGTTTTTGTGGGAGAAAATAGTAACCTCATTAAATCATGAAAAATTTTTGGAATTAATCATGAAAAGTCATGAATTTGAAAATCTAAAATGTAGCAGATACCCTGTTTGCAATTGATCTCAGTGAGATTTTTTTTGTGAGAAAGATATATAAGATCATTAATTCTAGGATAAAAGCTATTTTTTTCAACATTTTGCTGATATCCTATGCATAAGTTCATCCATCTCTAAAGAAAAAATTTTCTAGATTCTATTGACTAGCACCAAAGCCAGCATCTTTCACCAAAAGTAAAAAAAATAAAAGCTATTTTTAACAATTAACATGCCTATGGTATATTAACTAATATAAATTTTTAATCTTCTATTAATATTTTCTTTTCTTTCTTTTTCAGAAAACATCAAAAGTTATTAACAGTTCAGTTCATCGTTTATATTCTGCAGAAGCTTCATTTCAAACAAAAGTTTGTATTACTCATCAAGATATTTTAAACATATTGAATTTTTTATTATAATTTGATATTATACTAAAGTTTTGAACATTAAAATTCTTGTAATACATTTTAGAGATATTTAAAGATTTTGCTTATGTTATTCCTATTGCTATGATGTATTTTTAAATAAATAATGTAACAATTTTTAATATATATAATATGTATAATAATATAATATGTATAATAATGTAATATATTTAATAATACAGTATGTATAATAATAAAATATATATAATAATATATTTATTAATATAATATATTTAATAATATAAGATATAATGCATCATATTACAATGATAATAATGTTTAATAAAGAATTTTTTATTGGTTCACAAATAATTATGTAAATTTTCTTCTTAATGCTAGGAGTTTCATTAATAATTTAATTTTAAAAAATTAAGCTATTCTTTATTTTTCTTTCAGCCTTATAAGTTACATTTATTGGATTCTGGTCCTTCCTCTGATGTAACCGTTACCAAAGAAGAAGCACTCAAGTATTATCGAGACATGATGGTTGTACGAAGAATGGAAACTGCTGCTAATAGTTTGTACAAGGAAAAAATTATTAGAGGTTTCTGTCATTTATATTCAGGCCAGGTATTAATACTTATTTTCAGACTTATCATTATATATATACAGTAGGGAACCGATTATCCGGAACGATCGGGACCATCGCTATTCCGGATAACTGATTTTTCCGGTTTTCTGAATCGCTACAAAAAGCCGTTTTTTTTATTGTTGAACCCAAATAAAAAAAAAGTTTTTTGGAAATAATCTTAAGAAAAAGAAAAAACGATGGAGTAATACACTTATGATTATTTCCAAAATGATGGTAAGGTAAACATTTTTCAAAAAAGAAAAAAAAATCCTAAAATCTTATAAGGGAAATTTTTTTTTTTTTTTAAATGGCTGGAAAATTTATCGAATTTCGTTCCGGTTTTTTGGTTTTCCGGCTTTCTGATTTCCGGATAACGGGTTCTGTACTGTATATATATATTAAATTATGGTCATTTTGATACTAGAGCGGCATTCCTTTATGATTGATATAAAACTTATGATATTAATATTTAAAGTAGTCTGATGTCAGTTTAGTTTTTCATACTTAACCTGTCTTTTCTTACTTAAAATCAATTTTTGAGGTATTGTATTGAATAATTATTAGTTTTTCCTACATATTAACTAATATTATGTTTTATGTCACAATTGAATTTTTCACATGCCTAATCTTAAATAAAATGCATGCATAAATAATAATCTTTAATGTATAAGAAATTAAGCTTTAAAATCAAGGATGCCATTTTGTCTGTGAGAAGCATGAAAAAGTAAAACAAGCTGAAAAAAATAGAAAATGGGCAAGATTTTTAAAAAAAACTGGATAAAATGGAAAGAAACTAAAAGTGACTAATAAATTTTTTAGTAATTAGTGTTATAAGAATTGCTCAAATTAAACAAAACTAAATTTAATATGGTACCTGAACGCTAGAAATGTTTCATTTCTACTCTTTTTAAAAAAAATAACTATTTTTCTTTAATTTATTTTAATTTTATATAGAATTTTAAAATCTATATATCATATTTACCATACTTACTTACGTAAATTATTGAAGAACTGAAATTATTTTATTTTGCCAAAAATTTCATCATATTTTTTTTTCTTCCAAATATTGATTTTCAGTTTTCACATATTTCAAAATGATATAGTATTAAAAATAGAAATTAATGCTGTTATTTAAACCATTTTGCAATTATAAACTGTTTAAACTATTTTATTGTTTGATACTTCTTTTTGAGAAAAAATTAAGAAAGTGATTTCTTCCAGGATGGTTTTTTTTTTTTTTTTCAACTTAGGAAGAAACTTACAATCTCTGACTAAAATATATTATTTATTATTAAATTCTGTTAAGAAATTAAATAGGAATGTTAATATTTATTAGAGAAATTTTTTTCAATTTAGGTAATTAAGAGTTAAACTAAGCAATTTAATTAAAATTTTAAAAAATTCAAAAATTGAAGTTTATTGATTTTACAAGTAAAGAATTCAACTAAAAGTTTTGATTACTATGTTTAGTGAAACATGAATTATAGTATTATTAAGCAATGTCACAGCTAGGAGTGGACTTTAAGTGTTGAAACCCATAAACCAAAATCGTGAAGAGAAATATTATTTTAAATAAAATAAAAATATTGATAGTAGGGATAACAATTTAGACATTATTTTGTAAAGAAGTGCAATTGAATGTACATTTGTTATTATGATATAACACTAATTGAAAATTAAATTTAATAAATTATATATATTGCATCTTGAGTTTTCAGCTTTGGAAAATCTTTTAAAATCTAAATCATAGATAAATAATCATTCTAGTTGTTAAATAGTAATGAGCAAATTAGTTAAAATTATTTAATAGACTATGTAATTTATAAAATAAAGACATGTAAATTGGTTTTACTAATAAATTTTTCAGAAGAAAAATAAAGGCATGTAATGAAAAAGTATTATTCCAAAGAAAAAGCTTACTAGTTTTGTCCTAATGCAAACATTTTTTTTTCCAACAAGGGTATAATGTCCACATCTTCTCCTGCTCATTTAAAATATACACTGTACAGTGAACTCTCACTTATGCACCGGAGTAAGGGGCCAAGAGAAAAAAGCGCATAAGTGAAAGAGGCGCATAAGTGAAAAACTTCAAAATTCTAAAACGCAACGTAAATTGCAGTGACAATAAGAATAAATATGTTTCTAAAGATTAAATGTTAATATTTATACTGTTTTGGTATTTACTATAACTATACAAAGAAAAAATTTAACATACCTTAAGACAATTTATTTTCTTGCGAAATAATCTTAATACATGTTTGTATTTGTTTTTGCCGACGTTATTCAAAAACAATTTTTTCCAGTTCATATAAATGGGATAAGGGGGAGTTTCAGAAGCAAAATTAAATTGTAAATAGTCACGAATAGTGTCTAAAGCTTTCAATACTGCTGTGTGATTTGGAGGAACTTTATCATCCTCGTCAGCATCATCCACCACGTTCTCAAGTTCTAGTTAGATATAAATGAACAGTTCTTCACAAAAAATTTGAGTTTTATGGGAGGGGGTGAAACATCACATGATAAATTTCTAAGAAAAGTACTTGACGTCATAATATGCTGCACAATAAGTTGTTCAAGTACTTCTGTCTCATGATGTCCATCTGACTGCAAGTAAGTGATCGCGGTCTCTTTCATCTTTCGTATTCCAGGTGTCTTTTTTTTCTTCTAGAAAACAGCATGGGAGTAAAACTAATATCTGGACAAGAGAAATGGTCATTTTTTAAGAGATGAATGGGCTTTCATTGTTGTTGGTGTAACAGATAAGACACCCTATTCAAAATTCTAGAAAGAATGTCTTTCCAGAAACAGCGAAAATGAAAAGGTCACAAGGGGAAGCAAATTCAATAGGATCTAACAACATATATTTCTTTTTATATGTAACAAGGATTGCTTATTTGCTTAATTTTTAATTTAAAACATTTTTTTTAAAGAAGAAAAAATATTTAAAGGATTAAAAAATTAAAATGTTAGCCTAAAATTTCGGTGCATAATTGAAAAATTTATTTTTAGAGCGACGCATAAACGAAGGATGTTTATCATTATTTTCCTATCTAATGTACTGGGACCTATAAAAATCGTCGTATAAATGAAAAAGGTGCATAAAAGAGGTGGTGCATAAGTGAGAGATCACTGTATTTAAAATGTACTTCTTTAAAATATCAATTAACAGCTTTTATTGGTCTGTAAGTTTTTTTAATTTATAAGTTTTTCTAATTTATTGTAGCAATAATCTTAGCAATATATTTCTAACATTAAATCTAACAATTCCACTGACGGGCTATAGATACGCAAAAAAAATCGTAGAGGAAGTGAAAAAAAGGATTTCTCCATTGCAAAAAAAAAAAAAAGAAAGGAAGATTCCAGTTTATTAATGATATATGATCTATCAGCATAAAGAATAAGTATTTATCAAAAAGAATATAGTGTGTCATTTTATCTTTTCAAAACAGTAACTGACTTTGATCTTCTAAAAACCATGATGTAGAAATTTTAGTATTAATTTTTTGTTGAATTATTATTGAATCATTACTATATCAATTACTAATCAGAATTTTTTTTCCTAATCATAAAATATTCACTTTTTATGTACTTTAAATGGGAGATTTGTATTATTTTAATAGAGACCTATTATTAGTTTGAAAGGACCCAAAAATTTGGAAGATATAAGTCCCTAAGCAGTCTTAATTTCTGAAGTCCACTTGAATCACTAGCTGAATCTTATATTTAAAGAAACTTTATTAATGTTATAATATTTTTAAGCATTCTCTTAACTTTTGACTATTTTAAAACTGTTGAAAGTAAGAAAACTTCTGTTTAGGAAGCATGTGCCGTGGGAATGGAAGCTGCCATTAGAAAAACAGATGCTGTTATCACCTCTTACAGAGCTCATGGTTGGACATATCTGAGAGGTGTTAGCGTTAAAGGTGTATTAGCTGAATTAACTGGTATGTCCAAATTCTAATTAATTTTCTCTTTTTAGTTTTCTTATTATTATCTATAGTAGCTATTGAATGTTTGTTGTGATTTTTTTTGAAAATAAAGTACTGTTTTGCTGGGATCAAAATTTGTTTTGCCCTAGCATGTAAAAATTTTTATCTGGCTTCTATTTTAGATTCTTACATGCCTGTCGGGCATGTTAATAGTTAATCAGAAATTTTATAAAATACTTCAAACACTCCTCCAATTTTGACTTGCTGTTTTCAATAACCAGCAGCAAAAATAATAATCATAAATTTCATTGCCCAAATGAATTTTATCTATTCTCAGGATAATATTGATTTTGACAGTTATCATTATAGAACTTACAATAGTGTCCTGTTTGTTAACACTCATAGTATTATATTTAATAATACTCATAACCTTATCATGTTGTCCCTCAGTGGACTGATCATAAAGACACAGTTCCTAGAGTAAGTGGTTGGGTGACCATTTTGATCAGCCTGCATAGAAACTGAAGGCGTGTGGTATTGGTCCTCATTAACCTGTTCTACCTTAAAATGTTTGCATCTCACGGGTTACCAAAGCAGGAAAGCCATCCCCTCCACAGAGGATCAAAATTGCAATGGCATATCTTTGGATCATCCTCAGGGATGTTTTCCAAACTGTCGCCAGTAGCCCATTGTCCAAAGTTACGTAAATAAATTTCCTGTCTATGTTATCAGGTTTGATATTATTTGCTTATTATAATTGTGATATTATGATTGTCAGTAATAATGGTATGTGAGATATTTATTGTAAGGTATTGTGTTCACAATACATTGCCAAAATAACTTTCCAAATATCATTCTCGCGATCTTTAAGAAATATTAATGTTTAAATATTTATCGCCAAGCTCTAGTAGTTATCATCATAGTTACATTTGCATTGTTTTCTTTTTTTTTTCTTTTAGGCAGGGAACCTGGATGTGCTAGAGGCAAGGGTGGTTCAATGCATATGTATCATGATAATTTTTATGGTGGCAATGGCATAGTGGGTGCTCAGGTAAATCAATTATAATCAACAAAAATAATTTTACATTTCTAGAAATCATCATAATTAGATCCTGAATTTTGATTGCCAAGAAATTACCAAAAAATTCCCTTTTAATTGCACAAGAATTTCTGACTAATACATTATTTCTGTCCTAAATTTATGTATAGCACATTTTATTAAACTATGTATATTAGAAGAAATTGAGATCCAATATGAAATTTGAAATAAATGTTTTAAGTGCTAAAATAACAAAAGCCTAAAGAAAAATGGAAAAATTTATTGATACGTTATTCTAATATTTATGCATGCAGTAAAAGTTCATTATAATCATAATTCACTACAGGTAGAAATGCCATTAAGGGAGCTTGTTATAAGCAAATACACAAATTTAATGTTAAAATAGCACTAAGAATTATAGTGTAATAGTTGTTATAGTGTATTAGTTTTTGCTTGATTGGTAATAGTTTTAATATTAATTTTACAGGTTAATATTAATTTTACTGACTACTAGAATAACTTAAATATATCAGATATTACTCTCACTAATAAAAAATAGACAAACACAAGATTAATCTAAATGAAGAAAAGGGGTATACTTTATACTTATTTAGTTGAGTATGATTAATGTTGGTGATTAGATCCTGCTTTTTAATATTTATCATTTTTCAAGTTATATTATTTGCATAATCATTCATTTGTTTTTAAGGTTCCATTAGGTGCTGGCATAGGTTTTGCTCTAAGATATCAAGGAAGAGATGATATATGTTTGGCTCTTTATGGTGATGGTGCAGCTAACCAAGGTCAAGTGTTTGAGGCATTTAACATTGCAAAATTATGGAATATACCTACCATTTTCATTTGTGAAAATAATGGCTTTGGAATGGGAACGAGTATTGAGAGATCTTCTGCTTCAACTGATTATTACACAAGGGGCGATTATGTTCCAGGGATTTGGGTATGTATCTGTTTCTTTAAATTTTAAAAAACGTAATATTTTTTCACCGTTAGTGTCAATTTTTTACGGGACTGCAATCATGCAAAGACAACAAAAAAATTCATGAGCACTAATTATTTAAAGAACATTTTTTTCCTGGCACATTTTCTTTACATGTTTTTAAAATGTACAATGATGCACCATACATAGATACAGTGATGAACCATTTGTATGTATTTCAGGGGATTAATATAAGGCAATGTGTTACTGAAAGGATTTGTAAATAAAGTTTTTACTAAGCGAATTTAATTATTACAAATTTAATGCTACTAATGCTGAAAATTTGTCTAGACGTAATCGTTTCAAAGTTTTCCAAGATATTAGTGCTAGTATATCACTGAGTCACTCAACTCTCTTGATAGAACGAGGCCAGTCTATCAATCATTTCTGGGCCTTTCTTTCACCTAAATAACGAGGACACTGTTTAAGCCTAATTGATTATGTTAAGCTCTTAATTAAAAAAGAAGTGATGGTTTAGATATAAATAAGTTAGTTTAGTAGTTTATGAGCAGATTTTAACTGTTCAAAATTGTCAATGTGGTTTAAAATATTTTATTGAAAAATTTTGTGAGACCAATGTGAATACTGTAATAAAAATCTAATCAAAAATCTAAATATCAGACTTTTAAATGAAGGGGGGAAATGTGAACAACATATAAATGAGATACTTATAAAAGATGCTTTATTTTACTTTTAAATTACTTAATTATTGCTTATTTCAACATTTGAAAACTTGTCAACAAGCCCTCAAATATTTACTTAGAAAATTAGTCTAACATTAATCCTATGGAAATCTGGCTGTGAAGTCCACAGTGAGCAATGTATAAACACGAAACTTATAAATGATGTTTCATTAAAAATTGCTTCATTTTTCACTTAAATGTGGAAAATTTTTAATTTTTCTTAATTTCACTTTTTTTAATTACACCTTTTTACCTCCGTTATGCTCATGCAAAATGTAATTTCTACATTGCGGAAACATATTTTGCATTTAAAGAAATAATTCATAAAGTCAGTTGCGATATAAAATTTTCTTATTGGTTAAGAAAAGATTTTTCTAAATTCTGCAACACAGAAAGATATTTAAGGTTGCTGAATATATTTTACCCAAGGTCACTGAAGTTTTAAATGTGCCATTTTTCAATACTAAAAAACTATTTTTTAAAAATTTGATTTTTTTTTTTTTTGTATTAATTTTTATAACTTAAAGCATGAGTTTTAACTTTTTATTCTTCCTTTATTAAGAAAGTATCAAAGTAAATAAAAAAATAAAGTTTTATATTTTGCTGAGTCTTGTAAGTTTAAAAAAATGTAATAAAGTCTTGCATAGTTTAAAAAAATTCATGTCTGCAAGGTGCTATATTTTTAAATTATATATAGTTTTATATCTTTGTTTTATTACAAATAGATATATTGTTTTATAGATTGATGAAATTTATGTTTTATCTATTAGAGAAACAACAAATTTTTTTCCTGAAACTATTTTTATAAATTGATTTCTTGTTTTAATGGTTAATAGAATGAAGTTTTTAGCTGTTCGAAAAGCAACAAAATTTCTTGCTGTGAATATTATTATTATAATTTGATATACTGTTTTATAGGTTGATGGAATGGATGTTTTAGCGGTTAGAGAAGCGACAAAATTTGCTGCTGAAATTTGTCGAGCTGGCAAGGGTCCTCTTGTAATGGAAGTTGCTACTTATCGTTATCATGGACACAGTATGAGTGATCCAGGAACAAGGTTAGTAAAATTATTCTTCATTGAATTAAATTATATTTCTTTCATTTTAAAAGGTTGCTATAGTTTAAACACTAATTAAATCTTTTTGTTTTTACTTTAGTTATGAAAGTATAGTGGTCGAAAAAACTACATTATTTATGTAGTTTACTACAGCTACTTTGTTACCAATGTATTTAACTACAACTACACCTATTTTTTTTTTTAAATGTTGTGACTACAAACTACTTTAGAAATGTGGTAATAACTTTACTTCTTTAAAGAGACAAATATTGCTGGAGGAACTTAAATTACACCTGTGCGCAAAATGTTTTTGAATAAAAAATTGGTTTACATTAAACATGAGGAATTATTAATAAATATTTATTCTATGTTAACAGGAGCCAGTTTGCTGTTCTAAAACATTTTTTTTTTCAAATTGTTCATTTAGCCTGCAACTCTTATGCCTTTTTTGACGTTGAATATTTAATTTGAGAAATGTTAAAAAATTACCAAATATTTGTAATTTTGTTAAGCTTTCAATACGGTCCTGTTATTGCAAAAACTTTTTCAAGGAGTTTTTAAATTGTAAATAGATAATAAGATTATGCTCAACACTGTAAAACTATAATTAAAGAAAATTAAATTTTCAAAAATAAGCAGCAATTGCTTCTAAATTAGAGATGCAACATACAAATATTTGGTATTTAGCCTATACTGCTGAACGCGGAATATTCATTTCGAATGAATAAAGGAAGAAGCGTCTGCCGAAGACAAAACTTAATTCGTTTACATCCATCTTCATTTTTTCCCCTTAGGAAGGGTTTATGCGATTAACAAAACAATAACGAAGATAAACAAATTTGTGAAGGGTCAGATTTAAAGAAAAATCATTTTGTGAAAGGTCCGTTTTTAAGTTAAAATATTTTGTGAAGGGTCTGTTTTTATGAAATGATATTTTGTGAAGGGTCCGTTAACGGACCCAAATTTCTTCTAAACAGACCCCTGACTACTCACTACACTAGTTTTTTTTTAAAAAGTAGCACACTACACTACAAGCTACGAAAAAAAGTAGTGACTACAGTAGTTTCACTACTTGTAGTGTACTACTTCTGACCTCTGAGGATGCATATCCTTTTTTTTTTCAAAAAAGACAGCAAATTTTTTTTACTATGATATAAAAACTGCTACGGATTTGGTTTTTAATTAATTGATAATAACTTCCTTTGTGTAATAAGAAAGGGCTATCAACTTGTCTTAATTAAAAAACATAGTACCTCAAAGGGTAAGTAATATTTACAAAGTATTTGTATAAATAATATTTTTAAATGAAAAAGCTTTTGAAATTTCTTTCACTCTTTCTTCTTTAAAGAACACACATCATTACACACATCACACATTTTAAGTAACACACATCAATTTTGAACGTGCTTTGGCTAGAAAAAATTCTTCAAAAAATATATTTGTCAAAATATTTTATTTTTTTAATTCTTTGAGCTCCTTCCTCTACATTTTGGCATTTTAATATCATAATTTTGGTGTTTTAATGAAAATTCTTTTTAGTTATTATCTTTTTATTTTACTTTGTTTACAAGCATCAATTTTCTATCCAATGTGTATTTTTTAAATTATATTAATTCTTATAAATACCTAAATGCTTATTAATGTTGTTATATGGATGTATGTTCCCGATTTTTGTCAACAATTCATTTCTTTAAAATATGTTTCTTGCTCTCTTCTCTCATTCTCATAAAAATGTATTGTTCACCATGTTTTGTTGGAGGAGTTGGCATTTTTTTCAAATCATACAGTTACTGAAGGGAACTGATTGATTCTATTTACTTTTCTGGGATTACCTGCTGCTTTTTAATGTCTCTTGCACTTGTTTTAATGCTTTTTAGTTGGAAAAAAGTGACATAAAGAAACAAATTATTGTCCCTTCCAAAGCCTATTTTCTGATTGACCACATACTGCAAACATATTTAATGGACATTGATATGGGAAGAGAATATTTCTCTTCATTATTGGCTGGATGGAAAATTTTATGAATTTAAGAACCTTTGCTGAATGGACTATCTACTGCCTCTAATCATGTTGTACAATGATATAATCTGTTTATATAATAACTGCCGTACAACTTGTCAACTACCTTAAGTTAATCTTGTGATGGTTCGACTAAGAATTTAAATTCTATATAGGATAAAGGTTTCTAATATGCAGCACACTCATTAAAAATTCAAACGAAATAGCTATGCCCATGGCAGAATCGTGGTTACATTGTCGCAGCACGTTGCCGAGTTCTTGCAGAAAGATCTTTCCTTTGGGAAGGAAAAAATTAAGCTTTTCTTTTTTGCAGAAATTTTCGAAAGATTTTATCTTTTCTTCAGAATTGGATTCAAAAGATGCCTTTCTCGCTCATCGGAGTGGAAAAAAACGGCTTATGATTTTTCTATTTTCATTTGAGAATAATGAAGGTAAAAAATTTGATTTTCTTTTCTGTAGAAAATTTTGTTCTATTTTTTCATGCAGTGATTACTACTGATTTACAAATAGCTTTTAAAATCCGTTATTTTTAATACGATATTATTTATTACAACAACTGAATCTCGAAATGAAAACGCGGATTTAGTAACCCCTTTCGAATATTCATGTGATTTCGCCGTTGATCTTTTTTTCTCAGTAGTTACTGCTACAGATTTCACAATTTTTTTAATGTGATGATGAATTACAAAATGCGAAAAAGGAAATAATTAATGAGTTTATCTTCCTAGAAAATGTGAGAATATCGCCCATAATATTAGAATTTAAAAAAATTACTTATTCAATTTAAAAAAAATATTTTATTTGGTCTGATTTTTTTTTATTTTTGAAGTTAACGCTTCTGTTACTTTAAATTAGTAACATGTGCGTTTGTTATTTTTAAGTATCTTGCAGAAAGATATTAGTATTAGAGAGGTATGTCACAAAAAGTTCGAAAAAATTCTGCCACAGGGTAGCTATGACGGTCATTCTTTTTATATCTAATATTTATGTGACCTATCCTGTATAAGTTCTTAAGGATCAGTCAACTTTGCTAATCTAAGAAGCATCACAATTTTATCTCAAAAAGAAAAAAAAGAAGTTAAGATAACTGGAAAAAGGTTCTGTTCTGTAATGAAAAAGTACCAAAAAGGTTTAATATGTGAGCTTATATTTGTTATTATCTTGGATCCTGGTTGAATTAGTTGGATGGAGACAACTATTGCATCAAAACTTTTTGTGTGGCTTCTGAGTCAGACTATCGCAGAGCTTCTGTTCTCTCACTGTTGTCTTTGCATGTGTTAGATTGTTTTTTACTCCACCATCAGCTCTGGTTGCAATGGGTGTGTTTCATAGATTATGACCTTTCCTCTTTGTATATGTATATTGGCATTAAGAATTAGTCTCATTAAAACTGTTTTTTGCATTTTAGCACATTTGTATGGAAATTTCTCGTTCATTCACAATTTTTTTGACTAAGCAATAAACGATAAGACATGTTTATTGGCTAGAAAAACTACGAGTGCAAATACTTCTTTAAAAATCAGAAATGATTATAAAACGAACAAAGCATTATTACTTAATTAATGCTATGAAATATGGTATGATTATTAAATTGCCTTTTTGCATCAGTTTAATTATTTATCTATACACTACTATTAAGTCATTTGACAAAAAATAAAAGAATGGAATTTTTACATAATTACTTGTACATAATTCAGAACTTGTACGTAATTCAGTAAAAAAAAAGAAAGTAGCCAGAACTCATCCCTTATAATATCATTTTGTTTGAAATTTTCTTGAACTGCTTATTTTAATGCTTTTTTAGTTATCGCACAAGAGAAGAGGTACAAGAAGTGAGGCAAACTAGAGATCCTATCACTTCCTTCAGAGAAAAGATCATCAATGCAAATTTAGTAGAATCTGATGAATTAAAGGTAAGCTTTCAGATTATATGCATTAAATTTAAGTATTAGCACCAATGTATAACTTTTTTTGTGTAAAAAAATTACTAATCATAGTAATCCAATTGTTTGGATTAATTACAACCAAGAAATCTATCAATAATCAAGTGGTTCAAGTAATTTCAGAAAAAAATGGTTCTTTATTAGAATAAATGTGCGTATATTGTTTTAGTGTATTGACTTAAATATTTTTGCTTTATTTCCTACTGTATTGGTTTGCTGATAAGTTCTAAACATTGAAGTAAATCTTGAGTATTGTTCTTTTCATTCTTGGATTACTATTTGCTCTAAATAGCTTAAATGATTAAAGTTCTACTAAATAAAGAAATAAAATATCATGACAATAGGAGACATTAATTGCTCCAAAGCTTATGCTATTTGTATGTTTAAAAAAAATCTCTAATCAACAAAAATTATTTTAAGTGATACATATGTATCCTAATTTAATTTTCTTCAAACACCTATATATTTTTTAAAAGCATTAACAATGGGAAGATTATAGTATTCATTTTATTTGAATCATTACGATAAAATATTTAACAATGGGGTATTGGGTTTCAGATGTTTAAAATATAATTATTTTTGTATAATACTTTTTTATTGATACATTAAGTTTGGGTGAGGAATTTTGCCCTCTGTGGATCAGCGATTTTTTTGCTTTTTGTATGTTTCTTTTTTTAAAAAATAATATGGAATAAAAAGTATTACTTGAATCTCTTTAAATTATGCAACAGGAATTGATTCACTTTCGTGAAACTGTTTCTTATGTTGCAATTTTTTTACCTTTCTGTTTTATACGGTTTATCATTGGTTCTATTAATTTTTTTTTCTCTGTTTTTGTGATGAATAAATTATATATTAATTGTTACTTTTCTCCTACTTTATATATAATCACTACTTGCAGAAAAATCTTGCTACTTTACTACATTTTCCTCTTTTTTGTATCTCTGCTGTTTTTACACCTACATAATGTCAAAAAATCAGAATTATTTGCTATGATATAGTTCAATATTTTTTAGTGCCACTCAATTTTAATTGCATCGTACTTTTTCAATAATTATTCATATTCTGTTTTTCGATTATCAGCCATGTAGTTTTTCTCCAATAATCAAACTTCTTAACCATCCGGCTTAGTAAAAAAATGAGAAATAATGGTATTGCAAATTCATAAAACTCTTCATTGAAGGAGGAAAATATTAAGGGGAATGCTAAGGTGGTTGTATGAACATTTTTACTTTTCCTATTCATAATTTTTCACACTTGTATAGTTTATTAATAAACATTGAGTATGTTTGCAATAATCATTTATAATATTTTGAGTCTTAGTGGCTCAAGGAATAGAGCACTCACGTCCCAATGAGGTGACCCAAGTACGAATCCCAGCGATGGCTAGTCCATTTAAATTCTGATCCCAGCTTGCGTCGACCACAAGCTGATGTTAAGTCTCTGTAATAGGCAGATTCTGTGTTAGGAGCTAACTGTGGGAATTTTTTGTGGTTTTCCTCTCTATGATAAATAAATGTGTGGTAGTTCCATCAAAAAATCCACCACCGAGCTAATTTTATCAGATGCTTAGAGAGGTGTTCCCTTGTCTTCTGGTTTGGGTTCAAAATTACAAGACTACAAACTTAACCTTATTAATCGTAACCCCAAAAAGGTTTTGGCTGTTCAACGCTGGTCATAAAGTAAAATTATTTTCTTTTAAAATGTGTAACATGTTTTTTTCAGTGGCATAGAAAATGGGGTAGGCAGTTGAACTTTGTCCTTGATTTTGATAACTGGGCTGCCCTTCTTTCATATTAGACCATGTTTTCAATTATTGCTACTCTGTTTCTTAATCATTGTATAAGAATTGTAAAAAAAAATAGTTACGTTGATATTAAATGTATGTAATGTAAGTTTTCATTCACAGTTTGCAATTTTGTAGAATGTTACTGGAATAAAATAAATTACTTAATAATTAAGGCCTCTTAATATTTATAAGAAAAAATATATGTAATCTGACTTTTTGTTAAATTTTAAGGTAAACACTTTTTTGTATAATTATAGTACAGGTTATAATTTTTTTTTTTTTTTTTGTAGAAAATTGATCAAGAAGTTCGAAAAGAAGTAGATGAAGCAGTTCATGTTGCTAAAACTGCTAATGAAATTCCCTTAGAAGAACTATATGCTGATATTTATGTTGAACCAATCTATACAAAGATTAGAGGAACTACACCATTCACTGAACATCACCATAAGAGACTGTCCAATCCACGAAACTTATGATCATTTGAAATTAAAATTAGACCTATAGAATGTTGTTTGTTTTGTTATTTTGCCAAAGTTACATTTGATCAATTGTTGTTATTAGATTTTTTTTGTGTACAAAATGTATTTAATTGCTTGTTTGTTTTTAATCCTGACCATGAATTTAATATATAATTTTGAAAACTTTTGTGTGTAAATTTAATTCCTCAAATTCTTTAATAATTTTTTTTTTTTAAAGTGCTGCTTGAAGGAGGGAAAATCACTATTTGTAGAATTTTTTATTTATTGCTTTGTTGTTATTTAACTAATAAAATTATTCATCTATATCAAAAACTAAACATTTATTCATTTCTATTAAAAATTCTATGTGTGCTAGTCACCCTAATCATGTGATAGCATGTAATTAATGCTTTTAAATACTATTGGAAAGATTAGAGAGTAATAATGCAATGCGTAATACTATAAGGCCTATAACTCTGTATAAATATTAATTTAATTTTGTTTATTCCAGCTAATTTCTTCCAAGACTCTTTTGTATATGAATAAACAAAATATTAAGCAAATATTATTCTATCTCCATAGCTGTTATGAGTTCGTCAGAGTTACTCATAACATCATAACTATTAGGTTAAACTCCCACCATCTGTAATCTCTAGCCATCCTCCTCTATATTGATCATAAAAAAGGCATAAAAAATCAAGATAAAGAGAAACCAGTTTATATATGTAAAAGGTGGCTGTCGAACCGAGTAGCAAAACAGACACAGGACTTTAATAAAAGCAAATCATTGGTCATTCTTTATTGAGTGGTGAGTGAAAAGTTTAGTTTACTCTATTGATGATCAGTCTTTCCGGTAGGGAAAATCTTACAAAAAATCCGAAAATGTCTCTATTTAGGGAAAAGAGGAAAATCTTAGAAATTACTATTGGTTTATTAAATAGGTCGCGCGATTCCCACGGAAATAAAAGAAAGAATGTCTTACTTTAATGAATGCATACTTGAGTCGAAAATAGATTTAAGAACAGGATGTAGCTTTTTAAAAGTGTGAGAAAGTGTTTCGATTGCAATAATAAATTAGGAAAAGTTTTATGGAAAAGAAATAACATAAAAAGATTAATAGAAGCTTTTTATGTTACATATATTTAATTAAAAGCACTTGTGATCTTGATTTTAAAAATATGAAAAGTTACACCAGCACTGCATAGTTTAAGTTCATGTGCAATTACTGAAAATTATTGGTTGCTTTTCTAAAGCTCTACAATAACAAGAAATAACAATTTTCATCATAATTTGCTATTTTTATGATTGTTGTGACTTTTTAATAGTTACTTATTCAATCATTCATATTAGGTTAAATTTGTCTTATCTTTTAGCTCTCTATACTAATTATGAAAGTGATGCAAAATGTCAATACAAAAATAAGTCTCAGTTTTTTGAAAATGAAAAGCGTTTGTGATCTAGTGTTTTAATATTTGAAATTTTACTCTTAATGCTGCATTATGTGGATCATAAAAATTTGCAAAAATTGGGATTCATTCCTAAATTTTAATGATTTTTATCTAAGACGATGATTTTTCTTGTAAGCAATTATAAAAAATTTCAATAATATTTTTAATATCTTGGCTATTCAGCCCCACATAATTCTTTACAGCAAGATAAAATATATAGTTTGAAATTATAACTTTTCTTCGAATTTAGGACACTAGGATGTGGCTTTATTTTTGCCTGTGAAAGAGCTACGAGAATCACTTTTAATGATTTTCTTCTAGGTGGGATTATCTCGCTAAATTGTCAAATCTTTAAGAATGAATTATTTTTCAAGTAATTAAATTTGCCTGTCCTAATAATACTATATATTGTTTAAAAATCAAAACTTTGCTTAGTTGAAGGCATTCAAACTATGGCTTCGTTTACCTTGTCAAAAGAGCTTTGAAGAACCCCCTAAAACTACCTATTTTAATGTTGAACACATTCCTAAGTAAGCTTTGTAATACATTCAAAAATGCTATGTTTTTTTCTGTTTGAAATTACTAAAATGATACTTTGATTTGTTTATTTACTTATTTATTTTTAGTGAAAATCACCATTAGTAAAAAACTGATACTAACCTATAAATATTTTACTTTGTTTTGTCATTCCAATAAATTATTGACCTAAAGTAAATGTTGATCATAAAAACTATTTGTGTATCCTTCGACTCAAAATAATGTTTAGTTTAACTAAAAATCTCCAATTTTAATTTTGTATTTCTTTATACCTTTAAAGAAGAGAAGAATTATTTTGTAAAAATCAAATCATATATACCATTGCTAATTCTGCAAAGCGCAAGCATATTTCTATATGTTAGTTAAAGTGTGTATTGCCACTTATTTAAACTAATTCACTAGGAAAGGTAATAACATGATGAATCACACTTTTTCCTAGGGCATAAAACTGTTCTCGATTATAATATCCAGGTATGTCCTGAAAAAGTTCCACTAGATAACAGCACAACACACAAAAACTTCTTTTCATTCACATAGAAATGGTGAAAGTCCAAAAGCGTTCTCTTTAACGATTTGGAAATATTTTTTGTTCAGAAACTTTTATTTAAAACTGGATCAAAGCCAATGGATGAGTATAATTTATTTCGGCCATATATACCGGAAAATATTTGTAGAAGATATTAATTTTGTCCAAAACTTGGAAAGTCTGTTGAAAATGCAATTCGGTGAACTCTTAGTAATTCTTTTTTTCCAAGCAGAATCTTTATTAAACTGGTTCTAAATCAATATGTGGGCATCATATTTTCAAAACAGAAGCACATATGCAACGAAATATTAGTAAAACATTTTAAGATAGTATTATTATTTTCAAAGCGAATAAAATCCGCAAGAAATGCCATGTAGTGAATCACCGTGTAAATTTATAATAATTTCTTTTATAGAGAAGGATTTATTTAAGATAGATTTTAAATCGAAGAATGAGCATCGTGTTTTTTTTAAATTCCAATGTAAAGATAGAAATCTCAGTAGAAATTTTTTTTTTTTTTTTAAATAATCTTATCCAAAATGAGAAAAATCTGAAAAAAAATGCCATTTAGGAACACTTTATGAATTTCTGATAAATTTTTGCACTGTAGGATTATTAGTAACTATAGTTCTAAATCAAATAGTAGGTGTCGTATTTTCTAAATATCCCAATGCTGTCTGTGCCAAGAAATATTTGCAAAACATTTATAAAAATATTTTAGTTCTGTGCAAACTAGAAATTTTATGTTGCAGACAATTTGTGCATTTTTAATAATACTTTGCACTGTACAATTTATTTGAATCTGGCTCTAAATCAAAAAATGGACGTCATATTTTCCCCCTATGCCTATGTATGCCTAGAAATAACTGTGGAACATTTCCAAAAGAGTTTATTTCTGCCCAAAAAGAGTAATTTTTGCAGAAAATGTAACTTGTAAGTTTCTAATAAACTTTAGCACAGCATGATTCATTCAAGGAATGGGATCATATTTTCAGAAATGCTTATATTTGACAATAAATATTTTGGAAATTATCATGTGGGGGGCACTTTATGAATTTAGAATAATAATTGACCCTGCAGGATTAGTTTAAAACTGACTGTATATCAAAAAATCAGTGTTGAATTTTTTTGTAATGCCCATATATGCCTACAAATATTTGTAGAACACTTTAAAATGTTTTTTAGTGTGTCCAAAGCTAGTAAAATTTGGGGTTAATGCTATGTGATGGACACTGTTTATTTCTAATAAAAATAAGCTTTTGCAAATCACAGTATGAGCATCATGTTTTCCGAAAATGCCCAAATATGCCTAAATTATTTATATGTAGAAAATTTTTAAAAAACTTTAATTTTAAGATGCCATATAGGTGTTTTCATGAATTTCTAATATAAATAAGATTTCGCAAATCGAAGTATAGATGTTATGTCTTTTGAAATTGTCCAAATATGTATAGAAATATTTGTGAAGCAATTTTTTAAAAAACATTTAGTTTTGTTCAAGTTCAACACTTAGTTAGTTTTGTGGAAAATAACAAACAGATTTTCATGTTCACAGTCTTGCTGTCTTCAATGGTACTCACTAATTGTATTCGTTTTTTCCCTCTTGAATATTGATTTGCTAACATAATTTAATATCTATATTTATTGATTTCATGTTTGACAAAAAATTTAGAAAACACCACTCAATATATAGTTTTAAAATAGTAACTATACAGGAACGAAAAGTGTCGTAAAACTGTAAAATAAATTTAAAAAAATAAAGTTGAGATCGAAAAGAAAAGAAAAAAAGACGGTGCTGTCAATTCGATTAGGAACTCAACTTTTCTAGGAAAACTGAAGACTGGGGGACATAGAGTGAGGTTTCAGGGTTCTTTAACTTTGAAAATAGGAAGGTGAAACTTGAGAAGGATTCATTACTAAAACAGATAATCAAATTAAAAACAATTCTTTTGACTTGCAGTAAGTTATTAAGACCTGCAAATGATTTAACTATATGCATAAAATGTTAAGCCCAAAAAGTGTGTAAAAGTTACAAAAGGAGGGAAAAAAGCAAGATGGTTTACTATACATCAATAATTCCCAAAGTGGTTTATATCGAGGTCGACGACAATCTGCAAGGGATACATGCCAAGTGAAAAAAAATTTTGGGGTTCATGAAATGAAAATGGGGGTCAACGATAGTGGATCTCATATAAGCAGGTTGTGACTTTTAGTTTTGGAATTTCATGAATGGAATAATCAACATATACTGATTCTACCTATTTGCTTACATTTATAATATAAAGACATATATCTATCTACATAATTTATAAAAGTAGCTATGAAGTAAAAATTTTATTAAAATTTAAGTTATTAGGATTATTTTTTGATATACGAAACTGAATTATTACAAACTGGCAGTTGCCTGCAGCTCCGCCCGCGTACGTTTTTATTTTCTCTGCGTGTAAGGTTTTATTTTGCAACAAAAATTATTTTTTCGCTGTAAATTGTAGCCTAGCAAGTGTGTCAACTCTTTAGCTAGCCATAGACCTCCAATTTTATCTGCGCACAAGATCACGGAGATTTGTTGCTTAGTTTTTACGTGAAAATATAATAAATAGACCGACAATACACTACTACGGTTTTGTATGCGCACTTATTTCCGCAATTATAATATTAGTAACTGAGTACGGGTTTTATAGTGCACTATTTTATTCAATTTACATGTTAATTAAATTAAATTAGTTTGAATTTAATTAAGAAATGTATAAAATTAACATGTTTTTTTTTTCTTAAGTTTTTCACAGTAGTACACTTCACTATGGTTAGAAACTTAACTCTTTCACAGTGAGTAGCACTATACCAGCTGTCAAAAATACATTTGAAGTTGATGAATTTACAAGAAATCAATATCAGGATGTAAGCGGTTGAGTGCCTAGCACACAGGCACTCTAGTAAGCAGGGGGTCTACCAAAAACCGAAAAACATGGCAAGGGGTCTACGAGACAAAAAAGTTTAGGAACCACTGCTATACATGATGATTGACATATAAAATTTTCAGCGATATCTGGTGCAAAAAATTTAATACATAATAGGCTTAGGCTGTTACAAAATTTGAAACATTATTGATTTTTTATTTATTTATAGGTGCACATACATGCTGACTTGTGTGCTCAATTAAAGTACGACTCATACGGCTTTATCAAGTAGAAACACAAATAGTAGAATTCAGAGAAAGATGGCGTGATGTTGTTGTTGTTGTTCATTTACGTCGCACTAGAGCTGCACAATGGGCTATTGGCGACGGTCTGGGAAACATCCCTGGGGATGATCCGAAGACATACCATCACAATTTTGATCCTCTGCAGAGGGGATGGCACCCCCGCTTCGGTAGCCCGGCGACCTGCACGCGAAGTCGAGCACTTTACGGAAGAACAGTTTAACGAGGACCAATACCGCACACCCTCGGTCCCTACGCAGGCTGATCCAAGTGGTCACCCACCCGCACACTGACCGTAACCAGTGACGCTTGACTTCGGTGATCTGCTGGGAACCGTGTCTTAACGATCAGTCCACTGCGGGACAAGATGGCGTGAAAATACATCCAGAGTTATGGACGTATTTGACTCTGTTACCTTTACGCTACAATGCATTTGATGGGCGATGCCATTCGGCAGGGAGGGCCTAAAATTCCTAGTAGTAGGAGTTCATTTGCGTCTCACTAGAGCTGCACAATGCGTTATGGCGACTGTCCAGTCCTTGAGAATAATCTGAAAGTATGCCTTTAAACTTCAATAATCTGCAGAAAGGATGGTTCCCACGGTTTGGTAGTCTGATAACCTGCGTGCGAAGTCGAACACTTCACAGAAGAGCAGTTTAACAATGACCGATATTACGCACCCTCGGTTCCTACACAGACTGATCAAAGTGATCATCCACCAGCTCACTGGCCTCAACCAATGATGCTTGACTTCGATGTCTACTGGGAATTGGGTCTTTACGATCAATTCACTGCGGGGGATTCCAAATATTATGGATTGGGGGGAAGAATCGTATTACATTCCTATTCATCTGAGCAGAGAGGGAAAAGAGCGCTTTAGACACGGAATTGGTCTTCTTCCTGGATGTCGTATTCAAGTGTTGCAAGTAAAAAAGTTGTTCCAGGAAGGTTGGTATTTTGACCAATAAATTTACACAGGACAAGAAAAAAAAAATTAATTATGCGAATTTTTAGCGGGTAAATGCAATCACCTGTGGGTGAATGCGTTTACAAATTCACATATGTGAATATTTTGTATACAGTGTGAATGGCCCTTTAATGTTTGCTGCTGCCATCTATAGACCTTTTCGATTGTGGGTTCATAACCTATATAAATTAACTGTGACTGTTTTTAGAATCCGAAAACATTTCTTGTTTGTTTGGACACCCACTGAAAGGAATGATTGAAGGAAGAAATGTGAAAGAATGTAAAATTATCAGTGCATAAGATGTATAAGCGTAAAAACAACTCACACAATCTCTTTTTTATGGAGTAATATTTGATTTAATTAAAACAAATTTTTTCTGGGTGCTTTCGTTTGATTATGGAAACTAAATATGTTATTTACATTTAGATTAGTTTTACTAATCCCATTACATTTAATAGTAAATAACACCTTCCCCAACATTCAAGTTACTAGGTGAATTCATTATCTTAGTTACTACACTTGATTAAGAAAGCAAGCACCATGGCAACTTGTAAACAAACTGCTTATGAATTAATACAAGATGTATTTTCTCCTTGTGTAGCAGTTCTTTGCAGTAGTGATGTCGATCAAGTGTGTGCAAAAAACAATCTAACATTTGTGCAAATGATACAACCATTCTGTAGATTAAATACTGAAGGTAAGTTTAAAACATACGTTAAGAGAAATGAAGTTTTAATCTACCAAATGGAGACATTGAAAAATAAATAGACAAAAAAAAATTTGGGGAATTACTGGTGGATTTTGTTTCTTAGATAGAGTAAAAGATTAAAAAAAGAATAATTTGAAACAAACTAGAATTATATAAGCAGAGTTTAATATATAAAGAAATTAAAGGTTTTAGGTAGAGTTGTGAGTCTTGATTTGGGGATAATTTTCTTTCAGTTTTGCTGAAACCCTGTTTCTGGTTGCCATCATATTCTTTCCTTTCAATGATGTCACCTTCTGGCTACCACAAATTTTGTTTACTGTTATTTGATTGTTTTTTTGTATATTTATATATATATTCGTGTATATTCAAATTGCCAAGTTAAAGAGGTGCAAAATAAAAAAAGATGGTTTTGAAAAATTTTTGTTCCATAAATGGACCTTTTGCAGATATTTCTGTATCACACCTATCACTCGCTTGTTCGTACCTATTACTGTCACTCATTTAGCAAACGTTCTTTAATATGTGAAATATGTAATGGTTTGCCTATATGTTGCTACGAGTTTTACTTGTCAAGTTTTCACTCTATAGTAGTTCTTTTGTGGGTCACTACCTGATTTTTATCAAAATTTGGTGGATTTTTTTTCACAAGAATCTAAATGGAATCTTCCATTCACAAAGTTCTAAGTTTAGAAAACAATGGATTGTGTTTTCAATATTAATGTAAACAGCAATAATCTCAAGTTCTTGACCTGTTGTACTTTCAGCTAGAAAGTAAACAGCTGTTTACTTTAGCTAATTCTGCAAGGTGATATTTTCAAACAGATAATTTTGTTTTTAAATAAAGAAATGAATTATATAATTCCTGAGCACAAATCTACTGTATTTCATAAGATATGAATGACATGAAGTAATTTTGGTAAGTTTGAAGTGAAAATTTGTTTTAGTAATTTACAGATGTATTGTTAAAAAAAGTGACATGGTTGCTAGATTTAGAAAGAATTGTCTTTTTTGACAGTCCTGATTTTGCCTCTTATTATTTGATTATTTTTGAAACAAACTGTGCACCATCATTTGTTAGTGTTAGCATATTGGTTGAGCAGCAAGATTAAGTTAGTTTTACAAATTATCATTTAGACTTAAATTTCAAAGTTGGTATATTGTTGACAAGGTAAACAGTGTTTTATAACGCTTCTTTTTTTCAAGATTCTTATGTCTTGAAATGACAAGTCTTCAAATGAAGATTTTTATAATGATTATTTTTTTAAAATATAAATCAGGTAGCAAATACACATATACAAGAAATACTACTCCAGAAAGATTCAAAAAACAATGATCACTTTGTCAGCCAAATGGCTTCAAAATACACATGAAACAGTAACTTGGAAATATAGGTAGTTTAGAGCTTGCAGTGCATCCTAGTGTAGAAAATACCACCCATTTTTTCTTAGAAATTTTTGCATACAGTACATACCACAATACATAATTAGCATTCCAGTTTAATTGCTTTCTTACAAATCAGAAGGTAGTTTGGAGATATTTTCATATGAGTGCCTTCTTACTAACTTAACTATGTCCAAGGACCCAAGCATTTTGGTATTTAACAAATTTCATAAAAGGAATGCATTGTAGTTTACCTGGAGATAGTTTTAAGTTGAGTAGATCTTCTTTTATGATGTGTTTCTTGTGTGTGACTTCTTCTTCTTGATTGCCACCTAACCTTGGTGACTTTTTGTCTCATGTATCGTTATGAAATCTTGACAGTAATTTTTATACACATTGAAATGGGAATATTTGTGTGAATTCGTGACAAACACATTTAAATGTAACCAAAAACTTAACTGAAAAATGTGGAGCAGTTTTTTTTAACTATCAAAAATCGACAAATTCCATAAGGCATTTATTTGAAGTTGCTGTGGGTAAAAAATTTCATTGGCATACTTCATATTAATAATAAATTTTAGTTTTATAAATATTTTTAGAAATATAACCTTGTTTTTATGAAATAATTTCTACATAATTATGGAAATTAAATAAATTACTTATATGCTTACCTATTCTTTATTGTACAGTACAGACTCTGTTATCCGGAAATCAGAAAACCAAAAAACCGGAACGAAATTCGATAAATTTTCTCGCCATTTAAAAAAATTTTTTTTTTTTCCTCTTAAGATTTTAGGATTTTTCTTTCATTTTTGAAAGATGTTACCCTTACCATCATTTTGTAACTAATCATTAGTGTATTACTTCATAATTTTTTCTTCTTTTTAAGATTATTTCCAAAAATTTTTTTTTAGTTGAATTTAACAATACAAAAACGGCTTTCTGTAGCGATTACGAAAACCGGAAGAATCAGTTATCCGGAATAGCGATGGTCCCGATCGTTCCGGATAATCGGTTCCCTACTGTACAATTAATATTTATGAAAGTTTATTTTTCTCAAACGATGTATAATGTAACCATGTATAATACCATTTCTGAAATCATGTGTAATAGGTTTCTATAAATAATTATATTTTTTCCTAGCTACTATAAGAGATTCAAATAATGTACCTTGTGCCATAAAGAATTTTCGTGTCATAATGAAGCACTTGCATGCGCAACCTCCCTCACCATCTGCAGGGAAAAAAATGATGCATGATGCTGTATCATCAAATAATTTACTAGGTTCTGAAGGAATTTTGATGAATACTTTGGAGACAGAAAATTATTATCTAAAATATTGTTGTAAGTCCTTTTATTGTTGCTATTTTATACAGTAAAATTCTAAATTTTATTATTTTCATGGTGTTAAGGTTAGTTCCATTCAGTAAATGTTGTGATAAGATTTGTAATATTTGTGAAATAACAATAGAATGTTTTCATATAAATTAATAAAATATAAAAAATTCTTTACATCCATTTCATTTTTAAAGATAGACAAGATAAAGAGTTCATAGTGTTCTTTTCACAAAATGAATTTACTTTCACTGAATGAATTTACAATTACATTGCCAACTAGCAATGTTATTTCTTTCCATGGTTCAGGTTGGCTGATCAGATAAATTTTGTATTTTTATGAACAATTATTAGCCAAAAATGGAATGTTTGAATTACAATGGGGGTGAAATGTTTGTTGGAGGTACTCAGGTATAAGTTAAAAATAAACAAGTAAAGAAAAAAGCAAGGTCATATTGAAATTAAATGTAGAGTTGCATTACTGATTGATTAAAAATAGAATATTTTTTAAGTTAAAGTGAATTTGATGAATAATAAGGTAGTATTATAATTTAAGCATGACAATTACTTTTTTAATATTTGTTTTGTTTCAAATGTTAACTTCCCAGTAAATGCATTTTTTACATCAATATACAAAAAATATTATTTCATTACATGGATATGTTATTGTTAAAGGTATATTTTTACAAGTGTAATTATTGAAATTTTGTTGTTAGCTAGAGCGAGAAAAAAATCAGTAAATTTATAACTTTTTTTAAACTCATTTTTATTTGATGTGAGAGAATCCTAAGTTTATAATTGTATAGAAGGTAGAAATAAAGTCAGATTTCTAGGTAATGTATATAATATTTCTCACAAACATGTGACTTATAGAATTTAAGGCTTTACAGAGGAAAAATAATATAAGTGTCTGAGCTTAATTTTTAAAATTGTTTTACATATTTCATACAGACTTTTAGACTTTTTTATGACTTTTAAGGCCATTACTTGAGGGAAAGGGCTTCAATGTAGTTTGCATCATAAATTGCACAGTAGCATTGGGATAGTATGTAAAGCAACTTTATTCTCAAAAATAACGAACAACTGCTATAATGTTATTAAAGAAGTAGCTGGGTGCAGCACTGAGGCATTCTTGAGTCTGTGTTATTTGTTTTTAAATTATAAATCTATATACTTAAGATAATTTGAACACACTCTACTTATTTCATTTTAGAACCTCATGGTTTGTAATTTCTATGAGTGCTTTATATTCATATATTGATAATTGCCTTTTTATTATTCTATACTGACTATGAGGAGTGGAAATGGAATGGTCCTCTTGATCAGCTTCCATTTTGAAAATAATTTTCTGCAAAGTTCGCAATGTATATAAAAAATGTTCCGTTGTATAATCTAAGGAAGGAGAAATTTAAAAAAACTAAAATTTATGTTACTATTCCAGGATTATCATTTTTAAAAATCCAAACAATTAACTATTGCATTGAAACTGCAACAATAGTTTTAATATTAATCTTATGATCAGAAATATTGAAAAATTTAAAAAAAAAAAATCCTTAGGAAAAACATTTAATCAAAAACTTGAAAACTAGATTTCAAGATGCATAAGTTTAGGTCAATAGACTATTTGCTACTGCTTGCTCACACATAAAAATCAGATTCATAATCTAAATCTATGCATACTGAAATAAAGAATCTATTTAGAGTTTATTAATATTGAGGTATTTTCTGGTCATTAAAGTTAAGATTAAAATTTAATGGAATTTTTGTATAATTTAATTTAATGGAATTGAAAATATTTGGAAATTCAACTATTATAACTATAATTGCATTATTAATTGGCTAACACAATTTCAAAGTACTCTAGCTTTATTCTTTGAGTTCAGAATGAAAATATTCTTTAACGATTTTTTTAAGTTACTTATTTTAGTTTAAAACTTTAATGTTAGAATGTTATATAATTGATATTTCCAATCTGTATTTTGTTAATAAAAAAAAGGAAATGAATCCTCATTATTAAAAAAAGAAGGGATAAAAAATTGAAAACAGCTAAAGAAAATTTTTTGTATAAAAAAAGAAGAAAAATAGAAAATACTTCAGTGTAGTCATAAATATTTGTGATATTTTCTTTTGCTTATTGAATTTTTGCTTTTTATAAATTCTTAATAATATATTCATTGTTCATTGTTTTCTGAATAGAAATATGTTCATCGGAATTGAGAGGAAATGTTATACTAACTGAATTAATTAAGATTTTCTTTTTGAAAAATTAGAGATATTTGTTAATTGAAATATGTGTTGTAAGATAAAAATATTGATGCTATGATAATGTTAAGCTAATTTTGTTTAAAGTTGCAGTTAAACTGTTTTGTAATCTGTATGATTCATTAAAAATAAAATATTTCTTTTCTTGAGCTATATTTCTATTTTTAATTACTGTAATTTTAACTTGCAGCTACTACTCCATGGTTTGAAGCATACAGGGAGGTTTTTTTTCAAGTTACTTCCTCACCTGAGCATGAGTTTATTCACAATTATTTATCATGTATCCTTATTTATATATTTCTTTATATTTATAGAATGCAATTTACTTTCCATAGAGCAAGTTATGAGATTTATGCAGATCAGGATGGTTATACTTTGTGCTATGAAAGGCCCGTTCACACTTGAATATCCAAATGAGAATATGGATACTTTATGCCATTTATGAATAAAACAAAACAATGTGAATAAAACGCAAATAAAAGTACATGAATGGACATACTATATATCTATATCCATTCATATACTTTTATTTGTGCTTCATTCACATTTTCTTTCTTTTTTTTTTCAAAGAAATTTATGATGGTATGATTATGATAATGGGATGTTACACGATTGACACCACATTCTTGTTACAATAAGTTATAATAAAGCATACCATTAAGAGTAAAGAATTTTTATCAAAATAAAATTCCTGTAGGAGTTTTGATATGTACTACTTAATGAGAAAATATTATAACATAGTTCTAAAAAAAATCATAGTTAGTATTTTTTACCATTTGTACAAATTTCACTAGTACTAGGGTGCCTCCTCCTTCTACTTTTTTAGCGGTGGGGAGGGGACACAAAATGTAATATCCAGTAAAAGTGGCCGAACAACAAGGACCTAATAGATATAATTTTTTTTTCCAAATCAACTAAGTGTGAGAATTATTGCCTCAAAATTTTGAATTTTTGAATAAGAACATCAAATTGTCACTGATTCCAGTCAGTTTAAAACTTATACCTTCAGGTAAGGGAATAGCACTTGCAATAAAAACCTACTTTTAATTCCCAAAATGTAGGTTGAATGCCCTTAAAGGGACAAAGATGTCACCTTTGGCAAATGAAATGGACTAGAATTTTGTTAAATGCAGTTCTCTTTTCTCCTTAAGCCAGTGATATTCATACTCAAAAGACTACTTCTGTTTTCATTGTTAGTACTACTGCAATCCTGTTGCATGCGAATGTATGTAAACTAAACTTAGTGGCGGGACAGCCCATTGAAGGCCAAATACTACTATGTCCATATTAGTTTTCTTGACCTTGGGCTCTGGGATGCAGATGTTCCGGTTGGGTGGTCAGCCGAGCTCGGAACCCCCAGTGTTTAGTTCCCAAGCATTCTTGGTACTCATTTTATCGACCCACTGAAGGGATGAAAGGCCGAAACAACCTTGCCTGACCTGAGGATTGAACCAAGGACCTGTGGCACGGGAACGTGAAGCGCTACCACTGGTGCCACCAACATATGTAAATTATTCCAAAATCATTAAAGTCCTTCTTTCCAGTCTTCTTAGTTTTTTTTAAAATTTACGTGATTTATATTATTTCCTTGACTTCTTTGAAGGTATATTTGTTGTATCTTCATCACATCAAGATCCCCTGAGCCAAATTAATGAATTGTCACAGCAACTTATTCAATACCAGCAAAGTTCTCATAATTCTAGGTGGTTTTTTACTCAAGTGCTTACTTATTATCTTCTGGTTCATGATGTGTCATCTGAAGATTTAGCTAAGTGAGTTTGTGTTTTTAATATTTGAAAAGTTTTCATGAATAGAAAATGGAGACTTTGTTAGGAATTCTGTGATTAAAAAAAATTGCAATTTTTGTTTCCATATTCATTTATTTTTTGAACAGATAAAAAATTGGCTTTGTTTTCATTTTTAGAGCAGAGGCTGTGTATCAAAGTATGAAAAGTTCATTTGGATCAACATCTTGTCATCTTCTTCAAATAAATTCTACAACTGGTGCAGTTCAAAGTGCCACTCATGACAGAGAATCTTCTGACAACATGCCTGATCCTTGGAGCCAATTTTTGCCTAAATACTATGTCCAAAATGTAAGATATTTCATTTTCTTATGGGGCATCCCAAAACTAGCAAACAATATGTAGGAGCCGTGGTGGCTCAGGGGATAGAGCGTTTGCCTTCCAACGAGGTGAGCCGGGTTTGAATCCCAGCGATAGCTGGCCGATACGAAATCTGTACCCAGCTAGCACCGACTGCAGTGCCGTCATAGTTCGTGACACCAAATCGTACTGCTGAGTCGAAGAACTACCGAATAGTTTTTTTCAAAATTTATTTGTAACAATATTATGTATAGTTTGAGGCTATAGTTAATGTATGCCTGTGTAAGTATTTCAATCGGAATGGTCGGTCTGACTTCCTGCATGAAACATTGTTCTAAAGTTTGCTCCAGTTTACAGCACCATCTGTTGGCAAACTTTGTGAATAATTTTGAATCTTAGTAAAAATAATAACTATTTCCTTAAGCAGAGTGCAGCAAACTGATCATTTGTATCTTTGTTTTTCTTCAATTAGATTTTCAAATTATCTGTGATTTTCGGGACAACTTGTTAATTTTTATGTTGTAAGTTTGAAAAATCATACAAGTTTACAGATTTCAGTTTATTTATTTTATTCTTAATTGTAATATTTTTTTTTGTTTTGTTTTGTGACAACATTTAACTAGTACTTTTTGTTTTCCAGAATATTTCTTCAAATACTCAAGCATCGGAAGAAAATCATGTAGAAATTGATGACGGTAAATCTGGTACATATTCATCTCTAAAATTGATTATTCCTGCTTATTGAGGTTGATCATGAATTAATCAGTTCAAGATTTTAAGCAGCAGAATATTTTATATTTCATTCAAAATAGATTTTTAAATTTTTTTAGCTTTTTTTCTAATTTTTTACTTATTTGCTTTGATTTTTGCTTTGCTCACATTCATAGGATGTTTTATTTACTCTTAGAGATGAGTAATCAAATTTTTAACATCGCTTCCTAAAAAAATACCATTTGGTATAAAACTAATATTTTCAAAGTTTTCAGCTCAATAAAATAATATTTAAACCCCACCCCAGGCTTCAAAGTTTGAAATAAACACAATTTTCTGAAAAAATTGCATAATTTCTGCTATTAAATAAATTGCATATTTTTTGCTATAAATTGAGCTGAAACTCTTAGATTTTTAGTTTTATAGCAAATAACGCATTTTAGTCGGTGCAGTCAAAGAAATTTGAACTTTCGTTTTTACGACCACCCTAGTGCGTACATGCACCAGTGTTGTTTTCAGATCATGGCTAGAATTAGCTTATTGGTGCAGCTTTAATTATGCAACATAAAAATAAATTAAGTCAAAATAATGTTTTAAGCTGTCTACAATATTATTAGGATAATCTTCTATCACTCCAACAAGTTAATTTGAGTATTATCATGAAATTCAGCACTTTTTATTTTTATTTTACGTTGCACCTGTATGTAAAATTAAAAAAGTTCCTCCTGAAATATTAGAAAACATAGCTGCCAACTCTACTGGATTTTGCCACTTTTTCCTGGTCTACTGGTTTTATTAAAATTCTCCTACTCTTCGTTCATTTTAGAAAATTCCCTAAAATCGAGTAAGTTTCTTAAAATATCCCTATTTAAATAGAATTTTTATAGAGATTATTGCTAGCTTGTTTAAATATCTAAATAAGTTTTACTATTACATAATGAAGTAAACCTCATTTATAGAAATCAGTTAAAAACTTTTTTTGTTATAAAATGTTCATTTTAATTTTTATTCAGAAATCTCTTTTTAAATTAATTAAAAAATTCTTTTTAACTATTTTTTATGAATTAAATACCTATTAATATTTGAAACATAATACATAACGTTTCTAAGTATGTTTAATGTCAATCATAACTAGAAAATATTGCAGTTTTTCTATTTTGATGACTATAAAAATCCCTACAATTCCCTGTGTGTAAAATATTTAGTACATTATGCGACAATTATCATGAAATTCATATTATTTCGTAAAATCCACTGGACTTTTTCCTATCCATGTTGGCAGCTGTGAGAAAGGCTTTATCTCTTTCAGCTATTATGATTTATTTGACCTTTTATTGTATAAAGTAAAGTTGTGTTTTGATATTAAACTTTTATACTATTTATAGTTGATGATTCAGCTGAAGGACAACAGGAATTGAATTCTATTCATCATCCCCTACTTAATAATTCTGAAGCTGTTGCTGTGCTTTCTGATTCTTTGGTGAAAACAAATATTAATATATTTTCATTTTAAGGTTTTAGAATAGTGAAATGCAATATGTGCTATTATAATTATTTTTTTTAAAAATGTAAGTTATCTATTATTTTGGCTGCATTCTAATCTGATTTATCACTAAAATTGTGCTTAACTTTTTATGCCTTGACAGCAGGTAAAGAAACCAATTGTGTAAAATTATTTTGAAAGTAGTTATTTATTTAGTATTTTTTATTAGTGATTTCATCAATGCTTTACTCTGAGCCGCGATGGCTCAGGGGATAGAGCGTTCGCCTTCCAAGGAGGTTAAATGGGTTCGAATTCCAGCAATGGCTGATCGATATGAATTCCGCATCCGGCTTGCACCGACCGCATGATGTGTAATATCCTCAGTGGTAGACGGGTCATGTGTTAGAGTCCCCTTGCTGTCAAGATAACCATAAGAGGTTTTTGTGGTTTTCCTCTTGTAACACAAATGCGGGTTAGCTTCATAGAAAAATTTTCTACAAATGCAAATTTATCCAGGAGTTACCTTGTCTTCTGGATTGGGCTGAAAATTACAATGCTACGGAGTCGAACATTAGTAGTCGTAAACCCAAAAATTGGGTCGGCTGTTCAACGACGGTTATAATCTTCACTCTAAATAAAATCAACTATGTAGCAAGTTACATACACGTGTCGGTTACTTTGATAAACACTTGAATAATAATGATGTTTTCTGACATCAACAAATATGAACTCAGAAATGATTGTTTATTTAAATANAAATTTCACAAAATAGGTACCTCTCAGAAAAACCTAGACAGATCCCTGCTTTGATAAACACTTGAATAATAATGATGTTTTCTGACATCAACAAATATGAACTCAGAAATGATTGTTTATTTAAATAAATAACCATTTCCCAATTAATGTTTGTAAAATCAGGAGGGGGAAATGAGAAACAAAAGGATTAAATGCAGTTATGTTGTGTTATAGCAAAGTATTATTCTTAAATTAACTTAAAAATTTAAAACATATAGTTATTTCTTTTCATATTTTTTACTCAGTTGTTGTTTTAGCATTCAAAGAAAATGAATAAATTATATTTTAATAATGAATAATTATTCTTTTCAGCTAGGAAATTCAACGGATGATGTTTCGGGACTCTCAAACAGGTTTTCTAAAAGTAGTGCCCGCTCAAAAAAACATGGCTTGTGTCTAACACTGAGTGACATAGATCGTATTAAGTGTTTTGTCCAAGATTTTTGCATTCAAAGTCTCATTCCTTTTGTTGAGAAGAGAGTAAAAATACTAAATGAACAGGTAATAATTTTCTTTATAAACTATAACATTTTTTTTTAAATTCAGATTTTTTAATGCAATTTTGTTGATTATTATACATCAAATCATATGCTTAATTAATAATTGTTAAGCCACTTTGGTTTATGAAAGCATTTTGTTTTACTAAAAACTGAATATTGTTTATGTTTCCATAATTCCATCCCAGCTTGTACAGTCATTGAGAAAGATTTTTCAAAGTGGTAGTTTAAGGATACTTGAAGTATTAAAATTTTCTAAAATTTAAGCTACTTTACCCACCATTTAAAACCCATTGTTAATATATACATGTTTGTGTGTTTGTTTGAATTATTAATTTGTCATGGTAGGTAAAGCAGTTTTAGATTTAATCTTTAAAATATTATTTTATTTTTTAAAACAAAAGCATGAAAATTCTAACACAAAGAAAATATTTCTCTGTGATGGTACAAGTTGGCACCTATGTATTTCATATTATTGGAGATAAAATGTCTCTTTTTTTTAAGTAAAGCTTTATCCACAACAAAGGAAAAAAATTCAAGCGAATACCCTGTCACCAAATTTTCTGTCCTAACTGTTTTCAGTCATTTTATTTCATTCTATAACCGGTTTTGAACAACAAATCCATATTTGGCTTAGATCTATCATTGTTCAACTCCATAGTCTTGTGATTTTGAACTTGACCCAGAAGTCAAAGGAATTCCTGGTTCGAGCATTAGGATTAAGAGGACTTTTGATGGAACTGAACCCTATTCACATTGCAAGGAGTGGAAAGCCTGTTACTGTTAGCCCGACCAGCTACGGGTTTCTAATCGATTTTCCACTGGGGATATTTAATACCAGCATTATGGTCAGTACGAGTTAGGAACAGAATTCCTATCAACCAGCTAGTGCTGGGATTCGAACCTGGGTCATCTCTTTGGGAGGCAAGCGCTCTATCTCACTCCATCATTTAACGGTACTTGATGAATTGACTAAAAAAAATTTGCAATGGCTTCACTTTTTGTTGTACAAAGAATTGAAACAAATGATTTTCAAAATAGCTTAAAATTTTTTGTGAGAAAATTTAGGGCAATTCCAAAATTTATGACTGTCATATTTGTAAATAACATATCTACAAAATCACAAGGCTTTTGTCATATGGACAAATTTATCACCCTCGCATATAATTTAAGTGACATTTGGCGACATTTGTCATCATGCAGGCATGAACCCTAATGCTGATTGATATAAATGTTATTCTCATTATTTGATTTAAACAACTAATGTATGTTTTAATGCACTTCTTTTTAGGTAGCCAACCGCAAAGGAATTCATAGAACTATATTTGGAGTCACCAAAAAGTTTTTTGGCAATAAACCAGGAGCTCAAAGCCCAGCATCATCAATGAATTCTGTTGTGTAAGGATGTTTTATACTATTCTTTTCATCATATACATCTATATATATATATACAGGGTTATTCATAATTCCCTCCGGGCAGGAACTGGCCTATCGCATTGATGTATGCCGTGTGACCAAGGGTTAACACATAGTACACCTGTAATGTATGTAAGTAAATCTTGAATAGTTTTGGAATAATTTCATATGTTTCTTTTTTTTTATATTCGTCTTCTTTTTTTTTTTACTATAACACTTCAAAACCCGGGAGGTAATTACGATAACCCTGTATATATATTTTTGTTTGTATACATACACCACTAAGGTGGTTGGAATAAACGTCTTTTGTACCTTTGCTTATGGAAGGAATATTCTAAGCATTTGTCAAGGAGTCACCTCGTTTCGCACTAAGTCACTATATGTCACCAAGATATGCTTTTCATAAGCCCTTTAAGATCCATTTTCCTACTGGAGATGAAGGGCTCAAATCTCCTTGGTGGCTTAAGGGCGATGTATCAAGGCTTGGGGGGACAGGAATCTACTGCTCTAATGATAGCACCAAAATCCACTTTCCTCTAATCTAGGTAGTTATGCTGAGGTTTATGCTATCATCTTGTGTTGCAGGATATGCTTAGACCCAGTATATTATCTAAATATACCTATCCACATCTGTTCTGATTGTCAGACTGCTCTTCTATCACTGTCAAGGTGTAAATTCACTAGTATGGGAGGGCTTCTCGGTCCTATCTACGACGATCGTCCTTTTTACGAGTAGACAAGTCACTCGTTCTGTGACCTGTCTACGCGTAACAAGGTGTACCTACATTGGGTACCTGGACCTATGGGTATTCCTGGTAGCACATGATCGCATGAGCAGGCTTCAGTGCGATTTTATGGTGCCCTGAACCAGCTTTGGGAATTTCTCCCACATCCTTAAGGGAATCTATATTCAAGTTCTATGGCAAAATTGCCCACGAGCAATGGCACAACTCAGATGGTCAGAGACAGGCTAAAGAGCTAAATCGTGAAAAAGAGCTTCTTAAGCTAAACAGGAACAGTTTGAGGAAAATCATTGGTCTTCTCACTGGACACTGCACCCTCAGGAGATACCTATACATTGTGGGTAATGATTCTGATTCTCTTTGTCGAGGTTGCCATCTTGAGGAGGAGACTTCATGACATAAACTTTGTGATTGTAAGTTCTATTCAAATCAAAGATTTGAGCATTCAGAGCTACATTGCATTAAGTCCTGGGAATTACAAGATATTCCTGTCAGGTGTTTGTTAAACTTTTTTTCAGCTATAAACCTTTTTTTGTTAATCATGATTTACGATTTTGAGCTGCCCAATCTCTAAGTCTAAGGTGGTTGGAAATTTTTTTTTTTTTTTTTAAATCTCTGAGTAAGAAATACACTTTCTATTAAAAATTGCTGACCAATTTTTTCATTTGTGCTTGTTTTCAGTATTAAGTGTAAGTCAACTTATACTGAAAATGTGATAAAATGTTTCCAAATAAGCTTTTGTCGAGTTATGTAAAATAAAAATGTTCTTTTATTTCTAAAATAAAAACATACTTCAAAAAATTTACATATCAACTTTTGAAAATTAATACTTAAATTAATAATAGCATTAAAGCAATTAATGTGTTATTTTTAAGAAAAAATTCATATTCATCACACTTTTCTAAAATGCTAAGCCAGTAAATTGAAATAACATGTTATTGGATATACATGTATTATACATGTTTGAATAGCATGTATTAGACATGTTATTGAATTTACTATTTTGTTGAAAACAAACTTTGTATGAGAATAATACACACCACATTTTTCTTAAGTTATCTTTGAATTTTATTTCCTTGTGATTTTATTAACTTTAAAAAAAATAACAATGTAATTCCCTCATTCTAATTTTGTATTTACTTAACTATCATATTACTTTGGACACTTCACTTTGGCGAACGTATTCCTCTGTCCCAAAATTGTCTATTTGAATTAAAAGTCTGCACAAAAGTAAAATATTTTGTTCCTAGCCAGTTATTTCAACTTAATTATTAGGAAACTGATGGAATACGTGTATTTCAAAAACTTTCTATATGAATAATTTTGATGCTACTATAATTCTTATTATAGTTTAAACAAAAAAGAGTGTTACCTAGCATTGGTTACTCGGTAAAATTGGCCAGTACTTGGGTTTTGAGACTGAAAACTGGGTCGTAAAATTCTTTCACCGGGTGTGTTATTTTAACTGTGTAAGCTGGGTACCTGGGACATCTCTAATAGAAATCTTTCTTTGACTCATCTACTGTAGTCAGTTGGTCTAACTAAAATTCACCACTTTATGACTCTGCATAAAAATTCATTATTTAGCTTTACTCTAAATCAGGTTAATTACCCTGATAATTACAATATATCAAAATAAAAATTTTTTAGTTTTTCTATTTATCTCATAATGGACACAATAGTCCAAATATGTGACTTCAATCTTGGTAAAAACTAGATATTTATTATTAATGTCAAAGTTGCAAATTATTGAAATGAAACATTTTTAGTTTTTTATTTATCACAAAACAAATTCCAAATTTCATCTTTCTATTTTCATGGGAAGTACAAGTATTACTGATGAGGGAGTGAAGGCTTTGCCTTTTATAATTGCATATAATAGGTTCAGGGTGCCAAAAAGGACCACTCTAAATAACTTTTGATCTAATGATCATGATTTTGATTTAATGATTCACCTATTAAGACTCAATCTTAATGGTTCCTAGGGGTAACCTCAAATATACTAATACAATAGAGCAGATGATATTTTAAGTTAATCTTCTAATTCACTATCTAAATGGCTTCATGTCTAAACTGACAGATCTCGGTTGGAGCAAGATGGAAATGCGGGCACTGGTATTTTTTTCTGAACTATTTTAATTTTATTTGAGTTTGGGACCACACACAACTCCTTTTGATGGTGGAGTGGAGGATATTAGGACTACTTCTCAACAGCTATCACATAGAGAATATTGTTATATTTGTCGACTCCATCTCGGCAATCTGAGCAGTGACATATGTTGAGTTTCCAGACTCTCTTGGAATTAAAAGATGTAAAGAGAATTTTGGGCTACTTTTGTCCTTAAAACAGAATATTGTGTTGCAGTGGGTTCCTTCTCACCTTAATATCTATGGAAACGAGGTGGCAGATCTTCTTGCTAAAAAAGGAACTGGTATTTTACAGAGCTCCCAGAAATAAATTCTTTACTCTTCCATAAATAGAATAATTAAAAACATAATTAAGAGTCATGAAAATAATTTAAATGTACAAATTGGTGAGATGGTCTGAAGGGAGACTCTGAATAAGATCCCTGATCACCCGAGACGCAATGCAGTTGCTGCCTTCAGGTTAGAAACCGGACACGACTGCCTTGCCGCTCACCTCCATAGACTTGAGATCTTGTCTGATCCTAACTGTGTCTTGTGCGGGGAGGACTTCCCGATGAATGCTGAGCATCTGGGGGTTTGCCCTGCAGTTACTGGCAACATCTATGACAGATACTGGAGTGCTAGGGAACAGTTACAGGCACTGCTAACTGACCGATTTTCTTTTTTATTTCTATTTGTTGATATTCTATTTAATGTTCCTTTGTTCTAATTGTTTTTGTATTTAGAATGTTTTAATGTTTTTAATTTTTTTTTGACAATTATCTGCATTAATTAATTACCATATTTGAGATCATCCACTTAAAATTTTAATATTGAGTCCTAGAGCGTAAAACTCCGATCATTCGATCAAAAGTTATTCAGGGTGGTCCATTTTTTATTTTGCACACTGTACATCAATATTCCATTATTATTTTTATTGATATAATTATGTTTTATGAAAAGTACCCTGTTATACTAAAATTTTGAAGTTCTGACTATCAATTGAAATAGTTATTATACAGTTTAACCCAGTAATAATCAGAGATTTTTGGGCATATTGTTATAAATCTAGAAATAATTTCTTAAGTTTGAACTATTTTTAGTATTTTTTTAAATTAAGACTTTTTTATTGTTCAGTTAACTAAAACAAGTAATTGAATTATCAAAAAGTATTATTTATCTCATCTCTTAATAAACAATCTATGCTAATTAATTTTTACTCAATGTAATCTGATACAATTGTTTAAAACTTTTTTCTTGTATTTTATATTGTAACTAGACAAGTGAAAATAAAAATGAAGAACAAAATATGAGTTAATTTATATTTTTGTCAAATTGCATTTTTTCAAAATATTTGATTTGTTAAAGTATGTTAAAAAATTTTTTTTCTTTCTTGACTACATATAATTTTTGCACAAAAATGAATCTAAAATGCTTATAAAACTTAATATACTACCCTGTCGTGGCCAAATAATGTGCGGAGAATTTTAAAAAAACTTATATCAACACCTTTGTATTTTCCAAAAACAAATACTATTGCTATTTTGATCAATATTTATTTTATCTAATTTATTTTCTAAAAATATGGTTTTTAATATTTTAAAGCTGGTTTTTACAGATTTTGAAAACTGTAAAATTTAGTTTTTTTTTAATTTATTTGCTTTTAAATGAGAAATATTTGTTACAAATTTGTTGTAGGTACGGACCAGATGCCCCTGAACTACAAGTCCGGAAACTTGGCGATTTGGCATTTATGTTTCAGTTGTATGAACTGGCTTATCAAGCTTATCATACTGCCAAACGTGATTTCAGTGCAGATCAAGCTTGGCTGCATTTTGCTGGTGCTTCAGTATGTTTATTTTTACTTATTAATTCAACAAATCTATATATATCAATAATTTAAAAAAAAGTTCCATTTTTGCCATGACAAATTTTTAAAAAATGTTTTGTTTATTCTTTTCTTAAAATAACTTTTTATTTATGAGCATAATTACAATTTGGTTTACATAACTTTATGTAATTTCAAAAGCTAGGATAACATACCGATTCAGCTAACCCATTCTTGTATTTATTTTAACTTAAAGCATTCTAGTTTGCTACATAGCATGCAAAGCATTCTCTCAAATTGTGTTTTATTATTAAAATTGGTATGTTAGGTAATTTTAATGAGTAATTTAGTTGTAATTTAATAGCAAATTAATTTACAATTTTTTCAAACTTATTTATAAAAATCTAACGTTTTTATAAAAATCTAAGTGATGTTTTAAGTGATAATCATTGTACTGCCATGCAACTGAACAAAAATAATGTAAGTGCCTCTCAGTAGATTTCGAGAAAAATGGCCTGATACCTGTTTCTATTGCTAATGCTATATGCTCTAAAATAAATTGTCCAAAATCTGATGAAACAAAATTTAATTTATATAAAGAAAAAAAAACTTTGCCAAATGGTAGCTAGCTCATAAATGATAAATATATAAAAATCTCAATTTTGAATTTTTTGTTGCTTATACTGATTTTTCTCTTGCATGGCAGTATAAATAGCCTATATAAATCTAAGTAAAGTGGAGTAAGCTTTTGTGTTAATTACATACCTTAATTTTAATTGTTCTGAATTATTAAGATGAATTTCAAATTGTAAAAGTTTCATTATTCTTTGATAATTCTGAACTAAATTTCGTTGAAATGAAGGGTTATTCTTATCTATTGTAAAACTTTTTACAATATTTAGAATTGCTAAAAAACATAATATAATATGTTAAATTTACATAAAATATTTTCAATAATGAACGATTTTGTTTGAAATATCTAAGTGATGGATTTTTATGATAAATTGTGTATAAATAGGATTTCAAAAATAGGTAAAACATTAAGAGAAATTTAAATAAAATGATGGAAGATCAATTGATGATGAAAAAATTTTATTTTTTAAAAATGCCTGTTGTATTGCGTATGATTTTAAACTCTGCACGAAATTTGCATTTACTTCATCAAGCAAGATGAAAGATATACAGTGGGTCTTACGAAAGCTTTTGAGCTAAATCCAGACTAGTTTCTATTGTTTTCTTTGACAGGCTTATAGTGGGTTGAACCATTGCTATTAAGTTAAAACCCACAGCATTCTCAATGCTTCCACCTTTAGCTGCAATGTTAGCTGACTCATGAGTAAATCCAGATCGTATAAGTTATTCAGTTTAAAAAAATAAAGCTATTTCAACAATTCTTGAACGTAGTAAAAAGTGATTGTAAAAGTTGGGTAATGGAAAATAAAATATTCCAGAAATGTTTTCAAGAAATCAACTTGCTGTATATGAACTCCAATTTATAAACATTTCAGATGTTTCAATTAGGAACAGGCACTTACTACAAATCTACCATCAATTTCAAAGATTTAAAAAGTGCCATTCTAAAGCAGCATGGGGAGTCAAGCAATGTTTTTGCTTGGTTGCAAAGATTTCATGTAACTCTAAATACCATTAAATTTTATTTTGCAATAATGAGCAGAAATTTGGATTTTCAGACTTGATGATAAAAATGCAAAGTCATTTTCATTCTTGTTTTATTTGTAATGTGTGTGTCAACTCTCTCTCTCTCTCTCTTTAATATATATATATATATATATATATATATTAAATGTGCCAGTAAATATAAAAGTTCACTCCTTTTTTATTTCCTAATTTTACTGTATGTTTGTCATTTTTTAAAATTCATCTTTCTAGGAAATGGCTGCTTTGTCTGCATTTATGCAAAATAACCCTGCTCAAGAATATCCATTACGATACATAGAAAGTGCTATTAACACATATCTTCATCCTTGCAAGTAATTATACATTCTATGTATCTTACTGTAATTAATTTTAATAAACTATTATAAAGTCATACTTAGGTTATAACATGTTTAATTTAATTTTGTTTTTATTTATTGACCAAATGCATGACAGCTGCAACAGAAAGCTAAAAATGATTAACCTTTAATGTTAGGTTTTAATTTTGTCTAAAAGGGCATTACAAAAGTTGACTTTTTAATGATTTTATCTCGAACTAGTAACATGACTAGCTAGACTGCCTTATTTAAGTGCATAGAAATTCAAGCATCTTGAAATTTGAAAGTATTTTCTACAAAAAATATGCTGATTAATAAGAATTAAATGATATTGTGTGAGTGATATTTGTTGTCTCTTGCACAATCATTAAAGCTGGGTACTTCAAGAATATTTGATGATTTCAAGAGATAGTATCACATTGAATTGGTGGAGTATAAGAAAAGATTTAGTTGTTTAGTATTCAAAGATCTTAAATTAAAAAAAAGTATGTTTGTTTTTTTTAATTTGCACTTTTAAAAATCTAAAAGAACAACAGACCATAAGGGGCTGTTCAAGTACATAAAACAAAATTTTTGCTTTAATTCATTTTATAAAATTTTGAGCTGAATTTTCTTTCGGAATCTTTTGTGTTTTTCTTCCGTACTAAAGCTTTTGACCTCTAAACATCTTTGAAGAAATTTTTTTCCCAAATTTAAAATTTTTCCATGCATTATTTATTTATTTTTTCGCTGTTTAAAAAAGCAACAACTTTTAACTACATAAATTGCATAAAGCATTGCTCGTACCCCTCCGGTTAATTGGTGCAGTCTTTTAAGAGTTATTAAGAATAAATTTGGCTGAATCATTTTTCCTATGTATAATTTGTTTTAATGACTTAATTGTTTCTGTCAATTAACTACATTTAAATTTAGGAAAAGATAAATTTTCTTGTATTTCCTATATCCTTTCTCAATTTATTAATAACATGTATTTTCCATATTTAAGATTACCTGAACTGGCCATTCGAGCTACACTTTTAAGCACTGAGTGCTTGAAATCAAAAGGCATGTATAAAGAAGCTGCAGAGCAATTTGTTAGATCGCCTATTGATGCAGATTTGCCTACTGCACTTTGTTTGGAACAAGCTGCATATTGTTACATTAATTGTAAACCTCCGAAGATAAGGAAATATGGATTTTATGTGATTCTTGCTGGTCATCGATTTAACAAAGCTGGTCAAAGAAAGCATGCACTTAGGTCCTACAAGCAAGCGGAGCAGGTGTGTATATTTTTCTATCTATATGTCATCTCAGTTATTATTTTTGAAATGTTATTTAAGAATTAGATAATATGTTTATATTTTTTATTAATGCATTTGTGTCTTGAAAAAATGCTATGCTGTTGAAAAATCCTTAATGGAAAATTTTCATTAATCTAATAAGTAATTTAAAGAACAAAATATAAAGTTAAAAAAACGCGACTAATTGAACTTATTTCTCTATTAAGAGGATGCTATACTGCAGGAGATTCTTATCATAGCAAATTCTGTTTTACTGTTATTAATGATTTAGAGTTTGGAGAAAAAGTGAGTTAAAGTAAACCTAGAATGAATTATGAAGTTTCAAATGCTGAAAAAAAGGTTTTCAAAATGCAAATAAATTATTACAGAATTATCGACCAACTGTGTAATCTTGACTATTGTTCCATAATTTGTTTATATTTTGAATTTTTTGTTGAGCATTATTTATTAACTTAGGTAACCTGGACTTACTTTTCTCTAAACTTAAAATTTTGAAATACCTGTGGAGGTGAAACAATATTTGCCATGAAAAATTTCTTCACCTGTCTAGCAGTCTTTTAAATCTTACCATATCTTCTAATTCAATGTTTGTTTGTTTTTATGTGAAGAGTATTAAATTTATTTTCATTCTTGGTTAAAAATTTTTCAAGGAAATTTTTTTTTGCAATTTCATTGCCATTTTTTATTATTCTCTTAATTGTTTGGCCTAGAGAAGAACTTTCATTATGGGATACCTACAAGTGACGTAGTGTGGTACCTCGATCCTGATTGATTGTTGAAACGTGGCATTTAGTTAAATTAGCAACTGTTCTTTCAGCTCTATTTCGAGTAAGCCAAGCCTGTCGAGTACTAATTCTCTTAAGTAACACAGCCTATATTCATGCGCAAAGATTCTTTTACGCGGATTTCAATTCTATCACTGTATATTTGCTCAAGGACTTAACACAAAGACAGACACGAAGTCATTAAGGAACATAAACTTATTAAGCATCGAAGTTGCCATGTACACAAATCAAAAATATATCATGGTTACAGTAAAATACATAAACAAATAATAAATCTAAGTTAATTAAAAGAAGTAGACGGAAGAATTATGTTTCAACTCATTCAATGTGGCTCTGTAGTTAATTATTTTATTCTTAATTAACATTCTAACTTATGTAAAGAAATTTAGCTCAACTTCAATGCGCCATTTTTCTGATAAAGATTAGCTGGCCCTGACGTCATTGGTCACATGAGTGAGTGTTGGTTGTCTTCTTCTTGGAGAGCAAGTACCCCATTGTAATTCTTATAACCTAAAGTCATGTGACTCTTAAAACAATAACATTATATTTAAATTGCTGGATGAAAAATATATTTTGGTTGTTCTTCAGATTTCTCTCTGTATCAGCATATCCCAGAAATAAAATTTTATCTGATATGATATTTGGCTGTAATTTTGTGTAAACATTTAGAAAAATGGATTTTTCACTCTTTTTTTTTTTAAATCATTGTTTAAAACATTAACTAATAATTAAGTGTTGCTCAGTATTCAGGAGCATCAATGATCATAAACAATCTGCATGTAATATGAATGAATGTAAACAATATGAAACTTCTTATTACAATTGATTCCATTTTATTCCATCAGTTCTGTTAAAATTTTGTTTATTCTTTTGTGTAATGAAATGTGTTCTGTAGATATCAAAATATATTTAAAAACAATTTTACGAGTTAATTACGAAAAATAAATTGAAAACAAGATTTTTTACAAATGGTGTGAGTGAATTACATTTGTCAGTGATGTAAAGAAATAGCTGTTATAGAGTAACTCATGACAGAGTTGAAAGTGAGTTATTATTATTTTATACATAAATAAAGAAAAGTACTACTACTCCATTCATTGACAATGTTAATTTAGTTTGCTAGGGGTCAACCCCAACTTGTTTAGCCTCCATATTATACTTTTTGCTAATTTTTATTAAATATTTTGTATTAACATAGTCATAGTAATTTTCTATGTGCAGATTTGTTTTCTTACGCTTAATAAAAAGCCTCAAATAATTTAAATATTTCAAAGTAATGGGAGCCTTTTCTATGCTATAATTTTGTAAATTTTAAAATATCACGTGATTTGTTTTAATAAAAACTAAGTGAATGGTCATCTCAAGAGAATTTTAATTAAAATTCCTGTTTTACATTTTATTCATGATAATGAATAATGTGCTCTCTTCATAATTGTAAAGTGCTTTGCCAAATTTCTCTTTCTCATTTAAAAAAAATATTACTAACCTACTTGAAATGTTATAGACCTGATTTTTTATTTATATTTTTCTATTCAAACAAATTTTATATTTTTATATTGAGATTAAATAAAGACATTTCAAGCTGCTTATTGCATGTAGTTTTTTTAGCTTGCCATTTATTAACNCCTACTTGAAATGTTATAGACCTGATTTTTTATTTATATTTTTATATTGAGATTAAATAAAGACATTTCAAGCTGCTTATTGCATGTAGTTTTTTTAGCTTGCCATTTATTAACCAAATGAGAACTTCTTTGTTTATTTTGTAGATATATCGGTCAATAGGCTGGAACTTTGCTAATAATCATATCAGTTTTACTGTTGGACGTTTATCGATTCAACAAAACCAACTTGAAAGTGCTTGCTCTGCTTATGAGCCTTTATTAGTATCAAACTGTTTACTCCCTGTTGCTGAACAATCAGGTTATCTTTGGGATTATCTATTTGTTCTTAAGGTAAGAATCCATTAGATCTATTTGGTTCCAAAAGACAATATTAGCAAAGTACCAATATTGCTGCCCTAAGTATTCTTACTAAATTTATCATAATTTATCTAAGTAATAAGTTTTAAAAACTATTAGCTACATTTGAAATTACTATTAGCTACAAGCTACATTTGAAAGTGAAATTAAATTTTTTTTGTAATGAAGTTTCTTAAAGGCAAGAAAGGTATAAAACTTGTTTAATTTTTGTTCAAGTTTTACTTAAAGAGCCTTGTTAGAATAAAGTTTTTAATTTTGATGTATGATTACTTGATATATTTTGTAAACAGTTGGATTATTTTTTTTTTTTAGAATTTGCTTTACTTTTATCCCTAAGGAATTTTGTTTTTCCAAAATTTCCTTTGTAATTATACGAAGTGTGACAATTAAATAACTGTACTGTGGATGCCAGTAGGCTTAATGTGGAAAAGTGGAAATAAATTGTAGTTAATCTAAATGCTTTCAGTGCAGGTGGCAAATTATTCTGTCCCTTGCGAGAAAATTATCCCCTATTAATTCTGTTTTTTAAAACTTGTTTGAGTAAGACAATGTTGTACCGCGAAAATGGCAGACTTTCCAAAGAAGGTGACACCTCACGGCTTGCATCACTGCTTTGAACAATGTATTGATAAGGAAAAAGAGTATGTTGAAGGGGAATGAAAGATATTTGTATAATGTTTTACATAAAGGTCATTTTTAAGACTAGTCTGGTTACTTAATTGTCACACCTCATGTATTTATATGTAGCGATAAACTCTTACACTTTCAGAAAGCAAATTGCAAATGTAAATTTTTGCTACTGCACAATTACAGGGTTTATAAGAGCTACATAAAGCTTAAACTCACTAATATTTAAATAAAGTAAGTTTTTTAACAAATTTTTTTTTATTAAAAAATTATCTTAAATTTTTTCTGTTCAAAGTTTTTGATTATATTATTAAATACTAAGAATATGAACAAAGTAAGAAGAAAAACAAACAATTATTCAGTTACCTAAAATACAGGGCAATTCCAATGTGACTGACCTTACATTTTTATGGATTTTTTTATTTACTTTGACTTTTTTTTCATTGATAAATGCTTAATAATTAACTTTAAAAAATTATATAGAATATTTTTAAATAGCCTAATATACATATTAGAAAAAAGGATTAAAATTATGAATGTTTTATTTCGTATAAAATTGTAAAATGTAACTGACGTTACCTAGAAAGGACATGGAATAGAATATATTTTTATTTTAAAATTCTCCTTCTATGAGCAATAATGCAATTATTTTTTTAAAATTTATTTTAGAGCACTTCATATTAACAGGGAACATTGAAAGTACGCATGCAATGACATATGGAAAGTGGCAAATATAGAAAAAGCTCTTGTGTTACTTTTTATGACTGATGTTGCAGATACAAACTGTATTAAAATTTTAATTTTTTTATAATTATTACAAAATACTTAAAAACTGCAATTTTTTTAAATCTAAATAGTTAATCAAACACTAAGAAATTTGTTAATGGTGAGCTGTTATTAAAGTTTATTTTTTGTTATTGTCCTTTGTAACATGAAATTGCCCTACACCTTCTTAATTGATCCTATGAGGGCAAATATAACTTTTTAGAAACTAGTCTTAAAAATCGATGGAAAATGTTTTTAATTGAAGTACAGTTAAACTTAAATGTACTTAAACAAAGTGTCTTTCTTTATTTTTATCTAAATTTATTTAAATTAAGATGAAAAAGATTTTTACAAGCATTTAATTAGAGCCGTGGTTTGTCAGAGAATGGAGCGTTCCCCTCCCTATCTGGGTCAAATCCCGGTAATGGCTGGTTGATTTGAACTCTGCACCCGGCTCGCTCCGACCACAGTGTTGACTTAAAATATCTTCCGTGATTGGCGGATCATTGGTTAAAGTCCCCTTGCCGTCAGGATAACCGTGTGATGGTTTCGTGGTTTACCTCTCCATGTAATGCAAACGCAGATTAGTTCCATCAAAAAGTCCTTCGCGAAGGCAAAATTCACCCAATACATGATCCACGAGTTCCTTTGTCTTTTGGATTGGGTTCAAAATTATAAGACTACGGAGTTGAACATTGTTAGTCAACCCAAAATTGGGTTGGCTGTTTTACGACAGTTATCAACATTTAATTAAGAATAAATTAATTCTTTTAGGGAGAAAGCAATTTATTCAAAACTTCATTATATTTCATTCATTAATTTTTAAAAATAATATATTTAATTTTAACATATTTTTTTTATATAGAAGCAGCAAATTATGTTAAACATGCAGTTTTCAATTAAAAAATTTTTTAATCTGGTAAAAACGATTATTTTTTTTCCCCTGTTTAAAAAAAATGGAAGACTAATTTATCATCTGTTATTATGTAAAATAATTTTAAATGATCTTTTTCTAAAAATTCATTTTGTTTTAATATTTTACTCTTGCTGTTTGAAAGGTATTCTTAATATTTAGTTGTATATTTTTAACTTTACCGTAAGTTTTTTTTCGATTATAAATCATCATTATGTCAGTTTTTGCAGTACCGTAATAATAGGAAAATGTTCATAATATGGAAGTTTAAAAAAATTTTATGGAAGAGGAGTAATAATGTTTCCCCTATTTACTCAAATAAAAATTGACTTTTAATGGACTTTTAAAAAAAAAAAATTTTTTTTTGTTAATTTTCTTTTATTAATTATGTTTATTATTATGCAGAGGTTCTTAGCCCAGAAACCAATCAAAGGTCTTCCTTCTCTACCTGTTCCTTTTGTACAATCTGAAGCTACAAAGGTTCTTTTAGCAGAGGATACAAATTTTGATGAAAGTATGAAATCATGATTTTCTTCACTTTTTTTAAAAATGAATAAATAAATACTTATATTGATTTGCTGTTTGATAATGTTAAAAAAAATGTAAGTACTAATTTTTATGAAGGGACAAAAGTAGTCTTTTTAAGAATTTTTGAAATGCCAATTCTCTGTTTTAAACATGACATAAGTTAGATTGAAGGATTTAGCCTAGCACCATTATTTTATTAACTGGTTATTTATTTATTTTTCTGCTGCTGGGTAGTTTACTGTCTAAATCACATTCTCCCCCCACCTCCCCCCCATTTTTTTTTTAACTGTTGCGTAGATGCCCATCCAAGTACTACCACACAATGTTTAAATTTTTAATGTTGGTGAAAAAATTCTTAATTTGCTTAGTTTTGCAAGCATTTGAAAACTTCATTGTCTGATTTGCAGATCTTATTCTTTGGTTTGAATTCAGTACATAAGGTGGTGGTCAAAATTATTGTAAATCAAATTTATTAAATAAAAAATATGTCCCGCAGTGGACTGATCGTTAAGACACGGTTCCCAGCAGATCACCGAAGTCAAGCATCACTGACTATGGTCAGTGTGCGGGTGGGAGACCACTTGGATCAGTCTGCGTAGGGACTGAGGGTGTGCGGTATAGGTCCTCGTTAAACTGTGCTACCGTAAAGTGCTCGACTTCGCGCGCAGGTCGTCGGGCTACCGAAGCGGATGTGCCGTCCCCTCCGCAGAGGATCAAAATTGTGATGGCATGTCTTCGGATCATCCTCCGGGATGTTTCCCAGACCGTTGCCAATAGCCCAATGTGCAGCTCTAGTGCGACGTAAATTAACAACAACAACAATAAAAAATATTGTAAAATTTACAAACACTTAAAAAAGTCTCTGATCTGAATGGGAGAAGTTGGCAAGCATGTTGTTTGATTTCTCTGTTATGCGTACTATGTGTAAATTAGTATACTACTGCAATAATAAAAGGGCACACATACCGAAATATTGTAAAATGGGCATTTTATTGCAACTTTTAGTAATTTATCTATAAAAGATTTATTAGCAAAACTGTACAGTACATAAAACCTAAGTTAAATTATGAAAACTCATAACATAAAAAAAAATGAACTATTGGTTTAATCTTCTAGTCAACTACTTTAAAAAATGGCAATTGAGATTCATGATTTCGATCTTTTTCTCAATATATTTTAAGTGCCATTTTACTAGTATCTTTTACGTTTGGAAAAGTACCTGTTACCAAATCATGAGAATTGGGGGTTATTTTCTGACCATTAATACTATCAGTTTAATTAATCCCCTTAAATTGTATGCAATAATATAAGTAAATAAATAATTACAGATAATGAATATTTAAATAATTTTCAATTACATCTACATCTGCCATTTATTTATATTATTGTGTACAAAAACCATGATAATAAAGCGTAGATGATCTGAAATAATTTAACTGTACATATTCCTTCTGTTATAAAAATTTTACTAACAGCAATAATTATATTTTAACAGCATAATTTTAACATGATTTAGTTATTTAGAATTTTCATCTAACTTTGTTTTACGGTATTTATTTAAATCATTTTATTCACATTTTTTTTTTTTGCATAATAAGTTGTTATAACATGCAAAACATTTGCGTAAATGCTTTTCTTTTCAGAAGGCCTACTTGAAGTGAGTGGTCGAGGTTTTGATCGGAGTGATATTAATAACAACATTTGGGAAAAGCTAGAAGAAATAGTTGTTAATCGAACATTAAATAATTCATTTTACTACAATCAGTTGCAGTGCTTCACTAGTAAAACTGATAATTCTCATAAGCCAAAAGCTGTAGTTGATGGTGAGTTATTTGGATACTTTAAAAAAAAAATGAATGCTAGTAATAAGCATATAATGCAAATTGATTCTATTTCTGTAATATTTTTTAAAAATTTATTTGGAACATTTAATTTTTATGCATTTAAATGATTGATAGAATTTGAAATTCTGTGTGATTAGTTGTTTCTACAAGGTGTCCTAAAATTTATTTTAAATCAAAAGGCTGAAAATAAACCTATGATATAATTTCAAAGGATGCATTCGATGATACCAAATTTTAGTTTCCGAACTTACCACTTGGAGTAGGGGGAGCTTTAAAATCTTTAGCGGTAAATCCTCTTTTTTTTTTACTGCAGATTTAAATTCTCTTGGTAGAATTACTACAATTTAACTAGCAGGTTTTTGCACTTTAGTTTATAGACGGCGCTGTTATTGCATATGAAAACATGGTGTAAATTGTCTAAAATTGAGTTATATTAAGAAATGCACATGAGAATGAAAAAAATTGTCTTGTATGGTATTTTGAGAAACCAAAGAACACCGAACTTGACCCCACCTCCGGAGATTCCCTCCAGTTAAGGGGTGAGGGTCAAATTTTATATCATGAAATACATCTTTTGAAAATATTTCATACCTGTATATTAATATTATTAATCTGGTGCGATTTTTCAAAATATTTGCCGGTTTTCATAGTCACTCTGTATAAGTTTATTTTATTTTGTATAACTTTTTATTCTCTGTGAAATATTTCACTTAATTTTAATTTTCATTGCACCACCTTAGTCTAATGCAGTTAAGTAATGTTTTTTATATGTATATTGTATTTTCTAAGTTTTTTCATTAAATGTTGCATTGAGAAAAATGAATTTGTATTTCTGAATAACATTCAAGGTTAAAAAGAAACTACTTTTACACTACTAAATAACTATTTTTTCTTGAAATAAAAAAGTCAATTTTTTTTTCTTTGTAAAATTTTATTGCTGTTCACTATTTTGTAAAGTCCAACTCCAGTACCTCCCAATATCTTTTTACTTCATTTGTAAAGTTATCCTATGTGAGTCAATATACCTAATTGTAACTTTTAATGTAATTGTTTTTAATGTTTTTCTAATTAATTTTATTTAGATTTTTTTTTGGTCATGATTGTTTCTATCATTACAGCTATTTTATAATAGTTGCAGAAATTTTCCTTGGGAACCAATACAATTCCTATTAATGACATAAACATTTCAAAATATATCTATATAGTTATCCCAACTGCTTATAAAGTGATGAGGCTTTCTTTATTAAAGTTCATTATAAATCAATTTAGATTTTTTTTAAAATGTCTTTCAAATTATGTTTTTTTTAAAAATTTATTTAGAAACAATAACAGTAGAGTTGGCAATAAAAAACCCGCTGTCTGTTTGTCTTACCATTGAAAATATTTATCTGTTATGGACATTTATTCCTCAGTCTAATAGTGATGAAGTAGGATCAGTTCTTCAAAATGAGCCAGGTCTCAACCAGGTAACATTTATCTTTTGATTATTATGTGCTTGTGTAATATTGTGTTATGTCAAGTAGTTAATGTTTAACTGAGCTATTTAACATTTTTAAAATAATTGTTTTGTTAAGTTATCTAATTTATAATTCTGTTTTGCTTTTAAGTATGTGAATTCTTTTTTTTTTATAAAACTAATTTTTATTTCAAAAAATTCTTAAATTATAAGTATTTGATATATTTATTTAATAGGGTCAGGTGAGGTAAAGTGGGTATATGTTAAAAAACATCTATTTTCTACTTTAAAATTGAGATAATGTTATTAATATTTTTAGATACCTTTACTGGGATTGCAGCAAGCATTTTTGTTTTAGTTTTAGAAATTGATAAAAAAATTTAATGTTAACAAACTATCTGTTTAAGATTAACTTATACAATATGTTAGTTTAAGCTGCTGATGAACTTTCTTCTAACATAATTAAAAACTGACAAAAACTATTAATTTTAGTTCAAACTGTTAGAGCAGTGTTTCCCAATCTTATGACTTTTGTGTACCCTTTCTAAATTTTTCATGACGCTGAGTACCACTAATAAAAAAGTGAATCAATTTTTTACTATAAAAAATTGCACAAAAGTTAAAAATCACAACTGGCTGTTGACAGCACTAATTATTAACTGTTAACTCTGCAAAAAAATAGCCAAAAGAAAAATACGTAATTGTAAATTTTCATGGCTAGCTTTGTTTTTAAATGAAATTTTTTGAAATTTTCATTTCTTGTAAGATATTTTGCATACGAATGCGTACCCCATCTAAACTGTTCCTGCACCCCTGGGGGTATGCGTACCACACTTTGGGAAACACTGTGTTAGAGGGACACCTGTAAAACACATCTACATAGAAATTTATGAATAAATTTAAAAATTCTATTTATTATAAATTATCTTCTAAGGTGGGGTAAAGTGGGTATATGATTAGGCTTATTTAATTGACTTATGATAAGGCTGTTTTTTTTTTTCTTCTGTGTTAGTTTTGGTAAGTATCTATTGCTCTATATTTTATAATGAAAAAGTTTAAAAAATTTACTTAATTGATTATAGCCCTTTATAGTAATTTTAACGCTGAAAATAAAATTTCTTTTAAATTTTATTTCTTAAGGAGAAGAATGATATGGAGAAATAACAATATAATAGACATTATGAGCTAAAAAAGTAGCATACTTAAAGATATAGATGAGCTTTCATGCAAGTTTCCACTTTCATATGACAGTTTTTTTCATGGAAAACAAGATAATTTCATTAAAATAACTAAATTAAATAAAAATACATGCCTGCTATAAATACTAAAAACACCTTAAATTATCACTAAATATATTAATTTTTGCATTAATTTATATTTCATGTAAATAAAAAACTATAATAGTTTTTTTTTTCCTTTTTTTTCTTTCTTTTTGATGAAGTTGTGTAGAATTCAGCAAAATGTACTGCTTCCGAAGTGAAACCTAATTTTGACAATCCTGAACACTAACTTTTTAATTTAATAATACCAAAAAATATTTCTTATCATTTATTTTTTTAAATATAATAATGATATGTTTATTTAAAAACATTTTTATTTCTAAAACAATATTTACTATGTTTTTAATGAAATATATACTAATTTTTAGACTATATCCACTTTACCCCGAAGTAAAGTGAGTATATCAAAACAGAATGCATTACTGTAAAAAAAAAATAAATCAAAATAGATAAGCTATGTTTCATATTTAATCTATATGAATTCAATGTGCATAAAATGCATCAAAGTTTTGGTAAAATATATTCAATAATTTGGTTTTAAGAGCCTTTTTTTTTAATGAAAGCTTGATTTTTATAACACTTTACTCCACCTGTAACCCTACCTATTACATTTGTTAAAAAAATTATAAACCATAGTTACATTTATTCATGAAATAAAATTACTTTCTAGTTCGTCTTTCATTTTTTTCAACTTGGATGAATAGTTAAGAATTTTGATACTTCTGTTATTTTGAAATTTTAATATTTTATTTAATCGAGTAGTTATAATTGAAAATAAATTCAGTACGAAATTTTACATACAATAATTGCAACAATACTTGTAATTGGGATCAATTCTTCAAGCAATATACAATGTGAAATATTTCCTCATTCTTTCTTATTCTGCTCATATAATAATAATTGTTAAATGTTAGCAATGATTTTACTTTTTGTTTCGATACACAATTTATTACATATTTCAGTTTCAATTTTTTAAACAAAAATAAATATATTTATTTCTAAACTAAATTTCATTAGTTTCGTGACACCCGAAATACTGAGATTTCTTGATATTGACTTTCTTTTTCGTATTACATTTACATTAATTCACATTACATTACATACATTCATAAATTCATTTATTTGCTGATACTAAGACTCTATTTAGACTGCTTTTCCATTTTATATCATGTTTTAATTATAACTTATTTTACCTTTATTTGTAAATGTAATATTGATTATTTATATTTCAATTAGTAATATATATTTTCTTTTCATCCCCATTTTAGCCTGATATACTTAATGCAGTTGCTGAAACTGTAATTTTACCAAAAGCTGTAATTGAACCATACCAAGTAAAAAAGGTATTTTTTGAAATCTTTTATTTATAAAATTTCATTTTACTACACAAATATTAATAACTATTCATAAAATATAAATGATTAATATAATTGATGAAATAAAATATATCATGAAGCATAAAATATACATTAGAAAGTTTTTGTGTTCAATTTGAATTAACTTTTATTTTTAAAAAATAATGTAATATTTTTAAAATAATTCTGCTGAAAGAGTGAGCATCAGAGTAAGCACTCTGCAATGGTCATTCGTCTTCTTACAATGGATGAACAAGAAATATTAATCATATTGAAATTACTTAATGTTTGTAATATGACTAGATTAATATAACAACTATGGAAAGAACTGTACAACTATAGAAGAGTCTGTATGAAAATGTTTGGCAATAACATAGCAAAATATTTTTTTTAATGTTATTATAGCTTTAAATGCATGATCTAATAATGAAATATTATTGTATTTTTAACTTCGATTTCTTTTGTCGTATATTTTTAAAAGTCCTATATTATCATAGGTATATTTGCCCGGAATGACCAAGTCATCAATAATGGGGGGGGGGATGAGATAATAGGCGTTTAGTCATTTAAGCATCTGTTTCATTTTTGGGAAAAAATTCCTAGTTAATCCCTACGTTTCCAAAACTATATATATTGATGGTTTTTTTTTCTTCAGAAAAGCATAACAGACATTTGAATTACTTAAGAGCATTGTACATTTTCTATTTTCACTAGTTTTGACTTGGATACTTTGAATAGTATACCCACCGTATATATTTGTGATCTTCACCCTTTGTGTATATTAAATTTGATTGTTATGTCTGATATTATTACAGCAATGTAAGCAAACTGTATTATTTTAAATATTTTGTGTAGTATATATTTATAATATACTTTTAGATTCATCTTGTATTGTTACCTAAACAGACAGGAGAAATATCCATAACAGGCATTACATATAACTTAGTAGCTTCAACGCTGGACAAAGATTTAAATGGAGGTAATACTGAGGAGGAAAAAACTTCTGTTCTTTCCATTAGAGGTAAACAGCTTTTTACAACCAGAGGGCCAAGATTGAACAAAACATCCCAGCAGCGAGCCACCAAGGTTTATGCCGAAGATAATAGATTAAGTATTAGCATATTGGAACCTTTGGCGAAATTGCAAGTAAGTCAATTACTTTATCGGTATAATTAATTTTCTGTCACATTTAATCTGCAAAACTAATGTTCATAATGTTTGTTCTTTAAAAAAAATAATTAAATTAATTAAATTTAAAGTACTTGAGCTTAGGACTGCTTCTTTAGATGATTTATTTTATAATAAAAGAAAGCAATACATCAAAAAGCATGGCATAAACAAAGTTTGTAGTATTGTAAACTACTTTCCTAGCTTTTTATTAGCAGATAGGAATAATTTTATACTCTTAAACTATTTTAATTTTATATTTCCACTTCTATGAGTTTAATAATATGAAATTTGTAAATATATTTAATGAAATTTTTGTATACAAATTATTAATAATGATCTTTTTTTTATTGCCGTTCAGACTTAAAATATTTTTGTTGTTCATCAAAGATATGTAAATGCCCCACTTATTAAACGAAACTACTGATTGATTGTAATTGGAAACTTACAAGCACCCAAATATGTTTTAGTTTTTAGTAAATAAGAGTGTTTCTTCAAACAGAATTCCAACAAAATATTAAAAATAAAAATTATGTTGAACAGGTAAGCTAAAAAATGTGGTGACAACATTTGGCTTTGTAAAAATTAACAACGAATTTTTGGGTTGCTTAAAAATAGATTATCGTGGAATACATTTGATGATATATTATTCTTTCATTATTAAGAACTATAGGTAAAGCTTACAAAATTTTAAAATTATTAACTGATCTTGTGAAGTCTAAATTAAGAATTTAATTGCTCTTGTAGGTGAAGTTTCAGTCTTTCCCGTATAGTTTCTTCTGCGGTGAAGTGAAAAAAGTAATAGCAAAACTTACTAATGTCGGAAAACATAAATTAAAGCGAGTGATAGTTGCCTCTCCTACTCCTGGCCTGTTTGCGATTGGAATTCCTGGTGACATAAATAATCCAAATGCCATTTTGAAAGAAATAACTTCTTCAAGGCAGCCTTCTCCTGTGATGTCAAAGTGGGAACCAGATTGGATGATAGAAATCCTCATGCCTGATGGAGAACCATGTGCATTAGATCCAGGCACCTCCATAGAAATACCAGTCTGGTTTAAAGGACCAGAAGCACCAGGAGATCATGATTTAGATCTTCTGTTTTATTATGAAAGTGAACCACCCCAGCACAAACTTAGGTAAGTTAATTTTTACATTTCCGTAGTTCTGTTTTTTTTTTTTTTTCCATCTGTGAAACCCTGGATGGTTTCCTTTTTTGGTAGGATCCCAACTTTATGAACTTCATTATTAATTAAAAACCAATTGCCAAATATAACAGCTGCTCAAATTTCTCTGAAACAAAATTTCTACTCCAGCCTGTTCAAAAATGCCAATTTTTCCCCAAATTACTTCAAACTGCTCCAAAACTCTATTAATATTTATTGAGCAAAAAGTGTAACTTTGGCGTCAAATTTGTGGGGGAAAAATTTATTTTGTTGCTCCGAAGCAGCAAGCAATTTTCATTTTTCACCTATATATCAATTTATGTGTTTAGTCCGTTGTTTTTTTCCCCCATTTAATAGATCCGTGTCAAGAAGTTATTAATAAAATAACAAAACAAAAAAAAATTTCTAGTGATTCCACTTAAGTGTTATAATTTTTTAAATATGCTAAAAATCGCAGAGGGAAAATGAAAAATAAGTTATGACATATGAACAAAAATCTCTATAATATAAATCTTTTTCCTATTTTTTAAAAAATATTTTTCTATCATATCAAGTTACATTGTTGCTTTTATTTGATGCAGGCGTTGGTCATTTGATCTGTCCTCATTAAAAGCCTCATTTGTCTCAAACTTTTCTTGTTTTGAAGTTTTTTGTTTCTTTCTATCAATAGAGAGAAGAGTTTGGAATGTGCATATTTTTCAATCATTAAAAACAGTGTGCTAGAAAGTGCTTTAAAGTTATTTTAAGTTAAAAGTGCTTAAAGTTGCTTTTTACTTTGGGTTTTTTCTAAAAAGTGCTAATATGATAATTAACTTTACAAAACATCATGCTCAGAAAGGTTTTGGTTTCAAAAATTATTTCATGGTGTGTGGTTATTTTCTAACTAGCAAATAATTATGCTGTGCCTTTGTATCACACATTCTATCAACCTCAATTTGTATTGAAATTGGTAATAGAGATGTATCAGTGTAGATTTGTATGTTTACCTGTGCTTTTTAAGAACAAAGCAACAATCAGACATAAATAATTTTTTAAGCGCTTTGAACATACTTATAAAAGATTTTATTATTATACAATAATTTATGACTTAACGGAATTCAAAATTTTTGAGTTATTTGCTTCATTACAAAGCTAATTTGTAAGTAGAATATCTAAGCAGAAAAGTATAAAAAATTATTTCGTTATATCTTTGGTTTTGAAATACTGAACGAAATTTAGATTTTTGACCTACCTAGATTCTTAAAATTTTTTTTGAACTTTTCGTAATCTTATACTTTACCTTTTTTCGTTATAAAATAGGTATCGACTTTTGCAATTTTCGTGCGTTATTGTTACACATCCGTCTGTAGATACTTATTCTACTGCTATGAGGAGTTTCTGCTCTAAAGATCTTGCTATCAACTTCCATCCAGCTGCTATTCCAACTAGCTTGATACTAACTATGTCTGTGAAAAATTGCAGTGAGGTAAGTTAATAAGTTTATTAATTGCTAATCACAGAAACACACATTTTGTCCAAGAAATTAGTAATAGTGTTCTTTAAAATTACAGCATATTTCATTGGTTTTGTTTAAAAATGTGTGCTTTATTTGTTTTGTTAAATTATGCCTTTCACCTCTATTACTATATAGTTTAAAATTTAAGTGAAAATTAAGAAGTGAGTTTAGACAAACCTAGAGTAAGCCATGAAGTTTCAAATACTGAAAAGAAATTTTTAAAATATCAAAATGAAAATTAATTATGAGAAGACAATGTGGCATAACTGCCATAACAATTATTAAACATCAATTCACTAGTATATAAAACGTGTTAACTCGACTCTATCTCGAGGTACCTTTTGATAGATGAAAGTCGACATTGTTGATTTCTACTCTCCCTACGTTGGTGACACGTGGACGTGATATAATCACGCCAACTTCGATGGATGGTCCTCATTGAACAATCGACTTGCTATTTGTGATGGCTTCGTTGTCCTTTTATCGCTGTTGCTTCTCAGTCTCAGTTGCACACAACAGAATCCTGCAACACTGGAGAGACCACACACGCATCCGTGAACTTAGTACAGCTCTCACGGCAAACGCTCAAAACTTGGTGAACTTAATTCGGTTCTCACCTCAAGTGTTTAAAATCTGATGAACTCGATACAGCTCTCCCGGTCTTTTGCAAATACGGCAACTAGTGGTATCCGTTCATCGAATTCTACCCCTGATAATATTCTGGTGAATAGTATTGTGGCATAACAACCATTATGATTATTGAACATCAATTCACTGGTAGATAAGACATGCTAACTCAATTCAATCTTGGGGTACCTGTTGGTAAATAAAGGTGGATATAATGCAAACTTACATACCCCGCAATATCTTAAGATTACAGAAAGGAGAAGTTATTTTTCAATAATTTGGAGGCATTTTGATATTTTAAAATTGTTTTTCAAGCATTCAATAATTTGGTGGCATTTTGATTTTTTGAAATTGTTTTTCAAGCAATTGAAACTTCATCGCTTACTCTGGGTTTGCCTAAACTCACTTTTTCTCTCTTTTAAATTAGTAATGGAGGTAAAAGGGAATTTGCGACGAAAAGTTCTCTCGTGGTGTGGCGTCCTCTTAAATTATTTCATACCCCCCTCAAAAAATCATACTTATAATAGTGTGCATTTTGATTGCAATTTATTCTGCATATTCTTTTAATAAAATTGTTGCATATCACGTCTGTTGTCTCTGTTTACATTTCATGCCTGTTTGCATGTCATATATGTTGTCTCTATTTACATATATTTATTTATCATCAGAAGTAAGATTATTTATTAAAAGTCGTCTTGAAATTCATAGCAATTTTGATATAATTCCCTTCAGGATGCAATTTGTATTCTTTCTACTGTTATAATACAATTTTATATATACATGAATAAAATAGCATGTAAAATATTTTTTTCACATTTTTAAAAATCATGAGAATTTGTCTTAGATTTTGAATAATGAAAATGTATTGAGAAGTTCTAACAGTTTGTGTTCAAAAATAGAAACTTTCATTTGTAAACAGAATTTTGACTTTAAAGAATCTATTTTAAAATTTATATAATATATATTTTGTTTTAATAGGAATTAGATCAAGTTAGTTTGATTCAAATATCTTGCATTAGTAAAAACTGGTGTCTTTTACCTTCTGAGGAAACTTGTAGAAGAAGTAAGTGCTGGTTTTTAATCATTATTTTGTATCACTATAAATGCTTACCTAACAGATTAAATATGTTGATAATTCCAAATAAAAATGAAATCGATATAGTAGGTTATCTGAACGTGTGTACGGTGCACGAAATAAAAAATGGACTGTCCTAAATAACTTTTGATCTAATGATGTTCTAGGACACAATCTTAATGGTTCGAAGGGTTGACCTCAAATATGTTAAATAATTATTGCAGATAATATTTTAAATTATGAAATCAGACACAAAAATAACTATCTAGAAAAATAAATTATGTAATTTGAAACTTGTACCATTAATAACTAAGAAAAAGGTTTATTATTTATCACATGTTTATTATTTATCATATCAATCAATGGTCTCTACGTACAAAAAGTGAAGTTATCATTAAGGATTTCATACTTTTGACTGCTCTCCTATCTAAACTGTTAAGACCTTATTTTTTGAGATTTTCACTATGTTTTGAGGAATCGAGAATTCAACTCCATTAACAAAAAGGGTATGTTTAATCAGAGAAAGTATATTTTCTGTCAAATTTTGTATAAAACTTATTAGGCTTGCATGTTTAAAAGTTAAACCCTCGAGTCTTTAAGATGACATTTTTGCTCTCTGTACATAAACATTTGTATTGGAGTATGAGAAAATAATCATTTACTTTTGTCGTATTTCTAATTTTTTTATTTTTTACAGATCTGTCTGTGATACATTCTGAAGAGTCTTTGATGTTGAGCTTGAAAGCAATTGGGTTTGATCCCAAAACAACAGGTACATACTCATTCTTAATTTAAAAAAATTTTCATCTTAAATGCAGATTTCGCAACTCTAAGTGTCTCCTTTTTTCTAGTTTCTAGTCAAAGGATTAAAGTTTTTTCACATATTTCACTGGGAAGAGTAGAGGTAAATGTTTTTTGGAATTATAAAATTTTTACCAAATAATATATGTAATTTCAGTTATTGTACATACATTAATATTGCATTGTACATATATCATTCTAGCTGCCCACTGTTCTGATTAAATCGTATTTGGTCCAAATTTTAGCCTTGTCCGGAAAATACAATTTTAGGTCAAAATTTTCTGATTTTTGGTGTTCCATCATCTTTTCACTCCTTATACTGATTTTCTTGAAACTAGAAGAAACTGCAAATAGATTGAAACTGGAAGCAAGGCATATGACTTTTTCCTCGAATATCGTACAAGTCCGTTTATCTGGTTTGAGATAAGGGGAACATTCGCAGAATATCAATCATTGATTTTTGTATTTTCCCGATTTGAAAGTTATACGTTGCTATTCCTATTCACACGATATAAAGATCGTACAACGTGATTCCTATTCACTCAATTTAAAAATCTAATATCAAGATTCGTATTTGCATGTTTTTAGAACCCAATATCACAATCCGTATTCACTCGAGTTTAAAATCCAATGTCGTGATTTGTTTTCACACCTTTTAAAATCCAATATTGCAATTCTTATTCACACAGTTGTAATATCAAACATTGATTTTCGTTTTTATCAGGGTTCGTACAAACTCCTTAGAAACTCCTTGGAAATAAAAAAGTCTCCAAGGAGTACTTGGAACTACTTAGATTTCTAAATTAGTCCTTAGAAACTCCTTAGATTATTGCGTTGAATCGATGAATTTACTAAGTCCACTGATAAATTTGTTGTCCAAGCAGGAAAACGAAATGATATGCAAGCTGTCAAAATCTAACAGTTTAAGAAAAACTTTAAAAGAAAAAGAAAAAAAAATTGAATTGCAAGAGTTAGAAGAAAGTTAATACCAAATAATTTTAATTTTACATGTTACAAGCAAACTTAATGAATGATTTACTGAGATTTTTTTTTGTAAAATGTCTTAGATTTTTTTATATATTCAAATATAAAAATATAAGATTGGTAGGTTTTTATGTTAATCTTTAACCCCGTGGCAGAATTTGTGGCGACATTGTTGCAGAACGTTACCTAGTTCTTGCAGAAACATTTTTCTTTTGGGAAGTAAAAGCTTTTCTTTTTTTTGCAGAAATTTTCAAAAGATTTTATCTTTTCTTCAGAATTATATTCAAAAGATGCCTTTCTCGTGCATCCGAGTAGAAAAAAATGCTTTTTCTATTCTCGTTTGAGAACAATGAAAAGTAAAGATAAATGAAGTAAAAAATTTGGTTTTCTTTTCTGCAGAGGATTTCGTTTTAATTTTTTTAATGCAGCTATTACCATTTCCACATAGTTTTAAAATCCGATATTTTTAATACATTATTTATTACAACAACTGAATCTCGAAATGAAAACGTGCATCTAGTAACCCTTTTTTGAGAACTCCTATTTACTGCTACAGATTTCATGATTTTTTAATTTTTTAAATATCAGATAATGATTTACAAAATGCAAAAAAGGAAGTAATTAGTTTGTTTTCCTACTACGAAATGCGAGAATATAGCCCATAATATAGAATAAAAAAAATGTTACATATTTACTTAAAAAATTCTTTATTTGATACAAAAGGTTTCTTTCTTCTTTTTTTTTTGAAGTTGATGCTTTTGTTACTTTAATTTAGTAACACGTATATTTGTTATTTTTTAAAATACCTTGCAGAAAAATATTAGTAATAGAGAGGTAAGTCGCAGAAAGCCCAAAAAAATTCTATCACAGGGATCTTTAACATCTGTACTATGTACTTTAACAAGATTTATTAAAATATTTGCTACTGGAAAATGCATTTATGTGTGAAAGTGATAACTTTCACACATAAGATTCCTGAAGATAAGATTTTCGGCATCTTTACACGCCTGCCTGCGTTTACGGCAATCGGAAATTAAACGAAAATAATAAAAAAAGATATAGCAAACAAAAGCAATCACTTAAAAAGTGAATCAGTTTTTTAAATTTTTTTTTGGGAAAAGAATTAACTCAGTACCAAAATCCAAAATTTAAAAAAGTTACTGTTATTTACGCTATAAAATGCAAAACTTATTAAATGAAAAATAATTATCTAAACAGTTGCTGATTATCATGTAATTTTTCAAACTAAAATATGAGTTTTTGTATGTTAAGGAGTTACTATATATTTCTACTTCACAGTTATTGATATGTTTCACAGTGCTCTAGTTAAATTAGATTATAATATAAACATAGGGATTCCAATTGTAAAAGTTTATTTTCTTTTTTAAATAATTTAAAAAGTCATGTTACTGATATATTTGCTATAAATAACGTAACAGTATTAATTAAAAGAAATGGAATATTTATGTATGTTCTCAGTAGAGTTTTAATTTGCTAAACCAGGCAGTTTCTCAAATAATAATTGTCTCTAATGTGAACTGATGATATAATTTTCTAGCTTTATTTTTTCAATTGGCAATTTTACTTTTTACTAAATGTTAAGTATCGATGTAATCATTCATATGCCATATTAGTACACAATTTTATGTCAACACTTTGCTATTTATTATCTTAAATTGTCTGTAAATTTATTATTAAATGATTGCACGTGCGTAAAATTTACTCTCGTGGAAATTCAGCTTTTTTGCCCTTTGACCAATCTCATCCCTGAGTAACTGCTTTTTTAATTTTTTATAAAAAAAACTCTAGTTATCTTTTACTTAAACTTTTGATAAGTCCGTAAAATTTTGGACTCCTTGGATACTCATTGGATTTCTTCCTCTGACCTCTCTTTATGAACCCTGTATGATTTATATACTATGCATTGCGATGCCTATTCAGGCTATCTAAAAATTCTTCATCGTGAGTCATATTTACCCGAATTAAAACCTTAACATCACTATTCGTATTTTTACATTTTTAAAATCCAATATCGTGAGTCACATTCACATAATTGTAAAAATACAATAACGGTGATTCATATTCATGTAAAATAAATGAGGTAGCTAATAAGTTTTTTTTTACCAAATAATGTTTTTTTCCACCTTGCAAAGTGATACTAGTCTAATTCTGCTATCATATCCAGGAGACGGCATATGAATTCAACTGAGATTTTTGTTTTCCTTTAACTTTTACAGAAAAAACATGTTAATTTGTGCCTCAAAATGATTGGTGAACCTCAGTACTTACAGGCGAATAGCATGTAAAAGAAAAAACTTTTCTTTTTACTGAAAAAAACTCTTACTTGCTACTAAAATATGTTGATATGTTTTGAGAGAGATTCTAAATGTATACTAAAATAGAAAGTTTAAAATAAATTTTTAAATTAAAAATTTCTCTCCAATCAAAATTTTTAGTATGAAACATATTTTATTTCCTTAGATAAGATATGGTCAATATTTAATGGCTACTTTTTTCCTTTATGCAGTTGTTTAATTGTTATTGCCAAAATATAGTAGGAAAACTCAGTGAACATTTTGTATGGTTATTTTCAGTTTAGAAATTTCTTAAAAAAAGTTTTATCCATTTTTTTGTTGTTGCTCCATTTATCTTTTTTTTAATGCTCCGATACTTATTTTGTGTACTGCTGATAGCTTGAAAATCTAGTCAAAGTTTTTGTTTTGCGATAAAAAAAATAAAAAAATAGTGTGGTCTTTAGTTTCTAATTTTAAACTTTTTCTTTAGGTTGATAATAGTTCCACACCATGGCTAGATTTCAGCCAGAAGTCTGGTTTAGATCTTGGTACTATTATTGCTTCAGAGGTTGATACTAAAGCTGTTCTTTTTCCAAAAGATATTTATAAACTTGAAATTGAACAAGATATCATCATTTTACTTGTTATTATTTGGAAGGTAAATGTAAATTTCAATATTTTGTGCATGCAGTTAACAGTATACTAAATAATGTTACGAGCCATTTGGGAATTTTTAACTGCTTTGTGATTGCAGTTACAAAAGAGGTTAGTCACTTAATTATGTGATATAACTTACACTCATAAGGACTGATTAAAAAATGTATAATTAAAACAAATTACAATTCTTTTTAAATAAAAATTATTTTTTTAAAATTTGAAAAAAAAAATTTTTTTTTTTAATAAGTGTTAACCAATAATATCATTACATTGATTAAATTATTAGGAGGTAGCACACCTATGGTGAGAGAGTAATATGAAATAAACTGCTTAGATAATAAATGCATACACAAGACTTGATTTTTAAAAACAGAGATTTAGGAAGTATATATAGAGTGAAATGAATAACTTTAAGAAACTGAAGTATAAATGTATACTTGATAACAGAAAATCTTTATCAGATTTAAAAACTATTAAGGTGGAAAAAATTTATATGTTTTCAAAAAAACATGTTCCATTCTGTGTTATTAGGTGGGTTTTGGATTTTTTCCCCTCTGCATATCTAACTTACAATGAAATTTGTATGAATTATTTTATTTCCTAAATTTTATGAAACTAACTATTAAACTTGATATCAAAGATTTCTTCAATAAGTTTTTATAGAAAAACCTTTTTTTTTGCTGTTCACAGTGTTACTTGTAATAAATTACCAAAATCTGTCACAAAATTAATAAATTGCCAAAAGCATTTTAAATTGATTAGAGTTACTGAAGAAAAAATAGCATATTTCTCTTCAAAATTTATTAGAAAAATGTAAAGCATTTTCTATGACACTTCTTATCTGTCTCATCAGATAAATCCATGATAAAATACATCTATACTTTATACCACATCATACTTTGATATTAACACAAATGGTTTTTTAGATTCATGTCCTCAATTAGTTATTTTTTAATAAGTTGTGTGATTATACTTTTACCTTTTAACATGCCTTTAATTGCTAGGTAATGCTTTACACAGATACTGTTACCTTATTATTTATTTTTATCTTTTGAAAATGTTGAGTAACTCAATCAATAGAAAAAGTTAGGCCATTTATTTAATGAAAATTTAAATTTTTGAAATTAAAAACAATTAATATTAATTTTTTAAAGAAACAATGTGATAAAATTAACATTTATTTAATAATATAGTTTCAAAAAATATATGCTTTGAAATTGATGTTGAATAATTTTAGTTGTTATGAACTTGAGCAAAAATGAAAATAAGCCTTTAAATTATTCAAAACAGATAGTATTTATTGTTTTTTGAAGGCAAAAATTATTAAAGATGGAAAAGAAGAAGTGATAATAGGATTACAACATGTTCCTATTTATAATCTTGCACCTTCTACAGTGGAATTGAAAGCAACTTCAGAGGTAAAGCAAAATTCTGTTTTTTCAACTCATGGGTTATTTTCATAATATTTTATAATGTATCACATTTAATGTTTTTTAGCATAATTTTGGATATCTCTATTAAATCTTTTGTAACTGACTCTCAGGCTGTTATAAGCTGATTAAGTAAATATTAATAAAAAATGCTTAAAGCTGAGTGTCACTCTTCCGTGGTGAGAAGAAAAAGAAGAAGAAAAAAAACAGTTGAAGGAATTTCGTCCTCCAATTTTTAATTATCCATTTCAAAACAAAAATTGTTTTGTTTGTATAGATATGTAACATAAAAAGCTTCAATTAATCTTTTTATGTTATTTCTTTTCTGTAAAACCTTTCCTTAATTTATTATTCAAATCGAAACACTTTCTCACACTTTTAAATTCACATCCTGTTTTAAATCTATTTTTGGCTCAAGCATGCATTAATTAAAAGTAAGACATTTTCCCCTTTACTCTTTGTGGGAATCGTGTGACCTATTTAATAAAGCAATTAGAATTACTAAGATTTCCCTTCTTCCCTAAATCGAAGCATTTTACGGATTTTCTTTGCAGGATTTTCCCTAACATTTCGGCTGAAGCGCGATGAAATTGTGGCTTTTTCTCTCTAGTCATTCATCTGAAAATGATTAAATAAAATTAAATTGCTCATTTTTGAAATCCTGCTCGGCCGACCCTGTTTTCCTGCTTGGCTGACTGCCTTCATTACATATATATATATGTTTAATAATGTATATATTATATATACCAATATATATAGAGAGAGAGCACAATAAGGAAAAAACTAAGAAAATTTCCAGGATTTCACAATTAATTTACTGTGCATAAGCTGCAAGTATATAGAACTCATAAAATAAGTTCAGAGAAAACATGGAAAAAATTACAGAATAATGAGAAAAAAAGAAAATTATTTTTAAAAAAAAATTCGAAAAATATATTATTTTTAAATAATTTTCTTTTTTGATTATTGTAATTTTTTCCATGTTTTCTTTGTTTACGATAATTGGATAGATTTCTGTTCTCATGAAAAACAGAGTGTTGCCAAAAAGAGTGAGTTGTGAAAGAACATGATTGAGTTATGACTGCAGACCTAACGAGGACACAGTGGTAATCGGACAAAACCACGGATTGGCCATTTTTTTTTTGCGTTTTTCAGGAGATTTTTGGCTGCATCTCCTGCTGTGCAAAATCAAGCCAGAAATTTCTGTAAATCTGGGAAGAAAATTATTAAATTATCAATGTTATCATATAAGAAAGTTTTGTTATACCTGCTAATTTAGTATAATAAATCTAAGTATCTAGTATAATAAATCTAAGTTTAAACAAAAGACATAGACAAGAAAGAGTTGTATTTCAGCAAATTCAATGCTGGATACCACCATGGGTGCAAGTCTTCCGTCCCCAGGACGGATTTCCGTCTTTCGAAAATGTCCGCGGGCGGAAGTAAGACGGAAACAAGACTGACTCAAAGACGGAAATTTTTTTTCCTGTCCTTAAAAATATTTTTTAGGTCTACGTTATTGGTCTACTATCTTATGTCCTGTTGTTATTTTATCAAAAGACAGAGGAATAAATATTTTTTGTACAGTACTTAAACTTGATGTATTATGGTAAAGCTTTCTTAGATAGTTTGCATATGTCGAGGGGGTATTGTGTATGTTAGGTATTTCAGTCAAAAAATTTTCAGTCTTGGCCTTTTTTCCTACTTGCACCCATGGATACCACCCTGTATTTAATTTATTTCACGTTAATTAACATTCTAACTTATGTGGAGAAACTTTACTCAAATTTCACTCATCATTTTGCTTATAAAGAAGGCTCAGCTAGTGCTCACAACATAGGTCTCGTGTGAGTGTCAGTTATCTTCTTCTTGAAGTACCCAATTGTGAGTGTGTATTTTTTTTAAAGGAAAATTAAACTATAAAAAGTGTTGCACAATCAAAAAAAATTTCAGTCTTGCAATTTTTTAAGAAGTAATTATAAAAACATCAGCTCATTTCCTTTTGAATAATTTTCATACCAAATAANTATAAAAATATAAAAAATTTATAAAGTATTATATTCCTCCTCATTGACATATTTTGTTAATTTTGAACCTCTTCCTAAATTTTAATAAATCAAAAGATGTTTTAATTTAATTCTATAGAGCCTTATATTTTATAGTAAGAACACATATCTTTATTAGTCAGTGTCAGAATCTTATTGTGGTCTATTTTATGTAATGTAAATAATATATTTTGAAATAAACTTCTTGTAGGAAGTGTGAATCAGGTTTAATTTTCAATCTTGCGCTATGTCGTGATACAGAAAGGGTCTCCTGCTTTTTTATTTTCTAAGGTTGGCAGGTCTGAACTTTTTNCCCCCCCCCCTACCGCTTCATTGTTGGAGTAAAGTTGCGGTTTTGTGCTCTTACATTTAAATTTTTATTTTAAGCGAAATTTTTTTCTGAGGAACTGGATGTAAGAGTCCGGATTTTAGAGATTTCCTGATTTCAGAACTCCGGATTTTTGAAACCGTACTGTATAAAGATATAATTGATAACAGAAAAACTTTATCAGATTTAAAAACTATTAAGGTGGTAAAAGTTAATATGTTTTCAAAAAAACATGTTCCATTCCATGTTTTTAGGTGGGTCTTGGACTTTTTCCCTTCTACATACCCTCCAACTTACAATGGAATTTGTATGAATTATTTTATTTCCTGAACTTTATGAAACTAACTATCAAACATGATATCAAAGATTTCTTCAATAAGTTTTTATAGAAATGCCTTTTTTTTTTGCTGTTCACTGTGTTGCTATTAATAATGTACCAAAACCTGTCACAAAATTTATAAACTGCCAAAAGCATTTTAAATTGATTAGAGTTAGTGAAGAAAAAATGGCATGTTTCTCTTCAAAATTTATTAGAAAAATGTAAAGTGTTTTCTATGACACTTCTTATCTGTCTCTTCAGGTAAAATACTTTACACCACATCATACTTACAACACACATGGTTTTTTAGCTTCATGTCCTCAATCCGTTACTTTTTAATAAGTTGTGTGATTGTACTTTTAACATGCTTTAATTGCTAGGTAAAGGTTTACACGGATACTGTTACCTTTATTTATTTTTTGAAAATGTTGAATAACTTAGTCCCTAAATACTTATCTTTTATTAAATAAAATTTAAAAAAATGTGAATTGTTAATCCGGTGTGAATATAAAAAAAGTTAGGCCATTTATTTAATAAAAAATTTAAATTTTTGAATTTAAAAACAATTGATACTAATTTTTTAAAGAAACAATGCGATAAAATTAACATTTATTTGATAATATAGTTTCAAAAAATATATGCTTTGAAATTGATGTCAAATAATTTTAGTTGTTATAAACTGGAGAAAAATGAAAATAAGCCTTTAAATTATTGTTTTTTGAAGGCAAAAATTATTAAAGATGGAAAAGAAGAAGTGATAATAGGATTACAACATGTTCCTATTTATAATCTTGCACCTTCTACAGTGGAATTGAAAGCAACTTCAGAGGTAAAGCAAAATTCTGTTTTCTCAACTCGTGGGTTATTTTCATAATATTTTATAATGTATCGCATTTAATGTTTTTAAGCGTAATTTTGAGACATCTCTTTAAATCTTTTGTAACTGACTCTCAGCTGTTTTAAGCTGATTTACTGAATATGAATCAAAAATGCTTAACGCTGCATGTCATTCTTCCGCCGTGGGAAAAAAAGAAAAATAACAGTTGAAGGAATTTCATCATCCAATTATTAATGATCAGTTTCAAAACAAAAATTGTTTTGTTTGTATATACATAGTGCTCCTTCTCGTGTTTTCTCATAAACTATTGAGCCGTGGTCTTTAATTTATCATAATATTGCATTCCATAATATTTGCAGTCATATTTTAATTTTTTTAATATCCTTTTCTATAAGGATGACAACATAATGAATTTTCTATGCTTTTATTGAGGAAAAGAATAAGGAAATCTATTTACAATTTACATACAAGTGGAGCAGAGCTCCGGGACACAACTTTATACTTCCATTTCCAAAAGATAAGTGTACACTTTTTTAACATGTAACATAATATTTCGTTCATGTCATGTGATCTATATATCCAGACCTTCTTTGTTAGAAGCGGCGCTGTAAGATCTCAAGACCAGATGGAGATGAACTAATATCTCAATATAGTTCTTGAATCTAATGGGAATTCGGCTTCATTTGAGATATTTTACTGTACGGTGTGGATTCATTTTATAAATAAAGATTTCATCGCTATTCAATGAAACTTAAGATATACGCAAAGAGCTAAGTTAAGTAGGTGAAAGAGATTATATAATGTTCTTATAAACCATGTAAGCTTATCTGCAGATAAGATATAATTCTTTTTAAGTTTAGTCTCAAAAGATCCTTTTAATTTTATTAAGCTAGTATTTTAGATATTACATATATATGTAACATAAAAGGCTTCAATTAATCTTTTTATGTTATTTCTTTTCTGTAAAACCTTTCCTTGATTTTTTATTCTAATCGAAACACTTTCCCACGCTTTTAAATTCACATCCTGTCCTTAAATCTATTTTTGGCTCAAGCATGCATTAGTTAAAAGTAAGACATTTTCCCTCTACTCTTTGTGGGAATCGCGCGACCTATTTAATGAAGCAATTAGAATTACTAAGATTTCCCTAAATCGAAGCATTTTACGGATTTTCTTTGCAAGATATTCCCTAACATTTAGGCTGAAGCTCGATGAAATTGTGGCTTTTTCTCTCTGGTCATTCATCTGAAAATTATTAAATAAAATTAAATTGCTCATTTTTGAAATCCTGTGCCTGTTTTCCTGCTCGGCCGACTGCCTTCATTACATATGTGTGTTTAATAATGTATTTATTATATAAACCAATATATAGCCGGCCAGGTGGCCGAACGGTTAGCAGGCCTGACTGCGAAGCCAATGGCTGCGGGTTCGAATCCCGCTTTGGGCATGGATGTTTCTCTCTTTATGTGTTGTCCTCTGCTGTGTGAATGTGGCCCACCCTATAAACGTGTTTGTGGCAGTGTGGTGTGGGTAATGATGCTCGCCTTCGTGGCTCCGATGCTCTCCTCCACAGGTGCCCACTGGGTAACGTTAAATGAGTAACAATTCCGGCATCTTCTTAGGCGAAGAATAAAGTTCAGTGCCTGCCATTTGAAAAAAAAAGAAAGAAAAAAAAGAGAGAGCACAAAAAGAAAAAAACGAAGAAAATCACCAGCATTTCACAATTCATTTACTGTGCATAAGCTGCAAGCATATAGAACGCATAAAATAAGTTCAAAATGTAGAGAAAACATGGAAAAAATTGCAGAATAATGAAAGAAAAAAATTTGTTGTAAGAAAAAAGAATTTGTTTTAAGAAAAAAAAATTCCAAAAATATTTTTGTTAAAAAAAATTTTTTTCTATTATTCTGTAATTTTTTCCATGTTTTCTCTATATGTTTACGATAATTGTTTTTCATGAGAACAGAAATCTTTCCAGAGTGTTGCAAAAAGAGAGAGTTGTGAAAGAACATGATTGAGCTATGTTTACAGACCTAACGAGGGATTTTTGGCTCCATCTCCCTCTGTGCAAAATCAAGTCAGAAATTTCTGTAAATCTGGGAATAAAATAATAAAATTATTAATATTGTCATATAAGAAAGTTTTGTTATACCTGCTAATTTAGTCTAGTTATACCTGCTAGAGGGATTATGTTTAATGAGACACCTGCAAGTGACGTAGTGTGGGTATCTCAATCCTGATGGGTTACTGAATCGTAGCATTTGTTTACACTAGCAACTATACTTTCCATTCTATTTCGAGTAAGCCAGCCCATCAAGTATCAGTTCTCTTAAGTGACACATTCTATTTTCTTTCACTATATATTTCTTACTTATCACAAGTCATGTAGTCCGGCACAAAGTCGTGTAGAACAAAAACAAACTACTTATGCCTCGAAGTTGCAAAATACATAAAGCAAAAATATTTTGCGGTTTCAATAAAATGCATAAACAAATAATAAATCTAAGTTTAAAAAAAAAGACATAGACAAGAAAGAGTTGTATTTCAACGAATTCAATGTTCGATACGGCGCTGTATTTAATTTATTTCACGTTAATTAACATTCTAACTTGTGTGGAGAAACTTTGCTCAAATTTCACACATCATTTTGCTTATAAAGGCTCAGCTAGTGCTCACATCATAGGTCTCATGTGTGAGTGTCTGTGATCTTCTTCTTGAAGTGCAGGTACCCAATTGTGTGTGTGTATTTTTTAAAGAAAAATAAAACTATAAAAAGTGATCAAAAAAAATTTTAGTCTTGCAATTTTTTAAGAATGACACCCATAGCTTAGCATTGTTCAGATGCTACTTAGAAGTAATTATAAAAACATCAGCTCATTTCCTTCTGAATAACTATCCATCCCAAATAATAAAGAATATTTTGCAAATAAAACTTTATTTTGTTTACAGTTAGAAGAAGCTGCTGCAGAAAATCAGGAGGTAGATGTGGATCAAGCATTGATGAATGTGCCTTCTGAGTTAGTCATAACATCTATGTTAAAATGTGCATTGAATCATTCGTTTTGTGTTCAACATGATTTTAGTAATGAAAAGTAAGAAATGATGTTGACTTTCTTCTTTACTTCCTTAAATATGTCATTCTTATAATTTACACTGAGGATCTTAACATTTACATCATCAACTCAGCCTCCTTTTAAAATTCTTGTATAGTATAGCCAACAAAACCAAAAAGTATTTTCAGAACTTTTGATCAAATCAATAGATTTTCATTAATTAGATTTTAGCACTCACAGAAATATGTCAAAATTTGAAAGAGAAAAATGGTTTAAAGTTTAGACATTTGCTATTTTTAGGTTTTCCACTTTCAGAAATCACAGGATTGAGTGCATGATTGTAAATTATCTTAATATAATTTAAAAACGTCGGCCCCAGATCATGACAGATTTATAATTTTGGCGATATTCAACAATTGCTAAGATGCTTGTGCGAGCATCTACAGAACAGATCCTATCGTTTCGAGCTCGTTTAACGGTAAAAGGCACCTCATCGGTGAAAAGGAATTTCTCTCAATGCTGACTTGCAGCTCATCTCAAAGCTTTTAGACATCATTGGGGCTACACAATCTTGTTTTCTTCAGTGAGAAGCTGAACTTTTTATGATTTGTAAGACTTCGATCCAAGCTCTGTTTCTGCCATTCTCCGCATTGATTAGTCACTTATTCCCATTTCACGAACCATCTTTCTCACAGAAACCCCCTGATTTTGTTGATCTCTCTTTTTGATGGCCATCTGACCATATGTTTTTGTCCCCTTCATGAACATCGATCATCATTGCTAAGCTCTTTAAAATGGTAGATTGCACCAGGTATTGTTTTCTGAGGCACATTATTAAGCAAGCAAAAAATTTCACACTGGTGTTTTCCTTGCTCAAACAACTCTAAAATAGTACATCTTTTACTTGATATTATAAAAGAACCATAAAACAATATGTAAACTAAGACATATATTACTAGTATTTTATAATTAAAGTGGTAGACAAAAAGAAATGAACACAGGAATTAAAAAGAAAATTAGTTAACTTCTATTCTATGATGCAAAAACTTTGTTTGAATTGTTTCGCCACACCCTGTATTGCATCAGCATCATAAGTATTACATACCTTAGAATTTTTTTTAATCTGTGTTATTTTCATTTAAATAAAGAAATATTTAATTTATTTTTTAAATGTTTGCTTTAAAGTACATGTAATATACAGAATAGTTTAATTTTGCAGGTGTGTAGCAGTTCCTATTGAATTTATTGCTCATAATACTAGTGATACAGAACTAAGCATTATTCTTGACAATTCTTCTCATCCAGACAGGTAACACTAGAAATTCTAATTTTACTAACATAACTAATATGAAATCTGTTGGTTGATAAAGATTTAAGTTCAGTTAAAGGTTTTTTAAAGTGAATCATTTATTAATTTATTTTTGTTTCGTCATATGTTTTGGCCCATTTAACTGAAGTTATCTTCATTTGGCTGAAACTAAAAAATTGTTACATTTAAACTCTACGAGTAATACTAATTTTTCAAATTAAAGACAGTATATTAAAGATAAAATGTTGATAATTGAAAAAAAGCTCTCTTATAATTTTCTAGTATGTACTTTAAAATATATAAAAACCGACTAAATAAAACTTTAAATCTGTCGATTGATAATGACTGATGTCAGGTGACAGCAAAGCATCTTACTTTCAAGGTTATTTATAAAGTTTAAGTTTTGCAATGATGTTTTTTATTTTTAACTTATATTAAATGATTTTTATCTAATAATTTTATATTAAATAATTATTCCAAGACAATTTGAATATTTTTAAATGCTTTATTTTCTGACCTGTTAGTAATATATATATATATATATATTGATTCTCTTGTCTTAAAAAAATATTCTACAATATTAGTATTATATGCTATTAAATTTGATTCTTACATCCTCTTGAAGTAACAATTAAAAATTTTAACAAAAATATTACTCTATCTAGCTAAAAGTATCCAGACACCCATATAATTATGGTGGGGGTGTTTTTCGTTTTTCATTGTTTGATCCCTTAGTTTCTGTAGTTGATGTTTGCTCTCCCATACCTGCCAAGTCTTTTTTAACAAAACCTCCTGTATTTTGCGACTATCTCCTGTTCACCCGTATATTCTCAAATTTCCAGGGTTCCCACGGGTCAGGGAATTTTATTTTAACTCTAAAAACTGGGAAATAGTCAGGAAAAGTTGCAATTTTTTACGAAAAACCTGGAAATTTTCTATAGTGTACCTGGAAAATACTCAGTCTTATACTTGTCAATAACAGTAATCAGTTATTGAGATTCGATTTAAATAATTGTAACATCTATTACAATTTTTTTTATAAAATCCCACCTCTTAGTGAAACTTTTCTATTTTCATTCTATTATTATGTTTATGCTCACAAAATCTAATATTTGATATTACAAATTTAAAAAAATCAAAGTTTTCTGATAAAAAATAGCATGGTATCGAAAAAATATGGTTTAGATTTTCATTAAAATTTGCCTTTTAGACCTGGAAAAGTCAGTGAATTTTTTTTCTAAAATTGAGTGAAAGCCCCGATTTCTCTGTATTTATTGAAGAAATTTAAAAAAAAAAATTTTTTTGTTTATAAAATATCTGCGCCAAAATACTTTTCTTATTCCTCAACAGATGGTGCTATTGCCAGTACTGCAGTATGTTGAGTGTTAATAGTTGAACTAATTATAAATAATGGTTCAAAAAAATTCTTTTGATTAAGATTTATATACATATTTTTTACTTCGCTAAATGTGCGTTTATTATTTCCAACTTTAACTTGTATGATTATGCATGATGTATCAAAACTTTACTCATAGTCCAAAAAATTTCGCTAGTTAAATCTCCATTATTTTATTTCTGCAATGTTGGCAGGTATGCATATCTATGGCAATATTGTGGAGAAAATTGATTTTTCTCCTAGCTGCTTATTTGAGTGTTATAAGTCCCTGCTTTAAATTCCATAGTTTTATCCTTTGGGACAAATTAAGAGACAAAATACATAGCCAGCCGAATTGTGCATTCTCGCTACCAACACTCATTTCAGCTGTGATGGACGCTCGGAAGTAGACTCATATCAAACACTGACGGAAAGTCTCCCCAGAAGTGTGCAGGCTGTCATCGATGCAAAAGTGGCACCTACATCATAATTATTTATAAAGCCTCAGTACTTTTAAAGTCTGTACCACTGGTGGCAGGATACTTTTGGCCAACGAGTGTATGATAATTGTTGAATAATTTGCTCCATACAAAATAGTCTTAATTGTTTCTCAAGCAAATTCTTTATTTCACGTGTATTTCTTTCTTTTCTTTTTCTTAAGCAATTTTCAGAATATTTTTGTCAATGTAAATTGCTTCTATTATCTATGATTTAACTTTAGAAAACAATCATGAAGAGGATTTTACAATAATTTTTGTGAATACTTTTCAGAAATATAAATGCTTCTCTACCTGGAGATAGTTACAATCAGATACCTCAACGATTTACGTGGGTTGGAGGAAGTAAGCGTGAGTTTTCATTAAAGCCTCATACTTCTGTGCAGCTCTTACTAGAAACTTTGTTTTGGGATCCAGGAACTTATAACCTGAGTAGTAGTGTGAACATTTTAGTGAATAGTGGTAAAGATAATCTATCCGTTTATCCAATGCCTCTACATTTAATTATGATAAACTCGATTAATGGTACATAGCAATAATAGAAGAACTATGTTGAAGTTTATGTAATTATATAAAATAATTGTACTATTTGAGTTGTAAAAATGATCAAGTCATTGAAATGTTTTTATGTACATATTGAGCTAGAAATTATGTACAAGATGAGTTGTCCATTTCATTGTTTATTAATAAGTAAAAAAAATTCAAATTTATTGTTAGATTCTCTAAAAAAAGAGTGATATACGTGATTCCAGATTCCTTCATTAATGTTAATCTCAGAATATTTATCTTTAAAAAGATTTAAAGTTTTGTAAAGTTTTATTCAAATAAATCATAACCATAATTTTTGTCATAAGCTTTTTAAACTGTCAAAGTTTGTTTACATATTGCTTTGTTTTAATAGATGTTTTATGAAATAGTAGATATGTTATGGATAAAGAAAGTATGACTGTTAAATCTTGGTGCAACTGGTTAGGTGTAAGTAGGGGATACCAGTCCTAGTCTGTTAAAGCCCGAAGAATCTCCGTTTCTAATTTTAACCGACTAAAACTAGGTAAAAACCTAATTGGTTGATGACCGAAGTTATGTTGTTGTATATGTTCAGAAAGCAAAATATTATTAAGTAGTAATATGGATATAACTGTTTCATGGTTTAGTGGAGATGAGTCTTGTGCAATATTTTCATACTTGATTGGTTTTTTCCCTTTTTACAAAGTTTTAAGGGCCATAACTCTCTTTACACTTGCCCAGTATTTTCTAGCATATACTTACGCTTGTTTAGGTTAAGTGCTTGGATAATAATGTGTAATGTAGAATATTCACTTTGTACAGATTAGAGCAGGTTAGACCCAGTTTTGACGTTTAAGGGTCTCTAAGATCATTGGTAATCTGTAATTTCAGCAAGTTAAACTTACGTTTATAGACGTTCACTTTGAGCTGACTAGGATTGGTTGGACCCAGTTTTGAAGTTATTAGAGAGTCTTAGGGTTTTAAAGAATTGGTAATCCATAATTTCAGCCAATTAGACCAAGGTTTTTGCTTCCATTCTAGCTTTAGCCGTAACATATGCATGAATTAGTTTTATCTTTATATTTAAATAATGCTACACATTTCTAGTCAAACTAAAGTTTTATCAATTGAATTTTATGCTTGCTTTTAAGTTGAGCAATTGATTTGTACAAAAACATCTTATTTTCTATACTCTTTTATACTTCAACTTTTACTTGATTTTAACATATTTATTTTATTTTGCTTTAATAAGAATTGAAAAAATGTTTTTAAGTTGCACAGTTGTAGGGTAAACAGACAGAACATCTTTAAATTTCTTGAGTAAATTTTAAGAATTACAAAATTTTTAAGTACCAAGAAGCTAGTAAGACCCTATTTATAAGGTCTCTCAAAGCAGTACAAATCAAATTAATTAGAGGGAAAAATGATTGACAAAAATTTAAAGTGAAGTTTTTTATGTTGTTACTTGTAAATTATACCTTAATTAAATTCGCTCAGTGAAACATTAGCACTTCCATTAAGTTTCTACATTAGTTTGATTTTTTTAAAATTTGAATTGAATTCATTCTTTCCTTGTGCCCTAGTTTTCTACGAGTTTATTTTAAAACTGCGTTTTTAGAATTATTTATCACTGTATTGTAAATGAAATTTTTTTACCTTAGTTCTATATTCTGTAGCAAGTTTTAACATATGTGAATGACTAAGTAGTATTATTTGAGAGGTTTTTATAAGAAGCTATAAATACTGTAGATATGAAATTATACGACAAAAAAAAATGAAAAATTGTAGATTGAATTAATAATGAAATTATGTAGTTGAAATTAATATTTTTTGTGATAAATCAAAACTATAATTATAGCCTTAGCCAGTGATCTTTTTTTTCTTCTAAAAAATCTATAATTTTTCTTTTTTAAATAAATATTTAAGAGGTTTTTTTATTTCAAAGTAAAAATTTCATTATTATTTACAAATTTTGAAAACATACAACTTTTAAAGCAGTAATTAGTATCACTGAAATCTTAGTCTAGTTCTTCCATAGAAAGAGAGGAGTTCAGGATTTCTTTTTTTACCCCTTACTAAAGGCCCCTTTAAAATGGCAATGTTTTTCCTATCTATTTTGTTTCAAGTTTTATTCGGTAACCAGACAACTTGTGAGAAAAATTAAAACTTGATATGTATTTTTCATAAAAATTCCATTAATTTCTTCAGTCACTACCTAACCCTAGATAACTCGACTTAAATCAGTGTTAATCTGTAACTAATCATTTGACCAATAGACTCCAAATTAAAAACAGGTATCCTTTATTTATTTCAAACAAATAAGTGTAACTTAAAAATAGTATTATAATATTCCAATTAAAAAATATAAAAACGGTAAAAATTATCATTTGCACTCTTGGCTGATGGTAAAAATGTGCTCTCCACAAATAGCCTTGTTGCATATGTATTTTGCGTTTCTTAGAGGTACAAAATAAATAATATTTAGAATTGTAAAAAATGCAGGAAAAACTTAAAAATACACACAGTGGCCGATTATGGCATTGATGCAAACTTCTGCGTGTTATAACAAAACATCTCACTGTTAGACGAAAATTACAGCAAATCACAAAAAGTAACAGCTGTACAAATGTGCTTATCATCTTTGGATAACTCATTTTACTAGTTATGAAGGTACTGTGAGCACAATGGGAACTCCTCGAATTCACAATATTTAGTTATCTAGGGTTAGTCTTTAAAATTGCCATAATAGTTAAATTGCAGTTACATTTTTGTTGTCTTATCTCTGTATATTAGTTTATGGATTATTTAAGAGACTGGCGTGCAAATGTATACCATAATTTTCAATTGCATATGCTCATTAGAAGGAAAGGTTATATGCAAAACATAAGAAATGTAATGAATTTCATGATTGAGTGTAATGAAATTCACAAAATATATTAGCAAATTTTTAATGTTATTAGATTTAAGTTTGAAAATTTTTTTTTTCTTCTTTTAAACAAGATAGGTCACACAAAATCATTTTAAGGGACTTGTGTGGTTTTTGTACCAATATTTTGAAGTATTATTTTATTTATTTTTAAACCTAAAGAGTTTTCCTAACCATGAGAACACAATTTTGAACCAAGTCCTGGTTTTAAGCCTTGTTATTCTTTCATAAAGGCATGCTTTGCTAAGCAGGAATTTTGTAATAAAAATTTTCTGGGGTAATTCAGTGGATAAAAAGTTAAATATTGTACAACATCTGTACATCAAATACTAGCTTTGAAACATTTGTAGCCGTTTTGCTAGATTTAATTATTTTGAACAAAATTGTTTTTTTAAATATTATTTTGGGGACTGAATAGTTTATATTTTTAACAAGATTTAAATTTCATGGTAACACACAATAAAGGCAGTATTTTAAAATTTAATCAGTCTTATAACAGTGATTCCATTGGAAATTATACATCCTTATCAACCAGAACTTTTAAAATTCTGGTTATGTATAAGTTATTTTTTACTTAAAGTGGATCCCTATTTAAAATATGAATTCTCCATCTATTAATATGCACATTCATAATTATTGTATCTAATGATAGATGAAACAAAGAATTTCAAATTGAGAAAAGTATTACATTTGAATAAATCAAGGCTTTAAACTAGGACTGATCAAACACCTGCATCAAGGAACAACAGTGTAATATGGTACTCAGAATTATTCTTATTTTTTCTTTCATCTACTAATAAAGAAAAAAAATTTTAACATTTATTTCAAGTTGTCTATACACTAGAGGATTGCACCTTGGGATCTGTAATAACTTATTTTTCATGCCCAATATGATTTTTGGCATATTCAGGGTTGCCATTTCAAGTAAAATCTGGAAAATACAGGGAATTTAAAAAACAGGGGAAAATGCAGGGAATTTAAAAAACAGGGGAAAATGCAGGGAATTTTGAAATTTTCCTTACAAACTGGGAATTTTATTTCTTATTTTTGTCTTTTAAAAAATGCAAACCTCTCAAAGCTCTATCTGTGGGATATTTAAAGATGATAGTTCAGCTATATTATTTAATTTATTATAGCATTAATTGTTTTATGTTGAGCTTGTTTCTTATTTTTCCAGCATCTTTATCCTAATATTATAGTTCACAAGAGTGCAGTGAATGTGTGTTTCCTTTTAATATATTGTGTAGAATACGTGTAGGGAAAACACAGGGAATTTTTTTTGCAGATATCAGTGGCAACCCTGATATTTGATGCCTTATAAGTGTGTAAGCTGAATCACTTTATATTAATTTTGTGCTTTAAAAAAATTACCCAATAAACTTATGTATTGTTTGTTCTATATGGAAATTATGAAACTGAAATTTTACTAAGTTTCACTACTGAGCTACACTTCCATGTATTTAAAAGTATACATTTATGATAGAATTTTTTTTTTTTAAATTCAGTAATTGTCTAAGAATTTATTATTAATGATGGTTAACAATTGTAGTTATAAAGAAACAGAATAGTTATTTTTAAAATATTACTACATTAAGTAAATTGCAGCAAATTATTGTAGTACCAGTCAATTCTTTACAGTTTTATTTTTTTTCTTAAGTTATAGATATAATTATTATTATATTACATTGTATTTTGTATTACGAATTTATATTAATAAAAATCTTTAAAAAAATTTTTTTTTAATGTTTCTTTTTTATACATTATTTGGTAAATTTTACTTTTATCTTTTTTCCCGTGTTTTAATTGAGTGATTGAAACATAGTCTTATGCGGAAAATAATTAAGTAATCATTAGCCACTATGGATCAGTACTTCCACATTGTTTTGTTATTTGCAAAGTTTAAAGTTTGAGCAACTTTTTAAAAATATTTAAAGAAAAGTTTTTTAAAGAATTGTTTCAAAACATTTTTAATAACATTCATTATGTTTCATAACCAGCCAGCCACATATTAAAATGAATATGCCACATATTAATAAGAAGTCCTATAAAATATAATTTTCAAAATAGCCTTATATTTTCAACATAAACTGCTAATCTAATTGAATTTAAAGAAAAATTATGTCCAGAATAAAGTAATACGAATTAAATAGAAAAGAAGGTATCAGTAAATGGATGCATTCATTTTTTAACAATTTGGAAACAAAATTGAAAAGCTTTTATTTGGTAAATGTAAAATAACAAATAGAATAAAATAATTTTAAAATAAAACAACTTTATTTCATAATTGTTAGATTTTACATATGTACTTTATAATCTGATTAATTATAAACTATAGTGTTTTATATTACAATGAATAAGAGTAAAATTTGCCTTTTATGAAGATGGTTACAAGTATNTTTCTTTCTTGAGTTTATGATTATAATAACTATTTACTGATAAAAAATTAATATTAATCTTAAATATAAGGTTATAAAGTATCTGGCACTCCCTTATAAATAAAATAAACTGTGTTTTTAAGCTCCACCTTTGAAAATTTGATTTCCAGAAACTTTTGTGATCAATGATTTTTTGAAACTTCTGAACCTTCGATCTCCGGAAACTTCCGGATCACGGTTAGCAAAAAATCTGGATTTTTTCTGGAGCACAATCAGCCCTGTTTTTTGGTAAATTACTATATTTATATTATTTTAATTATTTCGATAGCAATTCCAGTTACATGAGTTCTTTCTATGACTTATGTTGGTGTTTGTGTAATGCTTACTATGTTGTGCTTGATCAGGCATATCAATATTTTTAAAATTATTATATAATTAACAGTATATGAATGCCTCAATTCCTAAATCAATCAAACTAAATATATATATTAGACCAACAAAATTCTAAGTTGACTGCCACAAGCTGAAAAGAAAAACTACATTGGTGCTAGCCGAATAACCAGATAGCCAATTAAAACTGCAAGAAGAAATTTAAACACTCACTTTAAGAATTGTCTTTTAAAAAAAAAACCTTCTGTCTCAAGTATAAAAATTAGATGCTACCAATTCTCCAAACAACTCATTTGAAATAAATTAAATTTATTAAAGTTATTATTATACAGAATATTAAATAATTGAAATAAATAAATTCAAGGTGGCCACAGAGTAAGAAATTTTATTAGAGAAAAAAATTGAGAATTACACTAAAAAGTCTAAGGGGAAAAAAAATGCTTGCAATATTATTTTTAACTCTACTGGTAAGTTTTGACTGCCTGTAATACGCTTTATTTACATAAAATGTAACTGAAAAATCAATAAAAAATTTTTAAATCAGTTGTGAAAAGTCAGGGAATAAATTTTTTATTTATTTGAGTGTTTTTTTAAAGACCTGTTATTGAATGGCTAAAAAAATTTAGTCATTTAATGATTTTCACAAACTATTTGAGAAATTTGTTTTAATATACACTGTTAGGAATCAATCAAGTGCTTTAAAAGTTAACCAGCAAGTGGAGTTAATGTTAAGTCAAGTGATGCAGTCTTAGTACAATAAAAAAAAATAGATTAAAATTAACATTTTATTCCTAATGTAGAATAATTTGAACAGTTACTAGTTTTGGAAGCAAGAAAGATATTTTTTATATGCCTATTCAAACACACATTTGTTTTTGTGAATTCCTACGATACACATCTAGTTGAGTAATTTTTAAAGCAATTTCAGTTATTTCTTTCTTAGTTTCATGAATGACTAAATATTGATATTTTGGCATGCTTAATAAGCTGCTGTTATACGGGCACATTATTATTTTGTAATCAATTTGTCACAATTGTTTTAGAAACACAGTATTTAATAGCAACTAAAAAAGTGAGATAAATAGTCACTCTTTAAGTTAAAAAGAAGAAGAAAAAAGATGAAAATTGAAATGCAAGTAAAAGACATTTTTGACCAGGGCTCAAAAATTCTCCAACTTCTTGCAAGCCTTGCTAAAAGTTTTACATGCCCATTCATATTTTTCCATTGCATATTAATAAAAACATGAATTCCTTTATTCCTGCATAAACTTCCTCACTTGCCAGAAATACAGAACAAAATAGAAAAAGGAAATAAGAATATTAAGTAGAAGTAGATTTCATGCATAACTTTATAAATAAATAAAAAAAACACCTTTGTCAAATTTCTTTAAAGATTTAAAGTACATGTTATGTTACAGCAATTAAAATGATAATTTTGCTAAGCTTTCACATTTCAACTTTTATAGTTAGATTTTTATGCACATGGCAGAAATTTTTTTAAAATGAAAATAATTATGACTAGGAAATATAAAATAAAAAGCTAACTTTTTATGAATTCTTACTTATAATCAAAATTTGAGAAAGCACTTGTTATTTTAGGGCATTTTTGATAAAATATCTTCTATGTTGCTTAACATGCCCTGAGAAATATAACTTTTAAGCCCTGTTTTTTACATATGTCCATCTAAGATTTATTAAGAAAAGGATAAAATTACAAGTATTTCTTCAATTAGTTAACTACCTGGAAGTAGATACTTCAAAATAACAATGGAAAAATACTCCATTTTTAGATGGTTATGGGACCCTTAATCAAAATTCAAAGTGAGATAGTAGAAAACTATTTTCCCATACTTTTGGGAAACTATGAAGACAATTAGGCAAGAAAGCAAAATAATAATATACCCAGTTAGGAAACAGTTAATTAATATTCTAACAAGAAATAATGAAGTAATAATCACTAGCAGACAAATTTTTATGATGACACAATTTTGTGCAAAATATCTACCTGTTCTGTAATGGGAAAGAGAATGGCAGTAGCTATCAGATCATTGCTGCAATAAGAAGCCCTTTTTTTCCAATGTTACAATTATATCTCTCAATATTTTTTTTAAAACAATTACCCATGTTGCAGTAGTAAAAATTTTTTGCCATGCTAACTTCTCACTTTCATTAATGAAGAAATACTAATGGGTAAAAAGATATAAAAAAAATTTCACATTTGTAGAGAATAGTTTTAAGATATGAAAATATTGAGTCAGGCAATTGTGCCGCGTAATTCAGCTCAATAAAAATTGTTAACTGAAGAACTAATTTTTTGAAACGACAAAATCTTATGTCTGTAAGTGTACAACACTGGAATCGGGTGGTTGAAATAAAGGTGTATTTTTGAAGCCAAAATATTATGGAATTATGTTTGGTTTTTCATCATACAATGTCTTAATTTGATATAATTTTTAAAAAAATATGTGACAATTACACATTTTTGGGAGTCTATACCTGATTATAATTAGTTTTATACATAAAAAAAATTTTTTATATTATGGAAGAACATTGAAAGGAATTTCTAAAGTCAATATGCGGAATATTTTCATTCACATATTAATCTTTAAAATACTAAGAAAGGAAACTTATGCTATTTACAGAGACTAAAAATAAATTATAAAGTAAATGCATTGCACAGTCAGTTGTGAAATATTTACAATTATGTACTCCATAATTGAAGATATAGAATATACATTAATATTTATGTACTCTATAAAATGAAAGAACATGTTGAGTGACATCTTGAGAACATTCATTTCTGGGTTTAGGAATATATTTACTATTACAAATCTTATAAGATGGCTGATAAATATAGAACATTATATTGCCAAGTCTTTAAAGGAAGAAGATTATTTTCGTATGTTTATTAAAATGCCACTTAACAAGTTCTTATTTAAAGAAATAAAAAATGTCTCTTATAAATTTCGGAAAAACTTAAATTTTAAAATAAATATATCAACTTATTAAATAGTGAAAAAATTAAAAATATAACCCACATCAGTCGAAATACATAATTCATTTAGTAATTGAAATAAATCTCTAGACAATCATTCTTATTTACAAAATATATTCATTTTTTATTTGTATATTTATTTTTGTTGTTATAAATAATATCTCTGGTTAAAATTCAAATAAAATGCAATTTCTATTCTATATCTAAACCAGCAGATATAAGTAACTCAAGATATGTGTATTTATTCTATCTATCAACAAAAAAAAAAACTGTATAATTGGTCAATCATGCCAAAACATATGAAAAGTGTTTAGAAAAAGATAATTGTTGTAGTGAAAAATTTTCTAATTCATTAAAAATTAATTTTTTCATTTTTATTATATACATATATATATTGGTTATTTAAGGAAAACTGATACCAGCAATAGTAAGAAAAATTAAAAAGAACTAAGTCAAGTGACAAAGTTACGATTTTAATGGGCCTTTTTATTAGTGTTTGAGAAAGAGCATTCTAAAGAAAATCTCTTAATGTTTAGGGGTGCATAACCTTTTGGGAATAGGTTTGCAGCAAAATAAATTTTAGTCTTTGGGGGCAACAACCTGCATTTTGCAGATGCATATTATGACCTCTGAATTTTTTTTTAAAATTCAGGATTAATAACAACCAACTAAATTAATCATTCTTTAGATTAACAAGAACACTATCTTGTAAAGATACATACTTAATATCCACTAATTTTATGTAAAATATTTTCAATTTAAAAAACATTTTAAACTTTGTCTCCTTAAAAAAAATTAAATGTAATAACAAAACAAGTTGCCCACTTAATTAACTTTATAAATTTATTAAACTTTATTATTATTTTTTTTACTTTCAATTACTTTTATAACTTTAAATCCTTTAACTCCATTTGTTTTGAACATGTATTGGTTAATAAGACAATACAAGTTGGTTGAAATTAGTTTCAAAAACAGTTATGAAGTTTCCTACACTAGTTATGTTGGTTTTTCCAATTAATTTTTAATTGAAAGGTGAATAGTATAGATAGATACTGACCATTTGGTCCTTAGGCAAGTTGTATAACCCTATTTTAACATAGAGGTACAAAACTTTTTTCGAAGGTGGACTACAATAGCATCAGTTTTTAAGTCAGTTAATATTAATTTAATTATTAGTGTGGTAAAAATAATAATACTTTGCCTTAAAAATTGAAAGACAAAATGCAGCAAATTATATATAACACTATAATGACTAATAATTTTAAAGTAAAAAAATAATAATAATCAAATTAAATAACTTTTCTAAGTGGAAAAATAATTTCATTATTTTTTACCATAAATATATTATTCAAATTTTTAATATTTAAATGCATTTTTAACCACATTTTTTTAAACATGTTTTAGTAAAAGAAAACTTTCTTTAAAAAAATTTAAAATGTTAATTTCAGTATTTTTACAAATTTAATAAAGCTAGTTTCAAACAATTTTTTAGCAAGAAGAACTATGCAGAACCAGTTGAAAGCTGAAGGTTATGCACCTCTATTTTAACATTGGTGACAAATAGTTTTAAAATTGCACCAATTATTGTTCATGGCTAAAGTAAGCATTCTACTATCAACTAGAAAAAAGAAGGGGAATAAAACATTCAGTAGGCATATAGCGGTTTTAATTTAAAACCAACTTATCACATTTGCAAACTAGAGCAAATTTTATATATTTACATTAAAAAAAAAAATTTGAAAAATATTAAGGTATAGTGCGGCTTTGAGGAGAACTCCTCCAGACTAAAAGTCTGGGACTGTCTACTGCTATGATAACAAGTGAGAGCACATTTCTAATGGGGGTGCAATAGAAGAATGAAGGTGTCGATTGGTTAACTCACGCCAGCTTATGCCTAGATTAAGACAAAACTATTCACCCCACACCCCTATTCAAATTATCTTTCCTCTTAATCATAGTTCGCGAGACTGATGTTTGGAGGAGTTCTGCTGAAAGCCACACTATAGGGTGACTTTTTGTCAATATCACAATAAATTTTATAATAACAATATGTATAATAAATTGGTAGAGAATTCCATTATCTAAAAGAGAGAATATCTATACCAAGCCAACTCAATAATCTCGAAAATTGTTCCGATGGAAGAAGTGATCACAATACTCTAAATTAACTATCTTATTGCTTTCAAAATTAAGCTGCTTTGTAGGAGCCCCTTGAAGACTTAACTCTAAAGCACACTCAGAGGAGATACTACAGTTGGAGACATTCATGTATTTCAACGATCGCAAATAATTTAAGAGATAGCGTAACCCAACACAAGTTATGGAAGTCTTACGGAGGCAGACAATCTGCAACATTGGCAAGGAAGTGTTCTGAAGACATCGAAAGTGCTCATCTGCCACATCTGTATAGCCCAGATAAAGTTTTTCTAGTGAGTTTGAGTTTTGACTGAGGGACAAAATTGTTTGACCTCCAATTTTTGTGGCCTCGAGGTCGAGCACCTTGAGGTGTTCGACAGCTTTCAATAGAATGACTACCCCAACATCTGAAATAGGGCAGCCTGCTAAATAAATCTCCTGCAGGTCACCGAGTCTCGAAAAAAACGGTATATCGTTATCACAAACGCACCAACATGAAGTGCAGTCAAGAACTTTTATTTTTGGTACAGTAGGGTGACTCACGCTACAAAAAAATTGGTCTGTGTGGAAGAAAGACTTACGTAAAGAGAGCACACTCAGTTTTTGGGGTAAATCCTCCACAGTTATGTCAGTGAAGTTGATGTGTTTCGCAACAAACGCACTTTCTATAATCAGTGTCCTCAAATGCGGGCACCGCTCACGAATTTCAATAGCAGTCTGTGGAGTAAGAAATGGAATTCTTTGCTGCGTGGATAGACTTGAAATTCTCAAATAGGTTACACAAGGTGGAAGAATGGGTACCATTTTTTGCAGCTGGTACGAAGTGAGTTGCATATCATGAGCATCCACATATTTCCACAAAACTTGACATCTAGTTAGATTATACCATCTCAGACATACTCTAAAAAAATATAAAGAAAAGAAAATAAACAGGGAGCAAAACTGCAGAGAACGGTGACTAGTGTGTGCAAATAAACATTGACATAATTAAACTCTGAGACCTAGAAACTGTCAGATTTAATTAAGATATTCATTGTTTAGTTGCGTACAATAAACAGATATGTGATTGCAGGTAGAAGAAATTATCTAATTTTTTTCTTTCTTTTTGCACACAGAAGATAAATAAAAGATTATCATTTTTATGCAGAAAATAATATTTATAAAATTTGAAGAGGCAAAACATATTATTTTTATCCAAAAAGTTTTTTCTTTCATCAACACACAAAAGGAAATATATATTGAAAAAATTTACATATTCCTCCTCTTTTGCACTTTACGAGCAGTCATCACATAAAAAAATTGAAAACTGTGAGATCCACGGCAATAACTGGAAACAGATTAATGATAAAAACCATGTGTATTTTTAATGAAATGTCTTGAATCGGGCACCTTTTAAGGCAGCTTAATTAAATGAACGTTTCGAGATTCGCATGCTGTAATAAATGTAGTAAAAATATCCGAATTTTTAAAAAATAAGCACAAATCAATAGTGATCAAAAATCAACCAAAACCTGGGTTTTTTCATGGAAAAACGCAATTTTACACACGGATACGCAAGTATTATTGTTTTCTTTTATTATCAAAATGCCCAATTTTGTCTGAAGATAAATTAGTTTTTTCAAGTATATTCTACATGCAAACATATATATACTAAATATAAACATAAAATATAGTAAATGATGAAAAAAAATGCCTGATTATTACCAAAGGGATTAATAAAAGAAATGTTTAGTTTATGAGAATAACTACTTTAGTCATTTTTCTTTTCTTTCCTTTTTTTTTGCCTTCTAAATGAATAATAAAAATCACTAGAATAAAAAAGTCAGAAAAGGGCACACACTTAACACCGTAAAAAGGTATGAAAATGTGTAATATTACGCATAGTAACTGAATTTGATCCTCAACAATTCTTAAATCACCCTGTTATACTATTTAATGCATACATTTCAAAAAATAATTCTCTCTCATTATCAAAATTCGAAAAAATATTTTAATTTATAAAAATAATTAGAGGCATGTTAAAAGGCAATCTCTGTGCATAAATTTTTTTCAAAATAAGTATTTTCTATAATTTAAACTGAGAATTATAAAAGAATAAACATTTAAAGGTGCATTAAAAAAAAAGGTATTTAGTTAAAATATAATTTAACAATCATTCATTACCTAACATTGATCCTGGAATGGTTTTCAATAATGGACCAATATTATTTTCTATGTAGGACCCTTATAGACTTAAAATGTTGGGTAAACATTGGGAAGTATTTTCAGTATTGGTCCTATAATGGCTTTTAATAATGAACCAATATCATTTTCTATGTGGGTACTTTATAGATTTATAATATTGGGTAAACATTGGGAGGTCTAGATTTTTCAATATTGGTTCTAGATAGAAATGAATCCTGTTCCAATACTGAAAGTCATTCTAGGATCAATATTGAAAAATATAGGTCCCTCGGCGCATGTTCTTAAGAGACCCATATTTGCCAATTTTGAGCCCAACTGGGGCCAATGTAAAATTGTTACTAGGGATTAAGGTTAAGAAATTTCTAGAAGGAATGTAAGCATTCATGAAATTAAATGCACTTATCTTTTTGTTGAACATGGTATGTTCATTTGAATTTTTCAATGTATGAACACTTTATTTTACAATGTACAAATAATTATCAACTTTTATCTTTATTATGCATTTAGTTTTTTAATTAAATGAAAAAAGATTTTTAAAAAAATTAAGCATTTGTTTTCTAAACATTCCAAGTTTATAATTTAAAATTTTAATGAACATGCAGGAATGCTTCTTAAATTTAATTGATTATTAGGTAAGTATGAATAACATATCATGAACAACTAATACCTGCATTTATATATCATTAATAAATAATATAATCAGAAATAAAATATTTATGAAAAAGATTAACTTGTAGATAATATTAAAATGAAATCTTTCTACGAATCTGCAGATTGAACTCTATCTGCAGTTGCTGTGATAATCTGTAGCACCTGCTGCCATGCTAGAGGGTTTGTGTTATCTTGGTAATAGGAAAAAGTTATTATTTTTAATTGATTGCAGCAAAAATAATTTACCAATATTTCAATTATCACTAGGTTTTAACATTATTTTTTTTAAAAAATGTTCCTTTTTCATATCTTAGTCAATTTTACTTAGTCCTTTTTAAAATATATAAAATAATGTAACCTTTTTTTGAGATTTTCAATTGAAATTCCTTAACAATCTTAATTCGATTTTACCATACTCAAGGGTGATTGTGAGCCCAACTCAAAAATTCTGAAAATTTCTTTTGTATAATCATTAATGACACATTTCAAAAAATTAATGTCTTCATAAATTTTAATAATTGATGTTTTCAAAGCATGAACTTCTAAATAAATTATATGCAGTATAATTCAAATGAATAATTAAGTATAAGTTTATTTTTATCTCTAATCACATTTATTATTCTACCAGAAAAAATATTTACGAATGAAAGATAAGCCCAGTATAAATTCTAGTTCAAATATTTTTAAATAAAATATACAAGAATTTTATACATAAATAAGATCGATGATTTCTTGAAGCTTTTGGACCTTGGATTTCCGGATCGCGGTTAGCAAAAAATTCAAAATTTTTCCGGAGCACAATCATCTTTGATATATCATATCAAAGATGATTTGATCTTGATAATCATCTTATACTAGAAATCAATTTATTGAAAAATCAATTTAAACATGTTTTACCAACATCATTAAATACCTACCTTCCAGCTCGACACAAATCCCCAATGTAAAGATAACTGAATATTTTGAAGAGTATCACATCAGGTAAATTTTCAAAATGTAAAGAACCATCCGTTTCATCTTCATCCTGTAAAAAATAAAGATTTCAGTTTTGAAGTACTATAAAAATCGAAACTGATATCATTTTCATCATATTGCACTTGCCAGAAATTAAGAAAACATATAATATAAAAATGGCAGGGACCGGGGAATAATTATATTATAATTCTTCTGATGCTACTAGGCAAAAGTTTGTAAAAGGTAGCTAACAAGGTTCGAAATTAATAGCAGTCTCCCAGATCAACATTCAAGATAAAGGGATGGTATGCTGATTTGGTTTCTTGATTTTCTGTTTTGATCTGTGTTTTTGTCACAAAATAGCATAGTTCATCAAAATTGTGACATAAAACATTCTTTATAACACAGTTTCTCCTTTAAATTCACTTAATTAGCTTTTCTTAAAAAAAATAAAACTTAACAAAAACAAGTTAACAAATCAGAAAATATGCATATAGACTATTATTATCTTTTTAGGATAAAAAATTTTCCTAATTTCTAGCCCTGGCTAACATAAAATCTAAAATTCAGTACTAATTAATTGGATATGGAGCATATTTTATATCTATACCTGTTTGCGCCAATTACCTAAGCCAAGGTATCAAAAAAATTTTTTAAAAATATGCAGTGATTTGCCTGTGATTTTATATACTTATAAAGTTACTTCCATTCTATGATATATATATATATTTTAGCTCCTCGCTTGTCACTGCCCAGTTGCAGCCAAATTTTGATATAGATACCAATGCGAAAATCTTCCAGTAAATTTTATGAAAATATGCAGTCTCTAAAGCAAAGCACACTCAAAATTAAGTATGCAACTTTAAATCAAAGCACAGATCATCTAAAATAGGGAGTTGCTAGGCATGAAAATTTAACAGCTTTAAGTTTTTACGTGTTGAAGTTTAATCCAGGAACTCAAAAAAATTACTTTATCATTGATTAAAACAGTTTCAAGGGCAATTTTGGTATTAATTTGGTATCTGAGTCAAAATGGTGGCAAAGTTTCGGTGATAACCAAGTATTAGTTGCGACAAACTAGGAAAAAAAAAATCACAAAATGGAGCTAACTCGTAGACATCCCCGTCCTCGTACAAGCCAACAATTTCTTTTTAGTTCATTGCAAGTACATGAATTGGGCAGTGCATTTAGTGCAAACCGGTAGCAATACGGTAATAGCTCACCTTTTTTAAATTTTTAATAGTACTATAAAAAATTTTCTTCACTAGACTATGTTACTAAACCATTACTAAAAATCATGTGAAGTATTAATTATTTCCAAAATTATAATTTATTTTAATTTTATTCCAATATTTTGAAACTAAATTTTTTTTGGATTAAAATGTGCTTGATAAATTATCACTATATTAGTTGCAAACTATAACAGTTGACATAATTTGGGAGACATTTCTATATCAATACCTGTTTACACAAACTACAATCGCCGAAGGGGTCTCAAACCTGTAAAATTCAAAAACAAAAAATATGTAGTGGTTTGCCAAAGATGTTATTGTCGAGGTGAGTTACACCTTTTGAGTCAGTCCCTTTTTGCCGTATATTTTTAATCACTCACCAGTGAGCCACTCCCCTGGAGTTGCTAAACTTGAGTGACTATTTTGACACAGGTACCTGAATAAAAATCTTCCCATAATTTGTATCACATAGATAAATAAATTTCTACTTAGGTGGGGGTAATATGTGAAAACAGGCAAAAGATGATTTTCTAATTCAGTACTTATTAAGCTCAATTGAAATTGCCAAGTGCCACTTCCTGGTTCTTATACTTGCTATAAATGTTTGGAATATATACATGATCAATGAATGGGTTTGTTATCAATTTTACATTTTATGTTTACCCTATTTTCTCATGATATTTCTCACTTTTCCACATACAACTGTCCAGTTGGTGCAAAATCTTGGTAACCACTTTGATGCTATGCACAGAAGTGATACTATAGTATTCTCATACAATGAAGATTTCTGTATTGTGATCTGTGGCGGAATAATCCGTAAATCTTGGCAGTTTCCAGGTACATCAAACAAGAGACTAAAAAAAAATCACAGAAGTGGATGAACTGAACAGGTATAACTTGAATCCATTTGGCAATTGTAGTTTGCACAACAAAGCATGATATAGAAGTATATCCCCCTGAATGTTTGTCCAATAAATAACCCCATTGTTTCCCAGATATAGTTGTTTAATTAATAAACACTGCATTTGAACTAACTATGCAGTTCCCCACAGTTTATTCTGAAACAATTAGATGAGACGATGTGATGCTCTTAACTAAATTATACTGGGAAAAAGTTTATAAACAAGCCTGCATTTCTTTAAAATCTAATTTTTAATGAAATGAAACTAATTCTATACTATTTTACTAATTTTAAAAATATAATACATTTAAAAAAGATAAATATATAAAAACAAAAGTAAGTTATTTCAATCTTTCAACCAATTTAATATGGAAATATGAAACCAAAGTTATATTTACAGTGAAAAAATAAGGTTAAAATTAGTTCAAATATTTTTAGTTCCAGTCAACCAAGATAAAAAATAAGATGGCGGATGATAAAAACAACTCATAACTCTCGGATGCTTAGTAGATTAATTAGAAAGAAAAGAAAATATTTGTTTGGATAGGTTTGAAAGGATGAGTATGTTTAATTTCATTTTTCTTAATAGCTGTCACAGAATAGAAGCATGTTAATTTTCCACTAATCAGTGAAATGCTAAAATCCTTATCAAATCGATTAACATGCATAATAGCCCATAAAATTATGAAGCAAATAAAATGAAAATATAATATTTTATTGTAGTTGACACAATGTATGCATTGATATTAAAAAATTAAGTTTATCTTTGCTCCGCCTTAACGGCTGATGCTGAAGGAAAAAAAAGGCTAAGTGAAAAAAATATTTACGCACTTTTTTATTAGCTGACATAGTTTTACAGCAATCTGTGAGTGTAAGGCTCATTTTACAGTGAATAAAATCATATTTATTGAGAATTTATTTCCCGAAAAACAATTTTTTATAAAGATATCATGAAACAACGATTTTTAGTGTAAACAAGTTTCGGTCGCGGTCACAGTTTAAATAAGATGTGAAGTATAAAAATATAGTGAAGGCTCTGATTATAGAGCAGAACATTAGCTTATGGATAGTGTTCTCTACACTAGGGAGCGCTGCAAGCTCGGGACTGCCTAAATTTTCGGGTTACTGTTTCAGTTGTATTTTAAAGCCATTTGACATCATTGTGGTTTGAGATTCTTGCAAACAATGCATTTGATTACTTATGTTTACAATGCTAACAATACTTGTGTTTACAATACTAAAAGTGTTAACACTAACGTAAGACAGTAATAAACAATTGGAAAGAGGCCAAATCAAGACTGCCAAAAAAGCGAGTTATTCAAAATCTAGCAACCATATCACCTTTTTTAATAATAACTTACAAAATAACTAAAACAAATTTTCACTCCAAACTCCCCAGAATTACATAATAACATTAATATCTTATGAAATACGGCAGATTTGAGCTCAGAAATTATCTAGTTTATTTCTTTTATTGAAAACAAAATTATCCGTTTGAAAACATCGCCTATCAGAATAACATGTAGTAAGCAGCTGCAAACTTTTTAACCGGAACTAGTAGGTCCCGAGCTCGAGATTGTTATTGTTTACATTTCTATTGAAAATACCATCCATTCTGTAAATAAATTTATTATTTGTGAATAATATTAATTAATTCGAAAACTTATTTTATCGTAGCAGTTGCATCTATTAATTAAACCCACAGTTTTAAAGCAAACAGTCAATTTGCATGTGAAAACGAATAAAAGTTTCAAAAGCTACTCTCAGATTCTCCATCCCGATTGGTGCCATGGTTCTGATTAACTGCTGCTCCCTAGTAAAAATTTAAAAAACCTGTAAGAAAGGTTTCAGTATTATATTGAAACTCAATTTTATAAGAAAAAAAAAGAAGAAGGAAAGACGAGGTTACTAACAATTTTATGTTAGAAAGACAAGTTTAACATTTTTAAGTTATAATATTAGGGTGATAAATTACGTAAATGAATATTAAATAAGGGCTTAATAAATTTGTATGTGTACTGAAGAAAAAAGAGTTTAGCAAGGGTTTTTTCCGCTAATTATAATACACTATTCGTGACTTTCAGATAAAGTGCTTTAGAGCCGTGATGGCTCAGGGGATAAAGTGTTCGCCGTCCAATGTGATGAACTGGGTTGGAATCCCAGCCATGGCTGGTCGATATGAATTCTGCATCCGACTTGCATCGACCACAGTGTTCTCCTAAAATATCCTCAGTGGCTGACGGATCATGGGGTAGAATCCCCTTGCCGTCAGGCTAACCGTAAGAGGTTTTCGTGCTTTTCCTCTCCCTGTAACCTCTCCATGTTCTCCATCATCGTTTGTTTTTACTTTTCAATTCAATCCTAAGTATATAGATAAATAAAAAAGAATTATTTTAAATTCAAGAAAATATAAACTGGCCTCTTCTATCTTCTATGAATAGTCCTTTAATGTAACAACGACTTTTAATAAAAAATTAAAATTCAAAATTACAATCAACTCTGTTTTGCATTTTTAAGTTTTCAGTGAGTTAAAGGGAAGCCGTACCGTGGAAGAAAATCTTCGTCGCTAATTCTCTTTCGCCTTTATTACCAATTTAAAATTTGAAAGAAAGAAAAAGTAAGTTCAAGCAAACCTAGAGTAAGTTATAAAGTTTCAATTGCTGTAAAAAATACTTCAAAATATTAAAATGCAAACAAATTATTAGAAGAGAACTTCTCCGTTGCATCATCCCAAGTTATCATCTCATCATTTATTTTCATTTGTATATTTAAATTTTTTTCCCGCTATTTAAAACTTCATGGCTTACTCTAGGTTTGTCTAAACTCACTTTTCTACACTTTAAATTTTAAATTAGTTCTGGAGAAGAAAGAAAATTAGCGACGTACATTTTCTTCCACGGTTATGGTGTCCTCTTAATAAGGAAGTGCGAAGTGCTC